TTCAAATATATTGCGAGGCAAACGCCGAAAAAACAAAGACTGCATAGACCCGCACACATGGCCATGGATCGAGCTACCAGGGCTTTACAAAGGAAAGCCTTCTGTCCATCCAGAGAATAGAGGCCCCCAAATCAGAGGGTGGGGGTGGGGAGGAAGGGCTGGCTTGAGGCACAGTTTGAAAGCCGCTCACAGATTGCAACCAGGTCAATGACATCACGATCACGGACTCACTTCTAACCAAGTCGGACTTGGAAATACAGGTGATCACCTGTGGGCACTACGAAACATGGACCAAATGAAGGAAGCCACAAACGTAGATCAGGTTGATTCCTTTTGGGCAACTGAGTGGATTGGAGGCTGGCTACACAAAACAAAGGGAGGGGACTGCTTCCCACTTGGTACATAGTAGGCGTAGAAGACTTCATTGGCTGTTGGGGAGTGGAACGCAAAAAAGGAAAACAGGAACGGTCAGGATTGCAAGTTTAAATTGCAAGGCCGCCAGCTGGGCCACATGTGAGACATGCTGCAGCACTCTGGCCACCCCAATGCATCCCTTGTTACTGACCTCCGGTTGTCTTTCCTTTTTGCGATGGCATGCGGTCAGCTCATGCCAAAAGAGTTACACAACACAGCGCCTGGCTGCTCTCCTCAAACATGCGATTTGCGCGCTGCGATCAATGAACGACCTTTATGGCAGCAGGGAAGCCTCCTGGTACTGCTTTCACCACGCCATTGGGCGAATTTTGGCGCTTGGGTGTCGGATAGACAGCAAGTGCCCGACCCCTCTGATGAGCAACGCTGAGCGACGCCCGCCTGCCCGCCATGAGGTTGAAGGCCCAACCTTCCAAAGACCTGACGCGTGATTAAGTCAGCAAAACAAACCAAAACATGAAGCGCTTCCAACAAGGGCGCTTCTGAACATGCCTCTACACATTGTTGTTTCGAGACTATATATATATATTATATATATATATATGTTTCCGGAAAGTGAAAACATAAACGCAAGCACACATTATTTTTCTTTGACTGATTTCAAGGCCAAGCTTGTCAAGAAAACCAATAAACAAATGCATCCATCTTGGAACAACTGGGTCTCTGAACATCTTGCCTAATTATTCCGGCCTCTTTGCGTGAGAGGTGAAAGCAGTTTTAGATGCTGCTCCTCAGACAGGTTTCGACATGGACGCTCAAGTTGCAATGCCTTGGGCGTCGTGTGGGATGTGGGGTTGGTAGACTTGAAGTGCAATCCGGCCATCACAACCAGCCTGAGACAAACAGTGTACGTGGCCAACAGTCCGCAGCTTGAGCTACCGGTGGCAGGCCAGGACAGCTGTGGCAGTCCAACCGGCGGCAGGCCAGCCGTGCCACTCCGAAGCATCCTGCCGGTGCCAGGACAGCTGTAACAGCCTGAGGCTTCGCCAGCGGCCGGGCCAGGGCGGCTGTGATAGTTGCGTGAGGCTCCCACTTCCTTCCTTGCGAACCTTTGCAGCCGCCGCGCATCCGTCGTTTTGCTTAGTGACCCACTCTGACTACACAGCAGGGCTTCGCGCGAAGCTCGTCGGGCAATTCCCCTGACACACAGGCGTGACTGTAGAGCGGCACGCGGTCAAGGCAAATGGCATGGCTTTCGAGGGCTCTTCTAATGCTCAAGGTGCCAGTTGCTGCCGCTCCATAGAACAGCCAGGCACTTGGAGATGACATTTATGTGTGAGAGTTCGCGCGTTGCACCGCTCTCCCTTCTCTGTTCCAGCCAGATCCAGAAGCAAGCTCCTGCTTTGCCCTCCAAGAGATTGAGGGACTCATGGATTGCCAGTGTCTGATCTATCTGCTGGCGAGCCACACAAACGGAACCCTCAACGGGCAAGGCAAACAAGAAAAAACAAACTATTGACAGCCAGGCAAGACACGGTGGCCCGGCCAAAAGACGATCTATGCGTGCGAAGGTTGGATTCTTTCAGAATAGGTCCTTCAACTCTTACACCTTCAGCTGATTCACCTGAACCATGCAGGATTGGCAAACCGCAGGGGGGCAGGAACATAAACAGGCCACAAGGCACAAAGGCTTGCCATTCATTCACACCCGACTGTCAAAAAGGTCGGTCAGGCATTCAATTCCCTCCAACCCAGTGACTTGGGGCCATGGTTGGCCCACGGTTACAAAAACTTGAGCCTTGAGCCACTAGTGGGAATCTCGGGTTCATAAACCCCTGGTTGATAGGGGGTGTCTCATTTTCCCGCTGATTGATTGGAAGGGCCTCCAACCCAACGAGAAATCAAAGAGACCAAAGGTTCCTTGTGCCACAACTCAACCTGGAGTCTTCGTGATCCTTCAAAAATGCATCAATGGCCAACCATTATTTCAGGTAATGACCAACCATTTTTTTAAGGGTCAGCAGGAGACTCCAGGAACATGGCCAGGACCCAGTTTTTGTTTATTTTCTATTTTTCCTATTTTGTTTTTAAGCTTCACCTTTTGCCATAACTCAGCGTGGATTCCAACCAATCTCGCAGCCAGCGGCTCAAACCACGCCGAGCCGCTGCTGAAAGATGCTCAGGGTATGGCCCACCAGCGGCCAGCCCAGGTCCGTCGCAGGCAGCCGCTTCCGAAAGAGCACGCCTGCGAGTTGGGGCGGGGAGGGGAGGGGGGAGGGGGGGAAGGGGAAGGGGGGGAAGGGGGGGAGTCCAAATAAGGCATTTAGATGCATTTAGTAAGGCCTTATTAAGCCCCTAATAAGTCCTTATTAAGCCGCCTTATTAAGCCCCTAATAAGGCCTTGTTAAGCCCCTGGCCTTATTAAGCCCCTAGTACTTATTAAGCCCCTAATAAGGCCTGATTAAGCCCCTAATAAGGCCCTAATAAAAGGCCTTATTAAGCCACTAATAAGGCCTTATTTAGCCACTAATAAGGCCTTATTAAGCCAAATAAAAGGCCTTATTAAGCCCCTAATGAGGCATTTTTAAGCCCCTAATAAGGCCTTATTCAGCCCCCAAGGCCTTATTCCCCCCAACCCCCATGAAGAATCGAGAACTTCTCCCATCCGCGCATGTACCTGGAGTCTCCTTCTGACACTAAAACATGAATGGTCATTGCATGTCATTACCCAGAAGAATTGGGTCATTGACCCTTTTGTAAACGATCCGCCTACTATCTACTTTGTCACTTACACCTACAACATCACCATATGCCCTCAAATGCCCAGTGATAATGGGAACAAAGGGGCACCCGGTTTTTGGCTGGTTGAGTTTCAAGGAGAGTCATTCCCAAAACAAAAGGAAACAAGGGCACCACTGGGCAACTGGATCAAGCAGGTTTTCCCTTCACAACACCCCAAGAAGGGTTCCAACCAAAAAAAGGCACGCCCATATGTCAGTACCTGGAGTCTCCTTCTGACCCTAAAAAAATGGTTGGCCAATACCCAAAAGAATGGTTGGACATTGACCCATTTTTGTTTCGGGTCAGAAGGAGACTCCAGGAACAAACCCTGCGCTGACGCTGTGACTTTGGCCCAATGGTAAGTTCAACATCAAGAGCCCCAGAGGCCATGTGTCCTGACCAGCCAGAGGCCAGCGAATTGGGTAGCCCAGGAATATACCCACAGTGTATTGACCCCATTTAAGTACATTTCCGGACAACACCGTGTTATTTTGAACCATTCCGGGTCGTTCCCCAAGGGTGTAATCCCAGGCTGTAATACGAAGACCCTCAGATTCTAGGGGTACCTTACTGGTACCTTCTCATTCTTTCCAGGGATCCGAATCTTGCTAGAAACCGTCCAGAAACCCAAAGAAAACGGATCTGTTTTTTGAAATTGAAAAGAATGGGGAAGCAACCCATAGAATAATCTTCCATTTTTGCTCAGTCCCCTACAAACTATTAAAACAACTATATGTCCACCAGTGATAGATTCCCTTTCATACCTAAAATCAGGTAGGGACAATACAAACTGATTCTTAAGCAAATGGAGGTGATGCAACACAAGAAATGCAACACCCGAAAATGGGCCTTGGATTGGACAACTTGAACAAGAACTGCAACCCCCCCCCAAAAAAAAGAAACAAAAACAAACGTCCCGCGTCCGAGTAGCCATAGTGGCTCCAAAGCAGCTGCCCCAACATGCCCGCGGATGCCAGCGCCACTATCTTTTGCCAGGTGGGCTCTTCCCATAGGCTCCTCAAGTGGCCATGGGTCAAAACCCGAATTGTTCCCCCAGTGAACATCCGATTCAATCCAACCAATAAAATCGACTACTAAAATGGGTGGTGCACCTGCCCCAAAATGAAAACCCAAATCGTACCCAGTGAACATCCCAATCCAACCACTAAAATAGACTACTAAAATGGGTGGTGAATTCACCTACCAACCAAAATGGGATCCCAAAACGTTTTAAAGTTGGTGCCCTTCCCACAGCCAAACCGGCTAAAATCAGACGTGCTTTTTCGTTGGCAACAATTAGCTGGCGATTCATGACCATGGACATTCTTGTAACGGCATTTAAGGCAAGAAATCTCTATCAGTCGATGACGCAAGGCTATGAGTAGGAGATCTATGGCATTTGGGCACCTCATAGGTAAAAAGCATCAAGCAATCGCCAGACTCGGTTTAGACTCCTCTTCATGTTTCTGTCACTTGGCAATGCCGCTCCTCAGCCATTTTGGCAGACTCTCCATGGCGGAGACCAGCACGCGACTTTCCATGCCGACTCTAGGCGGTTCAGGCTTCAAAATAGCTGCGAGGTCGTGTCAAGTCGCTGGGGCAATAATGCACTCCCACGAAAAATGGCAGGGGACTCTGCACGAAACAGCTCCTCACATTCCAGTGTTCATGGGGCATGGTATTGGGTTGGTCTTTGGCTTCAGCCTTCTGCAGGCTAGTACGGGCTCGGGACACCGTCCGATTTTCAGAAGGTTACCCTCTCCAAGAAAGTTACTCCAGCAAACGACTTTCATTTTGAAAGGATTCCTACTTCCAGGTTTGCTAGCGGCACTCCAAAGTATCAAGGCCTCCTCTACAGCGAGATGACAGCTGCAATCGCCGCGGTAGCATTGGCTCGACCTCAGCTCAACTCACCCTCTGTTCTTGCCCTGCAGATTGGTTGGGTGACTCGAAGTGGATTCTAACAAAGGGGTTGCTGCCACGCACATGTTGTCCTTTGGAGCGCGCGCAACGCAAAGCAACACTCAATCGCACGTCACTGGAAAAGCACAACAACAGGACTTCATACCACATTGTTGCCACGGTGTAGTCCTTGTTTCGAGGTGCGCCCAACCCTGCACAAGGGCTAAGCGGCTGGCGAGTCCTCCCGGGGCAGAGTCAACAGGTCGACGCAGGTGGCATTGTCCTCTGCCTGCACAGCTTGCTGGCCTATGAATGTGATTTGCATGCTTAACTTTGGCCCAGGTACGGCGGCCAATGGCAAAAGAACGGCTGTATTTCGGTATTTGCGGTGTTTCTGAAGCAAACAAATATGGCTAACCCCTCACATGCGACTCGCGACTCTCGACCGGCACCCACGCTTGACATGTCACCCTAGTTCCGGCCCCTGGTACAGATTTGCCTCACCTTGCTCTCCGAATGGCCCCCCCAAGTTGAAACTTGCAACTTTGAGCGCTTCCAACAGCAGAAGCGTTTCAACTTGTGGAACTTGTAGAGTGGCCGGTTCATGCTGATTTGGAAGCGCACCCCAAAAGCCATATCCGCCGATGGCAAGCCTGAGCGACTAGATTACAACCGCTTCAGCTCCCACCCCCGACCTCTCCATGCACCAGCGTAAGAGCCTGCCAAGGGCAGTTTTTCGAGTTGCGCCCGCGCTTCATGATTGGACTGGAAGACAAAGTACAAGTTTAACATGGAATCCGGAAAGGGGCTCTACCTGGAGTCTCCTTCTGACCCTTTAAACAATTGGTCATTACCAACAAAAAGGGTTGGTCATTGACTCAATTTTAAAGGGTCATGGAGACTCCAAATAGACATAACTATAACACATCCTTGGCGGGTGTATAGTGTTATGATGTCAGCCCAAACAAAGGCCCCGTGCATTGAGGAAGTGTGACAAAGCAAATGCGGCCCTGCATGCTCGCACAACCTGCGTTGCTTTTTGCCAAGTTGACGGCGCAGCATACTTCACCGGGTGCCCCAAAAAGGAGTCTGGATCAAGCAAAACTAGATCAACCCCCTAGAGGTTTGCATAGTGCAGATTGGCCAACAAGAGTTTAATCATTTTGCTTGCCACTAGAATGATCTTCCCAACATGATTTAAGTCCAGACACTCGGAAAGCGAGACAACATGAGCATCGTGTTTTGGCATTCAGCAGCTCCAAACCCCCCAAAGCCACGCCGGCCACACCAGAATCCCAGCAAGGCGCATTGACCACAGCCATCACGCGCGCGCTTCCGGCCCGGAAGCCGGAAGCGCGTCGAAGGACAGTTGCAAAGTTGCCCCTTGCCTCTTGGTGGCGATTGCCCTGCGAAAATATGTTCAACAGCTGGCTGCCTGAGCCCCGGGCAGAAAAAGATTTGGCAATCAGGGAGAGATAAATCAACAAATTTGCCAGCTAACACCTTTGGGAAGCTGGGAAAACCTACATCACCCAAATGGTGAGAGGGTTAAGACCCAAGCAACCTTTTGGGCTCGGACCCGGAAGGTTCCCGTGGGCGGTGATAGGGGTGGGTCTGGGGGTGGGTGTGGGGTGGGGTGGAGTTGGCTCAGTGCCACTTCGATGCTTGGACAGCTCAGGGAAGTCGCCCAAGAAGTGCAAACGGCCCAGGCCACTCACATTCCCTCTGCCCAAAATCATCTGGCATTGGAAAAGTGAACTTGGGACATTCCCTCTGCCATCACCTGAAAGGAAAAGTGAACTTGCGTCTGTAAGCTGAGCACCCATCAGGTTGTTCAGCTTGCTTCGCTTCAGGGACCCTTCAAATCTGAACTGCATGGGCGGGCAGAACAAATATGCCTGCAGTTGGTCAAGGTGAGAGGGTGTGTGTGTGTGTGTGTGTGTGTGTGTGTGTGTGTGTGTGTGTGTGTGTGTGTGTGTGTGTGTGTGTGTGTGTGTGTGTGTGTGTGTGTGTGTGTGTGTGTGTGTGTGTGTGTGTGTGTGTGTGTGTGTGTGTGTGTGTGTGTGTGTGTGTGTGTGTGTGTGTGTGTGTGTGTGTGTGTGTGTGTGTGTGTGTGTGTGTGTGTGTGTGTGTGTGTGTGTGTGTGTGTGTGTGTGTGTGTGTGTGTGTGTGTGTGTGTGTGTGTGTGTGTGTGTGTGTGTGTGTGTGTTTTTGCATGTGAGCCACTGCACATAGGAAACTTCACCTCCGGGTAAACGAGGCTCCAAAATGGCCTGTTTGACGTGCATGGTCATTTGGCTATCCATGGCCAAACGGTTTGGGAGCTCACAAGAAGCTTGGCCCCCGAAATCCCGAGGCACTCGAGGAAAATGATCGCTCTGTTGGAGATGGGGGGAAAGCACACGCATCGCTGTATCACTTGCACATCTCATGGGGCAAAACTTGGTTGACGTTGGAAGGGGAGCAAACAATTACTTCGCTTCGAGCAATCCCCACCCTCCACACTCACGAGCATACGACCGTTAAAAAACATCCTCCGCATCTTAGAGACTTCGACTCCAAATTCCCATCGGCCCCTTCCCTTCCCATCGACCACTTCCACTTGTCTGCGAGCCGATCTCGAGAACTCAAACATCGGTTCCGTTAACAAAAAAACGCCAAGCCCCTTCCAAAAAGAAACCCGGCGGGGGATTTAACGAAGTTGCTTATTCACAACCCAAAGCAACACAAAAGCATCACCCTTTCCGAGCCTCAAGGTACACTCAAAAACACGAAGGCGCCAACATGAAATGTAAACCCAACTGTGCGCCGGGCGGGACATTAAGCAAAACCAGACTGGCGAGCTGCTCTGGCGGGATACTGGCGGGATCCACTGGCGAATGCTCGAGTCGCTCCGGCTTGATACTCAGCGGGATACTCGGCGGGATCCACTGGCGAGCTCCTCTGGAATACTCAGCGGGGTACTAGGCGGGATCCCCTGCGGACCTCGGCATCCACTCGCGAGCTACTCTGGCGGGATACTGGGCGGGATCCACTGGCGAGCTACTCTGAGAATACTTGGCGGAATCCACTGGCCAGCTGCTCTGGCGCGGCGGGACCCACTGGCGAGCTACTCTGGGATACTCAGCAGCATAGTCGGCGGGATCCACTGGCGGGCTGGTTTGGTGGGATACTCGGCGGGATCCACTGGCGAGCCGCCCTCGGCGGGATGCACTGGCGGCTCTGGCGGGATACCCGGCGGGCTCCACTGGCGAGCAGCTCTGGCGGGATACTGGGCTGGATCCACTGGCCAGCAGCGCTGGCGGGATACTCGGCGGGATCCACTGGCGAGCCGCTCTGGCGGGATACTTGGCGGGATTGACTGGCGAGCCGCTCTGACGGGCGAGCAGCTCTGGCGGGATACTGGGCGGGATCCACTGGCGAGCAGCTCTGGCGGGATACTCGTCGGAGTCCACTGGCGAACTGCTCTGGCTCTGGCGGGATACTGGGTGGGGGCGTGGTGTAGAAGCATCGCAAGCGCGGATTCCAACATAAAATCTATCAACCCCTTCCGGTCGGGTGGGGAATTAAATGTTTGCAGTTCAGTGGTTGGATTTCAACCACTAAACCGCAATAAGCAAAAGTGGGAAAATGTTTCCCGTTGCAACAACCATGAAAACAAAACAAGCAACCTTGGGGGAGCCTATTGGATGATCTTGAAATAGCCCAAGCCTGATGCCTGAAAAATCAAACGGCCCAACGGGGCCATGGGAGTTCTGGCTGGCAACAGGAAGCTCGGGTGAGGAGAACTTCAAACAGATGCATCCATCCAATTTGACCCGTCAGGGATCGTTTACTACGGAAATGAAGGGGGCCCTCCCAAAAAAAGAAATCATCTTAAACAGATTCCCTGCATTCTCCCCACGGGGGACTTCAAGACACACACCCCTTGCTTCGCTTTGTCGCACGCGTTTTCCAGCGAGAAAATCCGACGGCTCGCGGCAATCCAAAGCTTATACGAGCTGTGCCTGACGTCCCCTGACGGTCCCGTTATCTCAAGCCAGGTCACCCTGTCTCTCGGTGCGGATTCATCCTATTGCCAGTGTGCAAGCCAGGCAACCAACTGCCCAGAGTTGCTTCGGCCATTGACTGGAACAACTTGGCGAGCACTGCCTCTACCTCTATTTGTAGATTGTCTGACTTTTGGCTGATTAGTGGGGAAACATGTCAAACACAAGAGTGACACGCTGCCAAAACAGCTAAAGGCAACAAATCCAACCAAACAGCAATCCAGAAACAGCTGGCTTCCGGCTCAAGCAGTTTTCCGCGGGACTCCAAGAGCAACCACTCGTGCTATGAAATGCATGATAAAACACTGCCAATGGACGCCGACAAACCTCGCGAAAAGTCAGGTGCAAGCTGACTGGCAGAAGCAAATTGTGAGATTTGTTGCCAAGCCCAAAGATCAAGGGCCCCAGAAATACCACGTTGACCTTTTTTTTGGGCCAGAAAAAGCAAAGGAGTCGTAATCAAAGCCTAAAGTGGTCTGCCCAGAACCATGTAAAGAATTAAGAAGGCGGATATCCGCAGCTATTTCTGGCTGGCCCCTGACCAACCTTTATCTACCCGGGTTTTGATGGAAACAAGGGAAACTGACTGACAAGTCAGATCTGGGCGATTCGCTGGCAATGAGAAAGGAGGTCGGAAAAACGGACACCTGATGCAGGACGTCGAGCCCGGCCGGCCAAACGTAAATGAATGGCACGCGCTGCTCACGACCTGCCCCCCAGAACCATGGCATTTTCAAATGGGGCACCGAAGTCAGCGGGACCAGATAGCTGATGTCAGCTTTCTCCAGCTGATTTGGATCCCCTTGTAAATTAGCCGAACTTGGAAGAACCCTTTATAGAACCCCGTGCAATAGTAGGGGAAACCAAGAAGAGCGCGATGTTCACAAATCACCACACAAGTTTCAAGCGGATCCATATGGGGCTCAACAAAAAAGTGTCCGAAACTTTTGGAATGCTCTCAGCCCGGAAGCCTATCCTCCGCCCATGCTCCGTTTAAAAATTGGCAAATTCATTTCCCCGAGACACCCGGAAGAAAAGAAGCGCATCAATCTCACTGGCCGCCGAATCAATTCGGTGCCCCGACAGCCTGTACCAAAATAGCACCGAGTCCTAGGTCTGCCAGGTCGGAGAGTACCTTTCAGTAGATCTAGGGGTACCTTCCTCCATTCTGAACCCAGGGATCCGTTTTTCTTTGCAGGAAACCATCAAACACCCATAAAAAACACAGCCGGCTGTTTAAAAGAACGATGGTTGAAAAGAATGGGGAATCAACCCCTAGAAAAGATCGGTTAGTTTGGTTCACGATAGATGGGTTCCACTGGTATAGATGAGTTTTATGCCCCATTTACCAGGGCACGGTCACCAGCTTGCAGTAATGGCAGTCAGCCAGAAAGCCGGCGGAAATCCTGGTGCATGGCAAATCTAGAGGGCGGGCACCACGAACTTTCAATTCGGCAAGTACCTGGAGTCTCCATGACCCTTAAAACATGGTTGGTCATTAATTATCCAAAATGATGGGATCATTGACCCATTTTTCAAGGGTCATGGGGACTCCAGGTATGTTGAACATCCCAGCTTTGCCAACGTCTCCGAGCTGTTTGTTTCCGCAGACCCGGGTTCTTGAAATCAATTTGCGAAGCGACTCGTATGCAGAAGCTCCACTGGAGGCCCGACTCACCCCAGGAACCTCGCGCCCAACAACTTCATTGCATTGTTGCCTTCCCCAAGGGTCCTGTTCAATCCCACACATTCTACTTCCATTTCGTTAAAACCCCTAGAAAAAAAAAAAAAACATATTTCCAGTAGTGATAGAGTCCCTTTAAAACCAACAGGAGAAAATGAGAAATATCCATTTCAGCAAATGGAAGTCTATTGGAGTCACTCACTCTTGGACTGGCATCTCTGAATGTCGGACCTCTTGAAAAAGTCGTCTGCGGCTCGTGGCGCGACGCACGAGCCGAGTGACTCGCTCGGTCCCGCCGCGCTTCCGCCGGTGCTCCTTTCTTCCAGCCTGGACGAAACGAAAATGAGGCATGTCACATGACGTCACATGGCCATAGGTGGCCTTTTGGAAAACACAGATGGGCTTCCAACTGGTAAATGGATGGCAGTGGGACCCATCTAAACCCCTGGGACCCATCTACTTTCAACCAGGCCCACCGATCAAAAGGACACCTATGATGAGGACACATGGTATCACATGATGTCACATGATGTCACATGATGACACATGATTTTGTGTGATGTCACATGTTCCTGGCGGCTTCGGGAGGGTGTGGGGGCCAACCTACCTCCTGACAAGTAAAACCTGGAACCCCGAGGAGTCTGATCTGTGTGGCTTGAAACATGATGAGAAATACGCGCAAAAAGGTCGAAGCACGTCGGCCAATCATCCGAACTGCAAGGCGCAAAACCCACTGTGGCTACGGTCATGGCTCCCCAGGGTGAAGGTAGATTCCCTTTATGTGCGTAAGCAAAGGGGATGACTAAACCCAAGTCAAGGAATTCGGGCATCTATATTCCCCCGGGCGTGGATCCTTGTGGCAAGGGGCCATTGGCCAGCCCTAGTGAGCCGGTCTTTTGCAACCTGGGCGCTGACATGGCGTGCCCGCGTGCGATCTCCGGGGGGAAAATGGTCAGCCGGCACGGTCCAAAGTCCAAAGTCAGCCACTTGGCGAGCTGTGAATTGAGGCAAAGGGAAGTAAGGGGGCCTCCACAGATCGATCTCCTGATGTTTTTTAAACTGTCCAAACGAGGGCGCTCCCTTCCAAACGTGGTCTGAATCCCCGGGCAAAGGCATTACACACATTTGGGCTAATCAACCAGGGCGTCCCATTTTTCCACAAAAGATTGAGTAAAATACGACATGTGATACCTATTCAAATGAATATTACCACTTTGTTTTTAAAGAGCTTACAGTAAAACTGTTGCCCGTGAAGCTTTGGGTTTTGGAGCTCCGTTTCTGGTGCTTAACCCCGGGGCCAAGCTAGTGCTCCGGCAACTCGTGAGGAGTTTTTGAGTTCAACTTCAGCTTGCTGGTGCGAGTAGCGAATGTGTTGGGAATGAACCCTCAAGTTCCCTTAAAAGTGGGGTTTACCCCCAACATGATGGGGTGATATCCCGTTTTTATGAGGAATCATTTTGAGGGTCCAGGTAGGGATTCCCTTAAAGGAAGGTACAAGGGATGTTTGTGGGGTCATTCCCCCATCCCCTGCGGAGAACCAGCAAGTCAAGCCAAAGATCCAAGCTACAGGCGCGTCCTGACATGCCAGTCTCCCCATGGCAGTCTCACCATGTCTCACCAGAAATTCGCCAGAAGTAGGTTGTGACTTCATGAGCAAGCTTACGATCACCCACAACACTTTCCCCTTGCCTAGGTCCAGTAGAGAGGTTAGAACAAGGGTACCAACGCTTTTTTTCTGTAGTTTATTTTTGTAGGGGAACCCTCCCAACCAAAGAAGAAACGGTGAAAGGGCACTACTGGGGGACCTAGTTGCAGAACCACCAAATAAGTCACATGCCGCATGCAAGCAGCTCGCATGTCTTCAAACGGAGCAAAACCCTCACCAAATCCTTCCGCCCTTTGACTTGTACAGAACCCTCCATTTGCTGAAGTCCCCTGGAACAAAATAGGAAAAACAACAGCAGTCGTGATAGATGTCCTTGAAAACCAACAGGGGAAAATCTAAATATTCATTTCAGCAAATGGAAGGGACCCAAAGACAGCCCAAAGAAAACCCGGCAAACCCCGAAGGCAAGCTACTCTCCTGCCTGCTTGCTGCAAGCAAGCCGTGATCACGGGAGGAAGTGAAGAGAGGCAGCCTCAACGGAGGCGTTTTTTTTGCGGGGTTTGGGCCATGGAATCCTCCTGATATCTGAGCTACCCTCAGATCCCCCGCGAACAGTGACTAACTTTTGGTGGGTTAAATGGAAACTACCACTAAACACTCAAAAGCTAACAGGCTAAGGGGATGGCTGGGCTTGCCACCAAGATAACAGAATATGTGTCCTTTTGGAAAAAGGAAAATGGCTCTGGCAGATGTTTCAACCAGTAAACCTTACCAGGGCCCTTTAGTCCAATGTGCAAGGCTGCTTCCAGGCAACAGGATGCAGGCAGTGCTGGTGATCCAGTTGCTCAGCGCCGGAATTGGTGTGCACTATGTTTGCGTCAGCGGATATTTGCAGGGTGCTGAGCAAGAATACGTTGGTGAACGCGAGGCTTGAGAAGATCATAGAGCATTTCACCATGAGCACCTGCTCCCTCACAAAGGGGAAAGCCACAGCCAGAAATTGCCTGGCCCCAACAAGGAGTTGCGGCCTTTTGTTCGCCAATCCATTCCTATGCGCATGCGCAGGTCACAAGCGCTGCAAGCGCGCCCTTGCCCTGCTGGCGTGAGACAGTCGTCTGCGGATGAGGCTTTGGCCCATGCGGTTCTTTAGAAGCTGCTTCCCACACAAGACCTTCAATCCCATCGAAGCTGGCAACCTATTGTGAAGTGGGTGGGTATTTGACCCATGTGGGGCTGTTTTGATGGGCAACCAAAGCAAAACTCGGCCTTTCTGGGGGGGAAGTTGCCTGGTCACCGGCTCCTGGCCGTCAAAGGTTTGCCTCTTGCCTTTCGCGCTTGGAGCGGCGATCGCGGCTCCGCTTGCCGTCACTGGGCTCCCAGGTAGAGTCCTTGAAGACATGTTTGGCCAGCTCCCGAAGCACCTCAACGCCAACGCGAACGAGCGGCAGCCGGTTTTCAGGCTGCCCGTTCCAACTTTCCAAGGGAAACAAACGGGGAAACCACCATTGCTTGTATATGCTGTTGTTGTGTTTTGTGTGGGATTGGAAACGTAGAACTATAACTATAACGAGCTTCGCTAGTGTTGTTTATGTTGGGCTCTTGGTCGAATGTCAAAAACTGGAACAAAATCAATGTGGTTGTGACTTGCATGCTACTCTTACACAAGTTGCTGCGCGTATGTGGCGCGTGCGTGCGGGTGTGTTTGACGTGTATGTCGATGCATCCCCTGCAAAGGGCCCGAGCTGCAGCCCAGCATGCCTTATCTTTATATGTATATCTCCAGAAGGGCCCCTCATTGGGGGGTTGGTTTTTGAAACACCGGGATTTATGTGTTTGCGTATAAAATACCCACCCACCCTGAGGGGAAGCTGCCTCTCTCTATCTGTATACTTATATATCTATATGTATACTTCGATAAGGGTACGTGTTGGCAGCGGGTAGCACATATATATATATATATATATATATGGTCACCCCCCCCCATGATCCACATTTTGCCTCTTGCAAGCAAAAAACACTGGAAAAACACATGTAAAATGCTTGTTTTTGACAACCTGTTCCAGGATCAGATTCTGATCCTGGAAACTTGGGTCAAAAACAAGCATCATTCTTGATGAGTAGATTAGTCAAAGATTGCGACATTCTTGATGGACAGATGTTAGGCAACTTGAAGCAGATGCTTACAGATGGTTTGTGTGGACAGCCTTCTGGAAAAAAAGTTAGCAGGGAGCAGATGGAACTTATGGAAGCAGCATGCAGAAAGTGCTGTACTGTCCCTAAAATCCAGGCTTTGGAGGCTGAAAGTGCTGTACTGTCCCTAAAAAACCTAAAAAACCATTCCAAAAACAGTCTTGGGCACACAAACCTCCTTCTGGCAAGGATTTTTGGTTTTTTAGGGACAGTACAGCACTTTTTTTGGTTTTTTAGGGACAGTACAGCACTTTTTTGTTTTTTAGGGACAGTACAGCACTTTTTTTTGGTTTTTTAGGACAGTACAGCACTTTTTTGTTTTTTTAGGGACAGTACAGCACTTTTTTGGTTTTTTAGGGACAGTACAGCACTTTTGAGCATCAGCATGCAGAAAGTGCTGTACTGTCCCTAAAATCCAGGCTTTGGAGGCTGAAAGTGCTGTACTGTCCCTAAAAAACCATTCCAAAAACAGTCTTGGGCACACAAGCCGCCTTCTGGCAAGGAATTTTTGATTTTTTTTTGGGACAGTACAGCACTTTTTTAGGTTTTTTAGGGACAGTACAGCACTGTTTTTGGTTTTTTTAGGGACAGTACAGCACTTTTGAGCATCCAGCATGCAAAAAGTGCTGTACTGTCCATAAAAAACCAAAAAAAAGTGCTGTACTGTCCCTAAAAAACCAAAAAATCATTGCCAGAAGGAGGTTTGTGTGCTCAAGACTGTTTTTGAGGTTTTTTAGGGACAGTACAGCACTTTCAGCCTCCAAAGCCTGGATTTTAGGGACAGTACAGCACTTTCTGCATGCTGATGCTCAAAAGTGCTGTACTGTCCCTAAAAAACCAAAAAAAAAAAAAGTGCTGTACTGTCCCTAAAAAACCAAAAAAATCCTTGTGTGCCCAAGACTGTTTTTGGAATGTTTTTTTAGGTTTTTTAGGGACAGTACAGCACTTTCAGCCTCCAAAGCCTGGATTTTAGGGACAGTACAGCACTTTCTGCATGCTGATGCTCAAAAGTGCTGTACTGTCCCTAAAAAACCAAAAAAAGTGCTGTACTGTCCCTAAAAAACCAAAAATTCCTTGCCAGAAGGAGGTTTGTGTGCTCAAGACTGTTTCTGGAATGGTTTTTTAGGTTTTTTTAGGGACAGTACAGCACTTTCTGCCTCCAAGGCCTGGATTTTAGGGACAGTACAGCACTTTTAAGCATGCAGAAAGTGCTGTACTGTTTTTTAAAATTGTGGATGTGGGAAGGCAGTAGCAGATGTTTGTCACTCCGACGAGCTGGCTTGCATTTTTCTTGCCTTTTTCCTTCGAGCGCATATCCGGTAATCACTGCTTGTGCAGTGCCTGCAGCATCTGGCCGGTCACCTCCCACATATTAGCGCGGCGATGCCAGTATTCAAACTGTGCGGATCTCAGCTTTCGCAAGAGAACCTGACTGCCGGGGATTCTATTCGTGTGTTTCAGGTGAGATCGAAGGGTGTTCCAGAACCGGTCGATGATCTGGGTGCCGCTCTTCACACGCACCTTCTTCTCGTCCGGCAGCTTAGCTTGACGTCGTACTGCTTGGTGTAGTGGGGCTTCACCCAAACGGCCTGACAGACAGGAATAACAGAATCAAGTAGATCCCTTAAGAGGCAGTTAAAGCAGTTTAGGTCAGAGTTACTTGCCTTGCCGTTGATGACGATGCGCTTCTTCTTGCGCACGACGTTGCAATGCCTCACGTCCGGCAACCTGAGCTTGTAGGCTCTGGCCCCATCGCTGTGGAGGATGACTTTCCGGCCCGCGATGTGCCTCTTCCTGATGGGACCTGGCCCCGGAGATCTCTTTTTGGTGAGGATGGGGTTGAGCCTGAAGAGCACCAGCGAGGATGGCCTTCCTCGCTCCACGAGTCCACCCCACTGTTCCCATTTCGTGTTGAGGTTTCCCGCCACGCTCTCGTCGGTCAACTTGCCAATGTCGACCTCGTCCACCTCCACGTCCTCCCACTTCCCGCCGAAGACAATGTCCTTCTCCTTCTGGGTGACGTACTGCGAGCGAGCGACCTCCAGGTTGTGGTGGTAGATGCGCTCCACTGGCTTGTGGTCCATATCCAGGAGCAGGTGCGCCGCATTGCTTGAGACCCCCACCACCGCGCAGAAGAGGACCGCCACCTGCTTCTGAAGTGGAGTTGAAGAATTGCCAGCAGACATGAAGAAGATGGGATGGTAGTCATGAGGCTGAAGTTGCTTGTGGCAGGCACGCTTCTTGCACCGGTACGCCCAAATCTTCTTGTCATGGTAATACTTCAGGGGCCCCATTACGCCGTTGCCACATCGAGGGCAAGTTCTGCCTTCCCAGTCTGTGAGGATCTTGTCCTTGTGGAGCTGCTTGTGGGCGGACATATGGCACCGGAGCAGGATTCTTTGAGGCAGGCCTTCGCTGCACGCGCCACTTCCCCCGCTTAGGATCTGGGAACTTGGCCTTCACGGACTTCATGACCTTCTTTGGCATGATGGGCAAGATCAACTACAAAGGATCAAGGCGATTGAAGCAGATGGCTGCGTAAACGATCAATGCGATTCGCTTCCAAGCAACATGTGCAAGCAAGATGGCACTGGAGACCTAATGTTTTTTTTAGCCAAGCTCCATGTCTCTATTGGGTTTATATTTCTATCTTCTAGAACAAAATCCGCTGAGTGCGGCTCACACACGGCTCAGTTGTCGTCAATGTCCATGGCATCCGCGAGTTCTTGGGAAAGGGTTCGGTATGCCTCGATGTCATACTGGTCGGGAATCTCGTCCATAGGGTCCACCACATCAGGAGAAGAAGCCGGCAAAGGCACAAGGACCTTGGTCTCATCCACCACATCGGCTGCTGGAGGAGCTGTAGGGTCAGAAAGCTTCTCCACAGGGTCCACCGCATCAGCTGCAGCCGGTGCAGCAGAGGCTGGGTCACTTGCATCCTCAGACGTGTCTGACAGGTTGATCACCAGAGGGCGCAGGTTCAATGGCTTGGAAAAGTAGGAGGGATCCACTGGCTCTTGCTTGATGTGCACCTTATGCGTCTCCTCTGGTTCTTCTTTGATACCCTGCACGTCCTCATCCTTCTCTTCTTCTTTTGTTTTCTGCTCATCCTCGTCCTTCGGCTCGTCTTTGGCATCCTGCGCATCTTCGTTCTCCTTCTGTTCTTCTTTTGTTTTCTGCTCATCCTCGTCCTTCGGCTCGTCTTTGGCATCCTGCGCATTCTCGTTCTTGATCTCCTTGAGCAAGCTGGAAGAGGACTTCACAGATCGAAGCTTCTTAGTGGGCGGCTCGTCGACGGCAGCGCCAGCATCCAGGTAGTACTTGGTCTTGCCCTCAATGCCCGCGAGTGTTGGTCGATCTTCAATGACGTACTCCCTTCCTGAGAACAGTTCTTTCCCACGGGTGGTCGCACAATAGCGGACCTCCTCGCCATCCAGCGCAGCCTGCAGCAAGTTCAAACTCCACTGCATGTCTTTGTCATGATCTGCCGGCAAGTGAGAGATGTTACCGCGCTTGTAGGCAGCCAAAAAGGGTCGGGCAGATGGAGAGATCATGCCAATATCCCGCTCTGGCCAGGCATACCGGGGAACGGGTTTGCGGTCTGTGCCTGGCACACGTACGTACATGCCCACATCGGTGAAGACGATGAAGGTGGATCGCTTGAAGACACCGACAAGGTCCTCTTCATCGAAGTCCCTGTGGAAGGAGGGGCGCACGATCTTGTAGAACTGCTCGAAGGTCACGGTGTCCTGAGTCGAATTGGCGTCCATAGCACAAGGAAACTTAATGAGCTTGATATGCAAGCAGACTCAGGCGTACATGGTCAGCAGGCTTTTTTCCCTTGCGGCTTGGAAAACTGAGAGAGTAAAAGCAGTCCTAAGGACTGTCCCATAAAAAACTATGGCAAATGCCTCTCACTCATAATCAAGCCAAGTTCATTCTCTTGGAGGACGGTCTCCTCGCTCGCGCTGATCTTGAAGTGCAAGCCTTCGAAGCTGAACACTTCCGATCCTTAGATGGGCAAGAGCAGAAATGACAGCAGAAGGACCCCATAAGAAACTGCAGTTTTCGACTCGATGAAATCGGCCAAGTAGCCACATGGTAGATAACCTACTTTTGTAGGCCATCTGGATGGAGCGATAGGGCTCGGCGTGGCGCTCGTTGCCATGGCTGTTATTATTCTAACAGCCTCCATTGGGAGACGGGCTAAGAGTACTTCAGCCATTCAAATTAAGGAGCCAAAGCTGAGACCATACACTGCAGCAATGCCAAATGTGGATCATGGGGGGGGGGGTGAGCATATATATATATATATCCAATGGCCCCCTGCAAGATGTCATAAGGCCTTACCCTCTTTCCAATCAAAGCGGGTTGCCAAAGGAACTCTTGGCCTTCAAAACTTTCTGTCAGCTTCTGGAGGGCACACAGCACCCCATAAAAATGGTTCCTTGTGGGCTTCCTGTTGGCTTCCTACCATCCAAAAGGGGGAGCTCGCAGTCCGTTATCTGCATTGCCAAAGGGTGCCAGCAAAACTCAGTTGCCCAAAGGACCCAGAAATAAAAGACCATCAACTTTGGGGTTGCCATGACACAAAATCTCACTTCCTGAGATTGGCCCAAAACAGTAACCAAACTGTTTGGTTGCCAATCAAATGGTCCAAACCCTAAGAATACAGGAACTCACCGTGAGAAATAGACCAACAAGGGAAAACTTAAAGGTCGGATCCGGTCGATTCGCTTAGGGCAGGTGGGTTGGGCAGGTCTGGCGTCATTTTTGCTGGCCAAGTCGCTGGCCGGCGCGTGCGGCGCTGGATGCAGATGCGCTTCGCCGGGTTTGAGAGCACCTGAGGCACCAAATGGCTCCCAACGCCCAACGGCATGGCTCATGTACAAAGATGGAGACGTAAACATGTGTGTATAGACAGAGACTCAAATCAAATCGAACACTATGTACACATGTAAAATATGTACATAAACATATATAGATACAGAGTGCACACATTATTCGTATTAACATTCATCTCTGTACACACATATGTTCCATAGAGCCTTCTTGGATGCCTCAAAGATTGACAATGAAAGGGCAGCCCGTGATCCTGCCATGCTGGCTTTCGACATTGCAACTCCTTTCTTGGGACTTTTGTTCGGCCCCCTTTCCGGGACATGCCTATTCAGGCCTATTCGCCACGGTCGACTGAGCCTGAGAGGGGGGCACAGAGTTGTGACAAGCCTGAAGAAACACCCCGCCCGGCACTCGTTCTGGGAACTTTTTTTTGGCACCTTTCGGATTCCTAGCTTTTCCATCTTTTCCCAAGGAGTTTCGAGCTTTTCTAAAACCGGTACCCCTGGTGCCCTGCCAGGCTTGTTCGGCTCAAACCTTGGAACACCTGGGCCTGCACCACCCCAATGCACAACGGAAGCCTCTTTTTCTCCCGAAGCGGGAGATTTGGCCATCTGCGTCGAAGGCTTCGGTTCTGACTCAGGCTAACCCAGAAAACAATCCCAGTTCCCCTCCCAAAGGCAAGCATAGAACCTGTACGGTGGGAAGCCATATGAATCAACCCAAGTTTATTGATAGGGGGGTGTCCATTGCTGGGTGAAATGTTGGGAATCAGACCACTTTGGAGGGCTTTTCCCCCACCCCCCTATTAAACTGGTTGGTTGATGAACATCTGGTTCTAAGGGAACCCCGTGCAAATGCCATGCTTTGATCCGTTCTCCCAAAGGTAATCTGGCAATCTGGGGCGAACGTCGGGCCAATAGCCCCAGCACATTTGTCACATCCATTTGCAACCCAGGTTTCAAGGCATTGCTTCCAGGGTAGCTGTTAGCGTCGCTTTTGGGGAAGCCTCTGATTGTTGAGGGTTACAAGCTCTTGGCAAAACATATCCACCGCTAACCCAGCTGCAGTGTCCAAAGCAGCTTGCCATGCCAAACGGCTGGATTTTGGCTCTGATTTTGGACATCGCCCCCTGCGATAGGCAGGCAATGAGAATTGGAATGCTTCTTCTAAACCATCCAACTCGTGGTTTCCTTTCGGGAATCCCCCCAGCCGATTCATCCCCAATACCCGAACTCGGAAAGTCATTCCCTGTCGCACCAGCAAGGAAAACATGGTCAACGCGAGAGGCTCCAAGGTTCCAATGTTCGTTCCAGCTCTTGTTCGAGCATCTCTGGTTGCTGGGAAGTCTTTTTTGAGAGGATGCCCACATTCGCTATCGCACCGATCGCAAGGTTTCCCTCAATGCCGGCCCGCAGGCGCTAACCCGGATGAAAAAACGCCTGGTTGATTAATCGGGGGGTGTCCCCTTTTGGTGGGGATTCACCACTTTTCGAGGGAACACCCTTCGAATTGGTTTATTAATCCTGGGCCAACATTAAGGCCCCACATTCCCTACTAACCACCAGCCAGGTTCTTGTTTTACGGCAGCTAAGGCCGGGGCCAAGCAAAGGCCCTTGTGCCGCAGCACCGAGCTCCGCCACTGCGCCACGTCGATGACCTTCCGCGCCGACACAGCGTCGCAGTCCAGGAGGATGTCCACCTCTTTCAGCTGGAGCTTCCGCTTGGAAGGGTCAGCCACTGAAAGCCTGGTTTACCAGAAAAACCACCTGGAGCTTGGGAGGGTCAGCCACTGAGAGCCTGGTTTACCGGAAAAAACCAGTCAAGGTGTGGATACCTGGCGTCTCCATGACCCGTGAAAAATGGGTGGCTGGTTTACCGGAGAGGAACCAGTCAAGGTGTGGATACCTGGCGTCTCCAAAAGCCGACACAATAAGCAACAACAACCATGGACTTGCAACAATCAAGGTGAACCTTTCGGAACCTTCACTGATGGACCTGCCTCCTCTCCACGCTGCTCCGCCCAGCGCCTGCGACATGACGAAGGGAAGAGGTTGATTCATATCTAGGTCCTCCCGGGTCCTCCAGTAGAGAGGCTAGAATAAGGGGATCAACTTTTCTCTGTAGTCTACTGTAGTAGGAAAAAAGCACTCGGGAACCTAGCTTTTGGACCTAGATATGGGTGTGCCTGGAGAACAGTAGGGGGTCAGGGCGGGTTACTGGGGGTGGGGTCAGGGGGTGAGTTTGTGCTTTAAAAAAAGGAGGGTGTCCAATTCTGGGTTTAGTGGGGAATCAGACCACTTTTTGGAGGAGAACGCCCCCCCATAATAAACTGAAGTGGGCTAATATGGACATTATGTAAATATACACCGTGACTCCCCTCCTCTGGCATTTGCAGATGCATGGAAAAGCCACATACCAAGTAGCTGGCTCGAGGCAGAATTCCTGGCGACTCCGAACAAACAAGTCGTCACTTCAAGTCGCCTCCACTTCCAACGGCAAAGCGGTCTTTTCCTTCCGCCTGTGACGCCCCGAAAACGGGGTACCAGTCCCAAAGACTAGCAACTTGGACTCGAGAGCTCTTGACAGGTCTCGCCCAATCGAACGTCCCATCCCGAAAAATGAAAACATCGACCACGTGGGTTTGTATCTTAGGTCTTGGAGCTGCGACAGCCACGAATTCCGGGGATCTTGCTGATCACGTGGCGAAAAGCTGCCTTTCAGAGCACCCGGGTTGTTAGATGGGACCTACTAGATGGGCCATAAATCCTTTTTCTCCCGCGCCCGCGGCAAACGGTTTCCCTTGCGACCAAAGCGGTTTTTTCAAAACCGAAGCCCCGGCTACGGGCGATCCCGTGGCGAGCTGCTGGAAGTCCTTGGCACACAAAAAGCTCCGCACCTTGGCTGAAGCTGACCTTTCAACTGGCTGACCCTCCCAGCGATTCCACGGGTTTGTGCACAGGCCCCTGAAAGACTACTCTCTTGGAAAGGGCTTGTTTGCACTTCCATAGTTGGTGGGAGGGTAAGGCAAACTGGCAGTGTGTCAGTTTAGGGGTATCCATTTTGGAGCAGCAAATGGAACCAAGGACTAAAACCTGCGGTCCAATTCCTGGTGCTTTAATTTTGACCCATACCCAACTGACCTTTCAACTGTTAAGGCTTGCTACCCTCCCACCGATTCACATGGAACCTGACAGGGGGCCCTTTCACAGGAAAATGGCCTTCCTGGACCTTCTGTGAGGTTCCATGTTGGTTGGTGGGAGGTATGTTTCAAGAATGTCCACGACAGGCTGAGCCAAAATCTCGTGTGGGAAGGCACAAGGGGACGATTTAATCAACACGCAGGGCATTGCGCCAGCTACTTTCAACCAAATCTGTGACAGCCTGCTGAAACCCATCAATCAGCTTTCCTCCCATTTGGTGGTTTGGCAGGGATCCTTACATTATACACCTGAACAGTGCAACTTGTAAATGGTGGTTTCCAACTTTATTCTGGTGTTGAAAAAGCAACATGTTTCAAATGGTTGCAAAACGTATTTGTTTTAAGGAGCCCTGGGTAACTTCCATTTCCATTCTTTCCAGGGATCCGAATCTTTCTAGGAAACCACCAAACATTTTCGGGGAAATGGCCTTTTAAGGAGCCCTGTTTGGATTTGTAGTTTGGAGGTCAGGGCGGGGTGGTTCCCACACTCTACCAGCGCCGGCGGTTCAGCGCCAAGCCACGAATCGAACTCAGGCCCACCTTCTGGTGGTTGACGGTTTCTTCAGCAAAAACCCTTTTTAAAACCTTATATTTAAAGCTTATTTAGGGCTTATTTGGGCTCCCTCCCCCTCCCCTCCCTCCCCCCCAGGCCCCATAATTTCTAGTGAAGCCATCATTGTCAACAAGAGGAAAATAATCGGTGGCACTCAACTGGGAAGGGTCCACCATTCCAAACCACCAATCCAAGGGTTACCCTCCCAACAGTCATGGAAGCTGACAAATGTTGGAAGACTGTGTTGTAGTTTACTGGCGGCCCATTGAAACTGCAACTTTCTGATCGCCGGTGATCTCTCTGCAAAAGTGAGGCTTGTTGTGGGTTCAACGGAAACCGTTGATTTCAACAAACAAGTCAAAGCCTAAAAATCCAACCCAATAGCAATCAAGACTTTTGGACATTCCCTTTAAAGGGAAGCTGCCCGGAATCCCTGAACAGGGAATCTGAACTTCGTTCAGGCGCCGGGCAGGGCGTGTCTTCCAGGCCGCTCTCTGCGAACCACCCAGCGAAGATTCTTTGCGCCCTCACCTTCAGGAGAAAAACGCGCCACACCATGGAACCCTCCGACCAATCCTTTAAATACAAGGAATCCGGTGGGGAACCCATGGCGACGAACAAGGTGGTAAATCTTTGCTACCATGTCCTCACTTCCCAAGCCAAAAAGTCGCCAAACCAAAAATGGGTACCCTTGAAGGGTGATGAATTGGTACCCAAAATCGGTACCGCCAATAATGTTTCGTTACCCAAAATGAATGGGTACCCTTGAAGAGAATTTGCCTCTCACATCCGGTACCCAAACTCCAAAATGTTTGTTTTATCCATTCAGTCCGGAAGGTCCCGGAGCTCGAGGTTCCCGCGCTCATTTTGGAATCTCAAGCCCAAAGCTGTTTTCGTGGGGGCATTTCTTCTTGCCGCTTCTCAGCAGGAAATCAGCTGGAATGACCCTGGGTGCCTTCAAGGAGATCCCAAACAAGTCGTTCCCACACACCATCCAACTGGTGGTTTCCTTTACTGGGCCCTCCAGTAGAGAGCTTAGAATAAGGCTACCAACTTCTTTCTTTCTATTTTAGGGGACCCTAACCCTCCCCCCAAAAAAGAAAGGGAAAGAAAAACGGCACCAATTGCTTGGAAAGACCTCGTTTACCCCCAAAACTTCCCACCGGTTCCACACCCCGCCCCGCGCGCTCCGCGCGCCCAGTCCGGACAGTCCCGTTTACCCCGCCGCGGAGGCCCGGAGCTTGGAGCCGCCGTAGGCGGTGTCGATGAGGTGGATGGCCTTCAGCCGGAAGTTCTCCTTCCTTACGCCCAGAAATCCATCCGCGGAGTCAGCGGAAAGGTGCATTTTTTTTGGAGCACGAAATTGAAACTGGTGGATTTATTTCTCTGCGGTGAAGAGAGTCAAGGGACCGAAGGTCATCAGCTACCCGGAGTCTCCACTTAAAAAAATGGTCAATGACCCCATGATTTTGGGTATATTGACCCCATGTTTTGAGGGTCAGAAGGAGACTCCAGGTGAGTTTTATGCTTTGGGGCACTAAGAAACTGGTTGGTGGATGGGGTTGATGAGACCGGATCCCGAGCTAATTATCGTCAGGTCCATAGCCGTGTTGATCCCATTCATCAACCAACTAGTTTAGTAATAGGGGGTGGGGGCCCCTCCAAAAGTGGTCTGATTCTCCACTTAATCCAGGGACACCCCGCTATTAATAAACTGGGGTTTGTTAATATGGGGTCAACACTTCTTACCCTCCCGGCAATTGACATGGAACCTGACAGGAGGCGGGCGTCCTGGTCTGGACCAGTTTCCTGTCAGGTTCCACGTCAATTGGTGGGAGGGTAGTTGGTGCGTTGAAGCCCGGTGGTGTGGATTTGGGAGCTTGAACCCTTCTTGTAGCGGTTTCGGGATTGATCAGGTAACCCATAATTGGATTTGGAACTTGAACCCCTTCTTGTAAAGTAAAGCCAAGCAATAGTTCAAACACAACACCTCGCAGTTGTCCCGGGACCCAATAAAAGGTGATAATCTGTTGGGTGGCCACAACATATTGGAATCCAAAACGGGACACCAACAGGTGTCATCTGGCCGATTTGCGTGAGAGAAGGAATCCAACATCCGCAACGACTCAGCCAAAAGGTGGTGCAGTCGCACCAAAAATCGGCACTCAAAACTGGGCTCCTCTGGTAAAAGTTAAACTTTGAGCGGGTTGAATGGAAACCACAAACACCAATGGATTCGGGATTGGCTGCCAACAAAAACGGTGGGCCCCCCTTTAGTTGACATAGTCGCGAAAATGGGCCACCAACAATACTTCACCCAACCAAAAGGTGGCACTCTCAAAACAAAAAGGCACTCTCAACCAGTGGCCCCCGTTTTCGTTGAAATAAGCCCAGGTGAACCCTTCCAGAACTATCCTTAAAAGCTGCCCCGAACCACCCCTCATCGCCTATCTGAGACCAAATCCATATCGTTCAGCTGTTGAGGAAAACGTGTTAGATTTGAGGTCGACAAAACCTGAAACGGAATCTGCAGAAATCTGATCTGTTCTACCTTTTTTGTCGGCCAAGTAACGTTGGGGTTCTCAGTTCGTTGACATAGACGTGAACATGGGACACCAACAAACCTTCACCCAACCAAAAGGTGGTACTCTCAAAACCAGAAAACAGCTCGCTCATAACCAGTGGCCCCCTTGATTTTGGGTAATGACCAACCATGTTTCGAGGGTCAGAAGATGACAGAAGGAGACTCCAGGTGGGTGTGTGTGTGTGTGCTTTTTTAGGGGACCCCCAACCTGGCGGTTTTCCTTTTGGCCCCCGCATAAAAAGACAGATCCCACGAGCCATCTGCTGACGTAGCGGGCTCGGGTGAGTCATGGCGCTGGGTGAGGTGCTCGAGCAGCTCCCAGTCGAAGAGCAGCTGCCCGCTGCCCAGGGAGCAGTAGACCAGGCCACGGGCCGCGCGGACGGCCCCAAAGGCCGACTTGATGTGATCCTTGCGAGGGGAAAGGGAAAAGGAAAGGGGAGAGGTTTTAGTGGGGGTTGGGGTTGGTTGGGGGTTGGTTGGGGTTAGGGGTGTTGGTTGGGGGTTGGTCGGGGGTTGGTTGGGGTTTGGGGGGAGAGGAGTAGGGGGTTGGGGTTGGTTGGGGGTTGGTTGGAGTTTGGTTGGGGGTTGGGGTTGGGGAGGGGGCAAACAAATTATCGATGTGTTGATCCGCGGCTTGCGGAAAAAACAAAAACGCTGGGACAAGTGCCTCTCCTGGAGTTGCCTTAAGCGGACTGCCCCGGACTCAGGTCAGCGGGGCGATACCTGGTGAGTCCCGGAAAATGTTCCCCAAGGGTGGTTTTAGATTCGTAGCTGCCAATGTAAAGTGAGTCTCCTTTTGGGATCATATGGGTGTGTCTTCTTTTAGGGCATCCCCCAAAATGCTGACTTTCCTTCTGGTTCCCTTTGACACTACCACCAAACAAGGGGTACTTCCAAAAAAAAACAACATATTTCAAGGTTGGACATGCAAGGAGCCTTGGAAAACACGCCCGGAGGAAACCCACGTGGCCACTCTCACTTGCGAAGATGATTGGACCAAACAAATGGGAAATGCCACACCCAAACGATAAATTCCCAGCGTGTTTGGGGCTTGCAACCAAACCCAACAAACGAGCAGCTCACCCCACTTTTGAAGGTTCCAACAAGGGAACTGGCTCGGAAAGCCTGTACGAACAAACTCATTGGCTTGTCTGAGAACTTCATTGGCCACTGATTCATCTCAAGTGGCTGCCAGAAATTCCCGCCCAAAAAACTCAAAATACAAACAAAGGCCAAAGGGGTTGAGTCAAGGACCGCAGACCCTGGACTGACTCACCGCCTGAAACCTCCACTTTGCCATCAGAACATATTTGCTTGACTTGCGAAATAAGGAGACTCCCTCGAAGGGTTGCTTCGCCCATTGAGTTCCCGGCCCAAGAAAGAAGGGGTCAAAAAAGCAACAAACAAAAACACAACTACATGAGCAGTGTTCACTGAAGCGCTTCTTTTGCCCAGGAAAACACATCAGTCGGGTTGATCAGTCAGCCCCGATTTCGGGACGTCTCGTTCTAGCGGTGAGAATAGCATCACCTCATGCAAAAACCAAAAAGCACGAGGACGTCCTACGACCCTTCGGCTTTCCTGAAAAAGGTCCACGAGTGCAGCACAATTGTCCTTTAGGGGCTTCCTATCAGCTCCTCCCCCGCACCAAGCGTCGACGCAGAACTTCAGGAAGTCTGGGCGGACCTGCAATTTTTGTTGGTTGACGTTGGCAGGGGAGCAAACATATAAATCTTAGCAGAAAAACGTGGTTTTGGATTTCAACCACTAAACCACAATAAGCAAAAAGGTAAAATCTTCCCCAACAACCACCAGGTTTCGGGCTGCATTTCCGGACTTGAAAACACAAATGCCGAGGCCTCAAGGGCCAGGATCGGTTGCGTAGGAGCTGAGGTGTTCACAGGACCTTCTGGAGTCTCCTTCTGACCCGAATTAAAAATTGGCCAATGGCCCACCATTTTTTTAAGGGTCATTTTTTAAGGGTCATGGAGACTCCAGGTTGACTCAAAATAGAACACACCAGGAAAACGAAAAGGTCAAAGAGGTCGATTCGCTTTGGACAAGTCAGGCAAGTAGAAATTGCAAAACGTACTCAGCCAGTCTGGGGGCCTCTAAATTCGCCAAATGGAACAAGCCAAGTCTGGTGCAACATTTGGGGCCTGGACGCCTTGAAAAGGAGCGAGCCGTTTCCGGCCATCCCCCTTGTGGCATCTTGGGGTCAAAGTCTGAGCTGAGCTTGGTGCTTCCTCGCCCTCAAGGGCTCCTACTAGGTCCTCCAGTAAAGAGATTAGAATAAGTTGGTACCAACTTTTTTCTGTAATCTATTTTAGTAGGGGAACCCTCCCAACCAAAAAAGAAACGGTAAAAGTTGGCACTCCTGAAAAAACCTGACCTACTTTGAGGCCTTAACCAGGCCTGAACTCGATTTGGCCATATCTGGCCCTGGCCAGGGCAAAGCCCCGAAACTGTCGGGCACTCTTTGATCTGTTCCAGCAAGTGTTTCTTTAAGTAGCAAGCATCTACTATACTTGGGTGACTCTTTTGGTCACCGATTTTCTTCGGAGGCTTGGACTGTACTTTCTTGTTTTGAGTCCCAGCAACTTCAACGCCGAGCCTGAGATGCGAGCACTCGCGAGCTAAGTGTTTGGGTACTCTTGGGCCTTGGTTGCTTGGCTGCTTCTCCACCTTACTCCTACCTGGAGTCTCCATGACCCTTAAACAATGGGTCAATGACCTAATGATTTTGGGTACTTTTTCCCCCTTAAAACTCCCTGCGGCCTGGGCAAGTTAATCTTTTACAGACATATAGCCCATGTTACCCAAAAATGTGTTTTTAAGAGGTAAGTCTTGGGTAATGACCAGCCATTTAAGAGTCATGGAGACTCCAGGTCGGTGGCTTGCTTCGGTTTGCTTCTCGGTTGTCCCGGGCTCTACTTTGACCCAGAGCTTCAAAGCCCCAACCCCATTCAGCTTGGTTGCTGTTGAGCCCTCTGACACTTACGGTCCACTCTTTGTGGGTTTAAGTCGAGGAAAAACCAGACCTGTTCCCTTGGCTGGAATTAAGACCCCAGCAAAAAAATATATTTTTTGCCTGGTTAGTGGAAAAAGAAGGGAACCCCAAAAAAGCAAAACAGCAAAACGGGCAACTAATTCTGGGGAAGTTTCCAATCAAAAAAGGTAAAGTCCAAAGATCCGCCACACAGCCATAACGATCCCGTTGACACCACTTCCACTGATGGGCGTCCTTTTGGGTGTCCCATTAAACCCATCCCCAAAAAGTGCCACCAGCCCATCCATCGTTTCCCTTTAAAGCCGTCCCAAAAACTCACTTGCCCAAAGGACCATTATCTCTCTCTCTCTCTCACAACGCAGCCTGGAAATAAAAGGTTAACCTTTGGGGCCATGATTAAACACGGACCAATGGGGAAACCAAAAGGTCAAAAGGTCAGCTTTGGGCAATGGAGACAAGACTGCCATGGGGGTCAAGCCCATCGAACCCCCGCCTGCGAGTTCTGCCCGAGGCGGTAGTTCCCGCACTTCTTATCCCCGCACTCCCCGAGGTGCTTCACCACTGAGACTCCGCCGTCCGGCAAAAGCTCGCAGGGCCTGGCGGGCGCGCGCCAGAAGTTTTCGGCTTCTTCGCCCCGCGGCCAGCGTTTGGTGATCCGTGGCGCAACCAACCGTTGGTATGGTGGCTCAAACAAAAAGGCATGTTGTTTGGATACCCCCGCAAAGAAAAAAAAAAAACAACAACAACAACAACAACTATTATTTTTGTTTGGCAGCCCTACCAAAAATGAACAGAAGCACCTAGAAACATGCCAACGACCGTGTCGAAGGAGGGTCCCTCATGTGCGGTCCACAAAGATTTTCAGCTGAGGTGAAACTGCCAAAAGTGCTCTCAAGATTCGTCAATCCAAGTTCAGGACCCCTCAACTTGCATACACCTGAACATTGCCACTTGTTTTGTTTTTCCTGGTGGTTTCCAACTTTATTCTGGTGTTGAAAAAGCAACATGTTTCAAATGGGCAGGCAACATGAATTTCTTGTAAGGAGCCCTGTACAATTATCACCTTTCAAGTGGCGACTAAACATGAAGCTTTTGGGGTGGCTATAAATGGACCCTACGAAAACCAAAAGGTGAACAGGTCGATTCGATTCGCTGGCAAGTGAGAGTACAAAGTCCAAATCATGTTGACCCCATATTCCTCATCAACCAGCCAGTGTATGAATGGGGGCGTGGGGGAATCAAACCATAAAAACCGGGAACATGATTTGGATGTTGGATAACCTGGTTGACTGGTGTTTTTGGGTGAAATATGGGTCCCGAATCAGACCACTTTTGGAGGGGTTTCCGTCACCCCCCCCCTGCTTATTTTGAGCTGGGGTTGAAATTATCATAGTGGGTCAAAAAAGGGGGTTGTCTCCCACGCAAGCCTAGTTGCTGTAAGCTCTTCCCGGTCGGGATCGTCGGAAGTGTCGGACCCCGCCTCACATAGCCCCGGCGCCGCTCCAATTTCAGGCCCGAGCCTTGCAAGACCTTGGGCGGATGCCGCTAAGCGTTGCTTCCATTTTGGTCCCTGGAAATGAGGACGAAATCGATTCCCTTCAAACCGATTTAAACCAGGGGAACATAAAGAATAAATGTTGAGCAAATGAAAGTGCACAGTCTCAAAACCCTGAAACAGGAGACAATTCGGTAGGAATTCTCATCGCGTCTTGGTACAAGGCCGAACCAACAAACTCACCACTGGCCACCTTTTGGCAAACAAGGAAACAGGTTTTTTTTGTGACATGTAAGGCGTGAAAAAGCGCTATGGCTCGGTCGAGATGCAGGTTCCAAATGCAAAAAAGAAAGAAAGAAAACAACTGACAAATCGAAGCATCGCCGCGCTTCACCGTGCCCTTTATCCCCCCAGTCCCCATATCCCCATACCCCCAATCACCAACAAAAAGCCCCGAGCTTTCGGTTTCACCACCCACCATCACTCGTAACCCACCTCCCGCCACGAAACCCAAAAACGTTGGATCCGCGCTCAACTCGGCGCTCAGCGAGCTCCGCTCGCTCCGCGACTCCGATCCGCCGACTCCGATCGATCCGACTCCGCGCCTCGCGCACCGAGCGCTTCTGGGCCTCCGGGATCAGCTTGGGCCGCACCAGGGCGCCGCTGTCGCCGCTGGCGGAGCTGCTGGAGCTGCTCATGGCTCGGATCGCTCGGCTCGCGGCCCGAAGAAAGGAGCGAGCGGCCGGGGGTTTGGCTGACTGATCCGGGTGGCTGAGCCCCGAAGGGAAACCAGAGGGATGGTATTTAGAGAATGAGGTTCCGGGTGAGGAATGAATAGGATGGATGGATGGGTTGAGAAGCAGCAAGGTAAGGAACAAGGCGAAACAGAAGGGACGTGAGAAAACGTGAATGAGACAGAAGGCGGGTGCTCTGTGGAGGTTGTTTAAAGGAAACTTACAAGGGCGACACAAAAAACAAGAACATGGGAGTTCTTTTCTTCTGGGCCGCTTTGGACCTCCCCCCAGCGTGATGGGTTGGTTTCCAGGCAGCTTTCGGAAGCAAGTCGTGCAGGGGTGTTGGGTGATGCTTGTGCCACCGGTTGGGTAGTGTGAGCGGATTCCCCAACGGATGTCATCGCCTTATATAATCGCGTCCACGTCATGGTGTTAGCCTCTCCATGAGCGCCTCGAGCCACTGACTTGCATGGAAAGCAACGCGACGACTGTAGCTTCAACCGACGTGCATTGTAGTTCAAGCTGTATTTGCACAGGCTCCAAACCCGGAATCTAGGGATCCCCAAGTCAAGGATGTATACGTTGTCGCTCTTTTTACTGATACGTTTGATATGTTCTGTGGTCAGTACTGAACATAGCTTCTGGCAAAGGGTGCCACCGGCCAGCTTTCCTTGTAAGCACATGAACGGCCACACATTGATGTCAGCAGGTTGCGAAACGCAATGTTTCAAGGCTGGCATGGCTGCGGGGCGAATCTGAGCTGTGAGAATCCCCCACAGCAGGGCCATCACAAGCGATTGAATCCTTAATAGTCCTTGATAATTACCAACTCAGCACTATGCGTTTCTGCAGGTCCCCTTTGCTGTCACACCCCTGTTTGTGGCTCTGAATCACGGTATAAGCCGTCCAAAAAGCTCTCGACACGTCGCGAATGCTCTCGTGAGTTATCCTCAGGTTCCCTGTGCCTCCAGCCATGTTCGGCATTCACTTCTGCATGGGTCTGGGCTGACACACCCGCAAAACAGCTCAGTTAGCAAAAGAAGAGCCACTTGCGAGAACCTGAAATACAAGGTTGACCTTTTGGGATCTTGACAAAACATGGACCAAGGGGAACCAAAAGGTCAGATCTGGTCGATTCGCAGGTGGGACCAGGTGAATCCGAGCAACGGCCAGTGCGCAGTGGGCCAGGAAGAAGAGGTAGGGCCGCGTGTTGGCCCTGAGCATAACTGCCCGACGGCAAATTCACATGGGACCAAAAAATGGGGCCCCAAAAGGTTGATCTGCTGGGAAAAAATGAAAAGTGCCAGTAATTAGTGATGGACTCCCTTTAACAACAGGACAAATAACGCATATTCTTGAGCAAATGGAAGAACAGGCTACCCTGAAAGACACATCTGCAAGGGATTGGTTGGACACTGGTTTGTTGTTCTGCCGGCTGCCCCCCGCGAAGATGAACGGGCCCGCCCAAGAGAGAGAGAGAGAGAGAAAAACAAAAGAAAGAGAGAAAAGAAAGAGATAAAAAGAAAGAGAGAGCGCGGTTGCCGTTCTCTCCCCCCGCTTGGAGAGGGGGGCGAGGGGGCGAAGGGCCGCGGTTTGGACAATAGAGAATGAGTTTGGGCTTGAGACATCCCGTGTTTCACCAGCAACATGGAAGTGCGTGCACATGTGTGTGTGTGTGCGCGCCATTTTGTGCTGTCACTTCCCCTGTTGAAATGAGGTCGACCGTCGCTTTGATCAAGGGCCCGCTTCTTCTCCGCACCCAATTGAGACACCCATGCCCAAGCCAACGATGCCCCGCAAAAAGAAAAACCACCTGGAGTCTCCTTCTGACCCTGTAACAACTGGGCACATGACGCCACATAAAGGGGTCATGACAAAATTTAGTTAAAGGGTCCTGGAGACTCCAGGCAAAGGTGGAAATCGGGAAATGTCAGGATCAACCCTTTCGCGGGGTTGAATGATGCTGGCCTCAATCATGTGGTTTTGGCAGCCCCAAGGAAGGTCGATGAGACAAGGAAAGCAAGCAAGGCTGCAATATATCCAAAACCTGACGCGCGCAGCACTATATATACCTGGAGTCTCCATGACACTCAAACAATGAGCCCATTACCTTAAATAATGGGGTCATCGACCCATTTTTTAAGGGTCATGCAGACTCCAGGAACACGCCTACCACACCAGCGTTAAGGCGCAACTTGACCACACGGATCCGACCCCCTGCAAGAAGTGACTTACTTCTGCTGGTTGAAAGAGTTACGCAGGTAAGCTAAGTCTGGCAAAAGGGTGATGTTTAAAACCGCCCTCCCGGGGTCCGACAAGGGGACCCCTTCAAGTCCGAGGTCCCGGCAAATATCGGCAAATTGCGCCTCCGGTGCCTAACAAGCGAGCGCTTGGCACGGATCGGATGCATGCTTTTGGCAAACCAGATGCTCCAGCGTCTTTTTGGTGCCCTCGATTCATTTTTTGGGTGCATTAATCCATGTTGAAAATAGGGTCACTTAGTCCTAAATCAAAGAGGCCACTTAGGCCATGTAAAGGGCACTTAGACCCTCAGGGTTGGCCTCCCTCCCTGATTATTCCTCCCCAGTCCGGGCAAATCGAGCCGCAGCGACACGCGAATGCCACTCACGCAGGGGGGACCGACACTAGCGTAACTGTCCTTTTCAAGGGGTAAGTGACCTTGATTCGCAACCCCCACTGACACTCAAATGACACGCTTTGACACTGAAAACGCTGGCCAATCAAATGTGGCAGTGCCCTTCATTGAAAGGCACTAAAAATATGCTGGCTCTAAATTTCGTATTGATCCGGACCATACTACTCCGGGGGCGTCCCTTAGGGAAATAATCCAGTTGAGCTGAGTGAGAAGCGGTTTGCAATTCGGAACAGGATGGAGGGTGCGGGGGTTCTCTCTCTATGTGTGTCCGAACCCTCCATGCCTCCCGATATTTCCCTTGTGAACATCACCCCGCTAAGAGGAAACTCCATTTAGAAGGGTCATGCTTAAAACCAGCAAAACCCTGGACTTCCTTTATTTCCCTTTGTGGACCCTCCACACGTGTCAGTTTCAATGGAAACCACCAGCCAAAGGGAAAGGCTCACCCTTTGGGAGCTCCGCGAAATTTGGGCCACGGGAAAACCAACAGATCAGATCTTGCCGTGCTTTGGCAAAGCATCTGATGGAACCCATCAAACCTCAGTTGTCCAGCGACCCCGGAGAAAAAAAAGGGGAACCCTTTTTGGGGAAGACCACAATTTTTAGTGGGGCAGCCACCCCCAAAAAAAAGAAGAGGGAAACAAAACCAAAGGAACCAGGGTGCCACTGAACCACTGAGAAACCAACAGGGCCTCCCGCCCCCCGGGCCTTGGTACATGATGGCTATGGCCAGGAGGGTCTTCGAGCGCCGCAGCGCCGCGGTAAGCTGGCCGAGAGCTGGCTGAGGTGTCGCTTCCGTTTGCAATTTTTGGCCACCTGGAAAAAATATGAGCCAATACTCACTTGCTGAGTGGATGGCCCAAACAAGTAACCAAACTTTGGATTTGCCACTAAAATGATCGAAACCCAAAAAGTTTAAAGATCATGAACTCAGGAAGTGAGAATAAGTCCTGTAGTGATAGATTCCCTTTGAAAACCAACAGGGAAAAAAAGAAGAAAAACAACACGCGCTGAAGCAACTGGAAGGTCAGAACGAGCAAGCGATCTTGCTAAGCAAAGCTCACCTTCAGGACGCAAGGCATGTCTGAGGGCGTGCAGGCTCCACGCTATCAGTTGTTAAATTAAGATACGCCCCTCCTTTCCAATGGCGCTGAAGCACACTGCCAGCTGCTAGGTCCTCCAGTAGAGAGCTTAGAATAAGTTGGTACCAACTTCTTTCAGTAGTCTATTTAGGGAACCCTCCCCCAAAAAAAGAAACGGTAAAAGTTGGCACATGGCTGGGGGACCTAGGCCGTTTCAAGTGAGTCGCACAGGTCCCGTGTCTAACTCGCCTCCTATCCTTCGTTTCAAGTTCGGCCGACGAAAAGATTGACCCACAAAGCTCAGGCTCCGGCCAAGAGAACCACCCAGGCCTCGAGATTTGTGGCAAGCAGAACTATAACCTTTGGGTGCTGGAGCTCCCCCAGCTAAAAGTTTGACTCTTTTTGCTGGTTCAAAGGAAAATGACGGGAATCCACAAGGTGAAAGTCTAAAGATCCAACCCAGCAGTAGAGAGGGTCTTTCTGACTCTCGGCATGTGTGAAACTGAAGGGGCCGAGCCATATTCGAACGCGCTTGTGATGAGGCTCGTGAAGCGTGCGGATCCGTTTTCTGCTTCGCCAGGCAGCTGAATGACTGATGTGGCCATGGGCTTTTCAAAAGCCAAATCGGTTAGCCCCGGTGGACATTTGATTCAAGCCAACCACTAAAATCGACTAAACTGGGTGCACCTACCCCAAAATGGCAGGTGAATTTGGTTTTGACCCACAGCCATTTATGAAATGCACACGCAGGGCGGTTTCACTTTCCCGACCTTGAAGCACCAAACGCAGCTATGGTCCACAGTGTGAATAGGAGGCTCGTCCACGTTCTGGCCATGGAGCTTTCCTGTGAGGTCGGCTTTGACCAACCAATCCAAACCAGAAGCGTTTCCTTCGAATTCGCAACATCCCATAGGCCAGCACATCCCAAATTGCCAACCTAAGCTGTTCATGTCGCAGGACAAAATCGAGATGGATTCCCGAAGAACCGGAAACAGGAATGGTGGCTTCCCCTTATTTTGGCAAAAAAAAAACATGTTTCAAATGGTTGCTAAATGCATTTTTTAAGGAGCCCTGGACTTGGTTGCTGCTGACCCCCCCTGCAAAAAGTCGACAGGTTTAGTGGAAAACACCTTTATTTCAACCAAAAAGTCAAAGTCTGAAGATCCAACCCAATAGCAGTCAAGTGGAACAGGCCGTTGGACTCCGAAAAACTGTCCTGCTAGGCTCCCTGCAGCCGAGGTAGGCCCCAGCTCCACAGCGATCTCGGAAGCAATGAGCAAGGGACAAATATGAGCGGTCAAATATCTGGCCGGGGCATGGATCCCGTTTGCTCGTTGTTTTGTGGTGTGTTTCCCCAACAGCTGAAAGCTTTGGGGTCTCAGCCCAGATAGGCTCCGGGGTGGTCCGGGGCGGCCCTGAGGTAAGGTTCCACCAGGGTTCCGCGAGGGTTCCACGAGGTTCTGCGCGGGCAGCGGGGTGGTGCGAGCACTAACAAGAGCACCGCATGCTGGGGATGTCATCTGAGCTTATTGTAACATAGATACCTTGTGCTTGGTCTTCCCAAAAAGTGTAAAGTTCAAAACCAGCCACATCTTCTCGTGACATTCTTGCGGCTTTGGGAAGGTCCTCAGGCCCGGTTTTGGTGTCGATAGTTCGAACCTGGCTTCACGATGGGGCCGTCAGCTCACCTAGATTCCCTTGAGGGAAGCAACTGCCGTCTCACCCCTGCACCAGGGACCCAGAATACCCTTTACCGTTAAGCCCTCATTTAGCCGTGGCCAAGACCTGGCATGGCAAGCAGCAACCGTCGCCTCCTTTTTTAGCTGCAAGACTAAAAGTTTGTCACGTTGCTCAGCGGAACGCGGACAGGTGCTTCGCACGGTGGCTTTGTTTTTGGCTAATTAACATGCGTGCACGGACGGAGCCAGCTACCAGCCAAGCCGCGCTCGCTTCACGTACTCTCACGCCAACAAGCGATGTCAGCTCTTGCAGCACGTGCCATTCGACAAGTTCCGAGCAAGGTTTGTCAAGCAAAGGGGATCTCACTTGGCACCTCTCGCGGCTTTCGCGGCCTCACCTGGAGGTGCCCAGGTGAACCAGCAAAACCAGGCGTTCCATGCTGAACCCATTGGAAAACACTTGGCCCAAACAAATTGCTTGCCTGAAGCCTACCATGCCTTACCACTTTATCGAGGATTCGCCCCCGATATATTACTTTGAGGCAGAATTTCCCCATAAAAATGGCGACAACCCCAGCCCGACCAAATACTATGACCGCATTCGCTGAGAGATACCAGTCCCCAAAGGGCAAAGATTTCTGCCACTTCTTGTAACAGTGAAGCCCTCTTGTCACTTGTGTATATTATATATCTCCTCAAACTATGCTTCTGACCCAGAAGCTCTTGATTTCCCTTAACGAAGAAATCAACGTTTGCCTGGTACCTGGAATTAGGCAAGGTGCCTGGACTTTCTGACCCATATCTGCGTGTCAAATAACTCTGGACAATGAAGTGGGCAGAAGGCCTTTTCAAGAAAATCGCGGTCTTCCAAATCCCTCGCCCTCAAGTGTTGCGGGGCCCACAACCCCCCGATTCAGCCCCTTCAATCCGAATCCAGAGGCGATTCGGAGCTTGGCCGGTCAAAGCTGGGCACCGGAAGTTGAACCAGATCCTGGAATCGCTTGTCACAGGGACTTGGACCCCAGAGCAGATTTCAGCTGGTTCTTGGATACCAAAAAACAAGCAACAGCGGACACTTTACGATGAGCCATCCATGAGAACCAGAAATTCACGGTTTCAGAAGCCCAACCATGAGGTTCTTGATACTTCCCTAAAAACATCGCCCCAAAACACGCTCACCTCAAACAAGTGATGTTCAACACCATGGGAAATATGGGGCCCCGACCGTTCAGCCGGGATCCCAGAAATCCGGATCCCTCACAACCCTCGGAGTTGTCCCAAACAGGCCTGATCCTGCCTGCTTTCCAATGTCCAAAATCCCCTGCGCATGGTAACCGTAACCAAGAAGCAGTGCTTGGGACCCGGTTGCTGGCAAAGGTGACCTGGGCTAAGGTGGGTTAGAAACACAGGCAATCGGTCCATGGATACCTATTGAAGCAGGCCGAAGCTGCCGAAGCTTGACAGGAAGATCACATCCAAACCTTGGTGGCTACCCTCCAACAAACATAACTGTGGGAGGGTACCTGGAAGATGGTGTTCCCCTTGATGGTGTTCATCTTGTGTCAGCTGCTCTGTTGGTGGGAGCGTATGGCCTTCTGTACACCAAGTGTTCCTTGATAGGGGGGAGCACCTTTGTCCCAAGCTAAAGACTAAGGGTCCAACACAATCGCTGAGAACCGTACCCTCGACGCAAAGGGAGCCCCTTTTGCCGAGACGATCGACGCCCCAGCGCCTCAAAGGAAGCTCACCTTCTCTGCGCCTCGCTAGGCGTCACACGAAAGGAAGTCAAATGACATGTTGCCTTTGTCGATCAATGGGTTCTAACAAATGGTCGCGGGTCAAAAAATGGTACCCAAAATGCAATCCTGGTAAATGGAAACATGGACTAAAACCTGCGGAACTCTGGTGGTTTAGTTTTGACCCATACCCAAATGGGCCACAGTGGATCAATGCCTTTGACGGTCCTAAAGTCACATAGTCTGCAATTTGGGCGATCCTGAATGGGTTCAACAAAAATGGGCTCTACAGTCGATCAATGCCCAAATGCACACCCGGGCATACCCAAGAAACTACTATGTATCCTGTATTCATGTGGTACATCCCAGCACTGCAGTACTCATCACAGGAAACCACCCTGGGCGGCTTGGTTTGTTAGTTTAATCCAAAAGGAAGCCCAATGCAAAAATGACAGATGACTCAATTCAGTTGCATGTTGCATCTCAGAAAAAAACGGAGCTTGGATAGGCATTTATTTCACCAGTGGCCATACCTGCCGAAGCTCCACGCTGCCTCTTGCCCAGTTTTCTGGCTACCTTACACACAATTTTCTACACTCCAGCTTAAAGTAGCAACCCCAAGCTTGCGTTTAGAACCACGCTAGAACCGGCTAGTGTAACACCAATTGAACCACAATACACACAAACATAAAAAAACCCAATCTGAACTTCCCCTCCCCCTCCATAAATGTCAACCCGTCACACTGAAACCATGGCACACTAATCATCTTTGGATCGCACAAGAAAAGACAGAATTAAACGACTAAACGGACCACAAAAGGAATGGGACCCCTCCAACCAAACTAATTCATCGCTTCCCCCTATTAACTCTCGGAAGTCCTATTGCCCTATTCATATGCTATTTTATTTATTTGCTATAAAAAAATATTAAAAAAAAAACAAAAAAAACACAAAAAAACGGGGAAAACACAAACTGAAGAAGCAAAACGATCCAGTACCAAAAGGGCCCCCAGGAGTCCTGAACCTTTCCACTGCGTCCTGAGGTCACTTCCTCAGATTTGGTGTTGGAGCGAACACGTCGATTTTTTTTGTGTCCGATCACGACAGAAAATGTCTGGTCTTCCAAGAGGTTTTTTTTGTCCGGCAAGGAAAAATAGATGGTTTAAAGAGGTTTAAAGAGGTTTAAAGAGGTTTAAGGTCACAAGAAAAATGGTCTTCCAACCCAGGGAGCATAGGCGCGAAAACCACCAGGTCAACCAGGGATCGCCATCTACTCTCCACCAAAACTAGCAAACGGGTGACGGACGAAATCCTGCACCACCGAGTTTCCCTGTAAATGCCAACAAACAATGGAATCCCATGGCTCTTTGAAACCAACTAAAAAACGGGGCTCCCCAGAAAAACACACAAAACACACATGGTCCACTTGTTTCTTTTTAGGATGTCCCCCTGGTGTCCGCTAGAAAAGTGGGGGGGCACCCACTGAAAAACGGGGGGGGGGATCGCCCGCCGATGCCCGCCGTTCCCAGGGCTCCCCGCTCAGCTCCACCTCCGCGCCCTGCTGCAGCTCTGCCAGCTTCGGCTCCAACTCCTCGGGTGTCCAGATCCGGATCGAGCGGATGGACATCTCCGAGCCATGGCGGGGTTTTCTGACTGGAGGGGAACACCCCCCATAAACCGGGTTAAATAATCCGGGGTCAACATTAAGCGCTTCTTGCTAGGTCCTGCACTAGAGAGGTCAGAATAAGTTGGTGCCCGATTTCTTTTCTGTAGTTTATTTTAGTAGGGGAACCCTCCCCCAAAAAAGGGCACTACAGGGGGAACGGATGGAGCTTCGAGTTGCAACAACCTGGAGTCTCCTTCTGACCCTTAAAACATGGTTGGTCATTTCCCAAAATGATGGGGTCATTAACCCATTTTTGTAGCACGGAGGCCCCAGGAACTTGCAATGGTGTTCAGCTGCCCTCGAACAACTTCTGGGTCCTGCAGTAGCGAGGTTCGAATAAGTTGGTACCAACTTTTTCCTGTAGTCTAATTTTAGTAGGGGAACCCTCCCCAAAAAGGGTAAAAGGGCACTACTGGGGGACCTAGTTGCTACAACTTGCAATGGCTTTCAGCTTCCCTCGAAGTGGTGGTTTGGTGGGTCCCCAATACTACTTTTATAGCCAGGAATGGATTATTACAACTTGCCGTGGTTTGGTGGTTGGGCGTCTTTTTTAAGGCTGGACCCAAAAAAAATGTGGTCTTCCTTTAGGTTTCCCTTCAAACCACACCCAAAAAGGGTACCATCAAGAAAAACACACACCCGGTTGGGAATGGCCTGGTTTACCTCCCAAACGACCAAAAGCATCCACCCTACGCCCGTGTCATGTCTGTCCGTATCCTTTCAGGGATGGTGAATCTGGGTGTCTCTTCCTTCCAGGAGCGCCAGTGGAAAGGGGACAAGATTCAATCCTTTTTTGATGCATACGACGAGCTCACCGATCGAGCGTAATTTGGGTAATACTGTGGATGGACGAAATCCTGCACCACGCAAGAACCCCTGAAATGATGATTCCCCTGTAAATACCAAAACCTAGGTTTTGCATGGCTTCATTTCGTGGTGCGAAATGGATTTCGTCCATCCACAGTATCCCATGCAAATGTGGACGTGCCTGGAGTCTGCGTCTGACCCTTTAAACATGGGTCAATGACCCCAATACCTATTATTGTGGGTAATGACCCACCAATTTGTTTCAGGGTCACACCATTTTGTGTCATGACCAACCCATTTTTTCAGGGTCACCCCATTTTGTGTCATGACCCACCCATTTTTTCAGGGTCAGAAGGAGACTCCAGAAAGCAGAAGAAGGGCTTGGCGACTCGGCGACTCGCCTGAAAGAGCCGCACCGCCAAGGCCTCTGGGCTGTCAGGCCACAGCGCCTCGCGGCAAATGCGGGCGAGCAAATGCGGGGCGCTCGCGCGCGGTGTTTCTCTCAGCGGCCCCGTGGATTTCCACGTGTTTTTTTTTTGTTTTGCTTGTTTCTGAATTTTGTTTGGGGGGGGAAGGATCGGCATCCGTTTGTTTGTTTTTGTTGCTTGCGCTCTGTTTCAGCTTTGCAGCTAAGGGCATCCTTTTTTTGGGTTGGTTGAGTTTAAAGGGGGCCCTTCCCCGAAAAAGGAAAAGAGATAAAGAATTGGCGCCACTCGGCAACTGGGGTTTGTTGCTCAGTTTAGGGCAGAAGTGGGTGATCACCTTTAACCATGACTAAGATATGTTCACTTCCGATCGAGTGGATTGGCAAAAACAAGGTCCATCTGGAGCACTCCATGACCCTTTAAAAAATGGGTCAATGACCCCAATACTTATTATTTTGTGTAATGGCCAACCATTTTTTAAGTGTCAGAAGGAGACTCCAGGCACACGTTCTGCTTACCACTCAACGGTCTTCCCAACAGATTTCTAAGGCCAACTCCGGAAGTGAGTTCCTGGGAGAGTTCAACTCAGGGAAGCCGGTCGGATCAATCCGGTCGACTTGGAGCGATGCGCGCTGAGAAGCGCCGCCGGACATGTGGCGCGTTTTTTTGCGATTCTCGCCCTGGCCACATGAACCCCCCCCCCCTCGCTTCTTCCCAGAAATTCTCACTGGAAACGACTGCATCCCCCCCAGGGGGCATCCAACAGGTGTTCTGAACTGGGCACGCGCCAGAAAGACGGGCTTGCCTTCAAGTCAAGGCGAGCATTTTCGTCAGGGAGCTACATGGTCCTCACTCCATCGATCATATCCTCTGGCATGGCTAGCTGCCTGCTGCCTGGGATTAGGACGCCAATCCATCACACGTTGGCGTCCTTCAGGGGGAACCTGTTTAAACAACACAAACGCAAATCTGACTATTTGACATTCATTTGCTCCAAACCAAACCAAACCTAACCAGCCAAATGCTTCCCCCGGCCCCTGCGGGCTTCCCGGGATTTCCCTTAAACAACTCTCCTTACATGGGCCACACAAATGTTCAAAACCACTGGCATTCTCCTACCCTTCAGGACCTGGAAGCAAGGGTCATGTTGGGGGTCATGACTAAATATGGTTGCCAAAAAGGAACCCCCCAAGGGTCAAAAGCTCGGTTTTGGACAACTGAGTAGCGGCAAGAGAACTCTATACGCAAGGCCCAAAAGCTTTCTGCTCGACTTTGGATCTCTTGCAAACAAAAATGCAAAAACAAAAACCATGTTTTCGGCCCACACCGAACCAACCCCAAAAAAACAACCGGCCCAAAGCGCCGACCCGCGCTCTTTCCCCGCCCGTCGATTTCCGAACCGACGGGTCGAAGCGCCTGCTTGGCGCAAAGCAGAAAGGGCGCCAGCAGCGCCGAGCGGCTGAGCCAGGAGAGGTGGAAGCTGAAGCCCAGCGAGGCCCCCGCCAAGCCTCGCATTGTGGCTGTGGTTGTCAAAACCGTTTGGGGATCCCATTTGGTATTGGTGCACCCATTTTAGAACCTATTCTTGCGGAAAAATGGAATGTTCACTATGAAAACAGAATTTGAGGCGATCAATCGGTGTGGCTGGGGAATGAGTTGGAATGAACCTGAAAAATCCCGAATAAAGCTCGGTTGCAAACTCTGCTCCGCTGCTAAAAGTGAACAACTGTTGGTGGTTTAAAACCCATTCGTTGGCAAAAGCAAAAAGTCCTAACATCCAAGCAAAATGCACCAAAGGTCAAGTGAGGTGATCGGTGGAGCTGGGGAATGAGTTGGAATGAACCTGAACATTCCCGAATAAAGCTCGGTTGCAAACTCTGCTGCCCTGCTAAAAGTGAACAACTTTTGGTGGTTTAAAACCCATTCGTTGGCAAAAACAAAAAAGTCCTCACATCCAGGCAAAATGCACCAAAGGTCAAGTGAGGTGATCGGTGGAGCTGGGGAATGAGTTGGAATGAACCTGAACATGCCCGAATAAAGCTCGGTTGCAAACTCTGCTCCCCTCCTAGAAGTGAACAACTTTTGGTGGTTTAACACCCATTCGTTGGCAACAACAAAAAGTTCTAACATCCAAGCAAAATGCACCAAAGGTCAAGTGAGGTGATCGGTGGAGCTGGGGAATGAGTTGGAATGAACCTGAACATTCCCGAATAAAGCTCGGTTGCAAACTCTGCTGCCCTGCTAAAAGTGAACAACTTTTGGTGGTTTAAAACCCATTCGTTGGCAAAAACAAAAAAGTCCTCACATCCAGGCAAAATGCACCAAAGGTCAAGTGAGGTGATCGGTGGAGCTGGGGAATGAGTTGGAATGAACCTGAACATTCCCGAATAAAGCTCGGTTGCAAGCTCTGCTCCAAAAGTGAATAACATTTGGTGTTTTAAAGCCCATTCGTTGGCAAAAAGTGAAAGTCCCAAAGGGTTGTGACTTTAAAAGAGATTTTTTTTTGATGAAGGAAACCGGTTTATATGGCCAAACCTCCGAAGGCGACGGATCCCGTGTGGCGACTCAGGGCCCAAAAAGAACAAACACAAACGCTTTGCGGGTTTGGTGGGGAACCACGCATTCACCCCAAATAGAATTCAATTTTCCAACCCAGAGCTCAAACATGATTGAAACTGGAGCGACATGGGCCAAGCACCTGTCTAAACCATGATAAAAACCGCAATGCTTCACACACTCACTTGTTCGAACGGCCAACTTTTTGGGTCCACGACTAAAACATCCTCCAAAAGGGACAAACTCAAAGGTCGATTTGCTTTCAGTGAGAACAACCTCCTTGCCTTTGTCCAGGCAGGTCTTCTGGCCAGGAAGTGATGGGAGTCATCAGCAGGGGCAGCTGCACATTTGTTTGGGTTGGAACAAACATGCGAAACATGGGTATGGTTTGTTGGACAGTAAATCCCCTCCCAAATGATGCCCACCAAAGGGTCTGTAATCAAAATGCATGCCCTGGATTGAGCAATTTTTGAACGGTGCGCATCTTAGCTTTTGCGAGTCGCTTCTAGTACTACGCTCGTGTCGGACCTGTTGTGTCTTTACCTGGTTGCTTACCCTGTCCCTTTTGAGCTTGCAAAAATCACGTGCACTCACAAGAGAGGACCCCTCAGGCACAGAGGGCAGAAGGAACACCAACACACACACACACACATCCCAACCTGGACTCTACCAACAAAAGCAGTGCGCGTGTGTGTGTGTGTGTGCTGCGCATATTTTCGGAAGCTCACGGCCAAACATCTGGGTCTTTGCATACCCCTCCATGTGGTTTCCTTTTGGCTCCCTTCGAACCCGGTCCAAACTCGGTTGCTTTCTGCTCCCATTTGTGGTTTAGTGGAAAACCCATTAGTTGGCAAAAAGTTGAAGTCCTAATATCCCTTGGCCAAATGCACCAAGCAAAAAGGGCTCGCTCCTCTATTTTCACCATTTCCAGGTTGATCACCGAAGATCACTAGGCCAGGGCGCATAGGAAGCAGAAGCTGGTGAGGCTGTTCGCCTGCGATCAGACGCCGGGGCGCTCGATCCATTTTTGGGCGGCCTGTGGAAGAATAGCTACGGCTTTCGCACCAAACAAAATGAACAAGCCGCTCTTTGGCGGTCTTTTAGACCAAAGCAAACAGAAGCGAATCCGCCGCTGTGTGGCCGCTGTTTGGGCGGTTTGGACCCAAAATCAGGAGCTGGTCGGCCCAAAGCTTTGTATGTCAGGGACGGCTGGCCTAGGAAAATGCCGATGTCGCCCCTCCCGCAAATAGCCAGGTCACAAAACAGGAAAAGCCTCGATTGCCGGCACCCGACTTGCGTATTCTGGGGGGGGGGTTAAAGCCGTTGCAGAGTTTGACTGGTGAGACGTGCGGAAAGAAACATACTGTCAGACTTTAGCTACTTCCAAGAACTATGGCACCCCAGCCATAGTAAGCAATCGGTAGCAACATTGAGAACCCACTGTCAAAAAAGCAAGCTGAAGCATCCCCCCCGAAAATCTCACATGGGTGCAAATCACAATCAAGCAGCTGGGGTTACACAGGTTTTAGTCTTGCTCCCATACACCTGTTTGAGCCCACAGCCGCATTTCGATCTGACACTTGCCTTATCCCCTACCGTCTCGGAGAGGCCCTCCCCCTGCACTGCAGTAAAGCGCCTTCATAAAAATCGACAGTGCAGCCAAACGCAGCCAAACGCATTTTTTGCAACGTTCATCCCCCCAAAAGGAATTCATACCCCCCTCGATTTACCAAACAAGCAAGTATGAACAAAAATCACAGTCTCCTTTGGGACACATCCGAAACTGGGCTGTCGCCAGATCCCCTGTTAAAAGTTTCACTCTTAGTGGGTTAATGGAACCCCCACTGAACCAACTAAAAAGCTAGAAAGAGCAAAGGAACCGCATGGCTGGGAGCAACCAAGTTGAAAAACAGGTGCTTTCTTCCTAGCATTTTTTCTTCCGCGATCCATTGGGTATGAATTTGAACTAGGGACCCTTTGGTGGACATCACATTTAGGTGCAAATGTATGTGCACCAACCACTTTTTAGGGGGGTTCCAACCCTTAAAATTCACAATGTTGACCCCGGATTAATAAACCCCTGTTCATTAATATGGGGGTGCTCCCCTCCAAAAGCGATACATCCTTAAAAAAGAAAAACAGGGACACCCCCATATTAACAAAAAGGGTTATTCGTCCTAGGTCAACACTAGGTCCTCCGGTAGAGAGGTTAGAATAAGGGTACCCTTTTTTGTAGTCTATTTTAGTAGGGGAACCCTCCCAACCAAAAAAAGAAACACATGTTGGCACCTAGCTGGGTAGAACATTCCTGGGTTTATTACCTTTGGTGGACATCATTTTTTTCAGGGGGGTATCTGGGGTCAACATGAGCCCGGTCTGGCTACCCCTCCCTCGCTCGCCTGCGGCTGCGCGTAGGGCTGCACTGCGAAGACCATGGCGGCCATGGCCAGGGTCACCGCCAGCGCCAGCTTGAGGCCCTCATCCGAGTTCACCACCTCCACTCGGTTGCAAGCTCTGCTCCCCTGCTAAAAGTTGTTTTTCTTTGTTTTTACATTTTAGTGGTAAACAAAAAACATTAGTTGGCAAAACAAAATAAAGTCCGAACATCCCTTGGCCAAATGCATCAAAGACCAATGCCCGGGTCCCAATGCAACCGACCGAATCGGCCGCAAAAAAATTATCACTTGGCCAGTGAACAGCCAAAAAGAAAACGTAGACTTCTTGGGCGACCACTAGTAAACCCACCAAGGAAAAAAGTGTAAAGTGTGTCCACCGGCAGGGTGAGAAAGTGGACCCATTTTGTGTGGGTTCCCATCAGATCTGTGCGAGCCCAGGACTGTGCTTGTGCGCTGCAACCACCACATCCCAGTGGATGAGCTGCCTCTTGGCATGGGTTGTGTGGGCATGGAAACCAAGAATGATGGATGTCATTTTCACTTGCTGGATTTCAACCAAGAAGTTGAAGTCGAAAGATCCGATACCCAGCAACCAAGTCGGGTGCTGTTGGGAGGCGTCAAATGTCCGGGTTTGGCGGGGCCCGGGTGTTTCGGGTGTGGCCTAAGTCCCCGGTTGGTTTTACTAGGTTGACGTTGGAAGGGGAGCAAAAAAAAAATCTTAGCAGCCAAGTGGCTGGATTTCAACCACTAAACCACAATAAGCAAAAATGGGAAAATGTGATCTTTTCGCCGCACGAATCTCCGCTGGGTCTGCAACGGGTGGCTTTTGGTTTTCTGCTACTGTGTGGGGGTCCACGAGATTGTTTCCCCTTAAGGCACACCTGCCAAGGGAAGCAAAGGGGGGTCGGTCCAGGTGTCTTCTTTAAATACCTGGAGTCTCCATGACCATTTCAAAGACGACCAAAACAAGGGGTCACCCCACTTGAGTGAGTCATGGAGAATCCAGGTGACCCCCGCTTTGGAAGGGTATTTGAGAAAGGACAGCCAAGGTCTCCCAAAGCTTCCGCATGGGAACTGTGACTAAATAATCTCAGCCGCAGGATCCAAAGTGATGACCCCAAAGGGGTTGATCAAACATGAGAAGTCACTGGAGTTCTGGAAAAAGAATTATTTTCGGATTGGTACTACTATATACTGTAGAGGGAACAGCACCCAAAGGGATTGTGAAGGTGCCACCAAACAACTCGATCAAGAACTCCATGTCTCCTTTCTGCATCTCCAAGATTGTGGCAAATGGTTGCCGCTTTCCGCGTTGATCGAGGCTATTTGCATTGAACACCAACTCGCAAACGACGCACTAGCCTTGCACCACAATTACCCTGCCATACTGGAAAACGACACGGGACCTGGAAGAACAGGAGTACAACTTAGATCGCTGTAACTGTGGCTCAGTTGAGGATCAGCTGCCCCGGAACTTGAAGACTGCAACTTGTGTTTCGCTCTTGGGCCGAAAGGCGTTGCTAGGGTCTTGTGTTTTTATTTGTCGTGAGTAATACGGTTTGTGTCAAGATGGCAATTTGGAGCCCATTGTGCTTTTGTATCCCAAGCTTTAAACCAACTTGAAAAGGCTACCGAGCCTCAAAACCCTACCTGGTGCATGGAATCCTGCAACTTGCAATCCCGTGTGCGATCTTGTGACATAGCTCACCATTTCCTGCGATCCATTTTCCTTTTGGGTTCATTTGCCCAAGAATTATGTAAAAGGGGTATGTACAAGCACCCCTGGAGATTTCCGACCCGTCCAAACCCAAAAAACGAAACCCGCAAAAACGGCCCCCCGTAGCCTATAGCATGAGGGGGAGGGGTGCGGGGGGTCCCCAACTCCATTTGTCTTCCCCAAAGAGAGAAAAGTTTGAAAATGGGTTGCCATAAATGGAGATCTCCAGAATTCATCCCCCTCTCCCCATTCCATTTCTCAGGATAAGTTTAAGAAGCAAAACGTGACCACACATCGCATCTTCCAGAATCACCCCCCTCCAACTCCATTTCTCAAGGGCTGCAAAAACATCCTCCAATTCAGCCGGAGCGCCGAGACCAGCGCCACCGCCACCAGCTTCAGCACCACCTCCATCCAGACATGGCAGCAGAGCGCCTCGCCAGGGGCCGGATGGAGGAAACAGGGGGAAACCTTGTGATTGGTTGGGTTAAACATGAGAAAAGCATGAGGACACCTTGTGATTTGTGGGGAAATGTGGGAAAAAACATGAGGAATCCTGGTGATTTGCGGGAGAAATGTGGAAAACATGAGGACACCTTGTGATTGGTGGGGGAAACATAAGTACGCTGTTCCTTCCCATGACTTCTGAACAGAAATGAATCGGAGCCCGTTGGTAAAGTGGGGGACCGGTGGCAAACCGTTCGATTTCCCGGCAGCTGGAACAAAAGGAGGACGCCTTTAAAAGACTTAGCCCTGAGGCTGAGATAAAGATCATTTAGAAAAGCTTGGTTGGAAGAACCAGGCGGCCATGTTTTGGCTCAAGTATCGAACGCATTTGCCCCCCCTTTCCAGCCGCAGTGAAGCACCCCTGTTGGCCCGATGCATGCACATGTTCCAGTCATATGATGATCTTCAAATCGAGCAATGATCATTTCAGCGTCCCTCTCAAGCATAAGTTTCAACGGACTGTATTCCGAATTTGGTCTCAACAGTTCTATCCACCAGCCAAAGTTCTAATTACAGTGTTTTCCCTGCAAAAGGCCGCTGTGATCTGACAGTCATGCCACAATACCCGATCGGAGCGTGCTGAACCGCATCCCCACCCCCAACAAGAGAAAACGTGGGGCCTCCGTCCATGCATCATGTCCCTCGTGCCAAAAGTAACCATCTGTGGGAAAGGCTCCCTTTGTCGGGTCCCGGTCCCAACAAAACTTCGGTGGCGATTGAATATCCCCCCTACCTCAAGGGGGACCGGGGTGGGGGGTCACACAATTCCATCTATTCAGTCTTCCCCACAAAAGGGAAAATGGAACCCTAAACGGCATTCCAGGGGGTCACCCCCCTCCCCCAACTCCATTTTGAAGGGGCAGGGGATGATTGAATCAAAGACGCGCCCGCAAGCTACGCCCAAGGCGCATATTGGAACAGCACATGCTTGGACCCGGCAAGCAATCCTTGGCAATGCGCGCTGAAGGCCTCTTCCAAAGCTTTCGCAAGTTTTCCATTTGGTTAAGGCCCCAAGAAAAAGTAAAAATGTTTCCAGTAGTGCTGAACTCCTTTTAAGACCAATAAACATATTCTTAAGCAAATGGAGGAAGTCAATGCCAGCGACTGCCGAGATATCGAATTGCAAGGGCGCTGAAGCGCGTTACAAACGGAAGCCAGTCTTTGCTTTCTCGCGTCGATACGCCGATGCACAAAGGGGGAGTGGCCACTGAGGGATTCCAGGCATCAAAGACAAGCCTCGATGGAACGGCAAGGCTGAACAGCTCATAAGCGGATTTTCCATTGGAAGGTACCCAATGGAAAAAAAAAAGAAAAAACAAAACGGTATTTCTATCAGAGGGTTCACAGCGTCAGGAATGCGCCAGGACACTGCCGTAGGCGCTCGACAAAGCCCTGCTTCTTTGACCCAAAGCAGCCCCAAGAACCGACTGCCCGGAAATGGCAGAACTGGAACCGAACGTTTTGCATAGGGTCCCTCTCTCTTGTAAACGGGGGCACAGAAGGCTCAGGAATGCTACTCAACCGATTGGTGGTTGTTGCGGTGTTTGGATAAATAGACAAGATGAATGGATGAATGAATGAAATGAATGAATTTAGCAAGTTCCATAGATAGACAGATGGATAGATGGGTAAGATACGATTGGATAGGAATATAGATGAATGGAGATCCAAGCAAACCATCCAAGCAAAAGCTAACTATATAAAACCATCCAAGCAAACACATACAACGAAGTCATAAATAATTCGAAAGCAACAAACTTACACTTGAGCAAGCAAACGGTTAGAATGAACACACCAATAATTTAGTACCACCACTACGACAACAAACGTATTCAAATACCAACATAAGTAATTACATCAATGGTTAAACTATAAAATCGTAACTATTAAAACAAAACAAGTAGACAAATACATACTTCCGCATTAACGTTTACAGGCGGGCTAATGACACTTGAAGAGCCGGACTTGGTTTCGCGCCCAAGCTTGCTTTCAATGCGCTACTCTGGCAAGTGGCAAGAGGCCGCATTAAGTTTTTGTTGGCTGCGGTTTAAAGAGGGTCCCCGAGCAAACACCACCCCAAAAGCAAACTCAACCATTTTTGCTGCAACGTTAAGGTGAGCCTCAATCAAAACCCGGGTAGATGAAGGTGAGTAAGGGACACTCCCAGGCATAAATAGGTGCGGCCGCCTTGGTAATTCTTTTCATGCTTCTGGGTAGACTATTTTAACACCGGGTTTTGATTCTGACTCAGGAGAGTTTCCCTTAAGTTGGGTGATGTTGAAGGAGGACCTGTGGGGAGCCCTGCTATTCAATGGACGGGATCCATTTAAAAGTGGTCTCTATATTTCCCGATATTTCCTCTGTGGAAACATGGTTTTGCATCACTCATTTTGGGAAGCCAACGTTTGGGCAGCCAACCGCCTCCCATTCCGTGGCCATTCTAGTTGCTCTTGACCCTCTGCAAATACTTTACCTTTTTGTGGGTTTGATGGAATACACCTTGATTTCAACCAAAAAGTTCAAGTCTAAAGCAATCAAGTTGGAGGGTGGCACCCAATTGTTGGTTTCGGCCCCCCATACATGAACAAAACAAACGCCCCCGATATAGTCCATAGTCAAACTTTTTCCAAGGGGGACCTTTGTTTCTACCTGGAGTCCCTTCCAACTCAGCCAAGGAAAATGGCAGGGGACTCTCGAAGAAACAGTTCCTCACATTCCAGTGTTCATGGGGCATTGGGTTGGTCTTGGCCCAAGCCAACTCGGCATCCATCGGCCCATCCGTCGATCCGTCGGTCCAAATCCGAATCCGGGCGGCGATCCTGACTCTCCAGTTCCTGGATGCGACAGCGCTCCGTGAGCATTTGCCTCGGCGAGTTGAGTTGACTTCACCCGGCGCATCCCGGCGCCAGAAGCTACGGCCCCCTAAACAGGCGGGCGCTAAATGGGGGGGGGGGGGTCGGGGGTCTGTCTTTTTGGCCGCTTTTGGCGGAAGAAAAAAAAAGGATCGACCCCCTCATAGTGCAGGAGTTTTTCTTGAGGAGGGGTCGCCATTTTTCCTCAGAGGTGGCAAAAGACACCCCTGGCCCGAAATGGGGCAGCACGAAATCCCATTGCGCGGCTACCTGGAAGCTCAAAGGCGATCACCTTTTAGGGTGACAGGAGAAACATCTTTTTGCCAAGAAGGTCGGCTTTGGACGACAAGTGAAGTATGTTGAGGCTGTTCATTCTAAGGAAGCTCACTTGCTGAGTGGATGGCCCAAAAACAATTCAAACTTTTATTTACCACTAAAATGGTCTTCCAAAAAGTTTAAAGTTCATGAACCAAGGAAGTGAGGAAGGGTGAAACAGGATGCTGGCTTGTGTCAACCCGGAGCCTGTAAAGGGTATGCCAACGTGTCCTGACTGAGCTTCTGAGAGTCAGGCGGGCGCGTATTCGGCTTCAAAAGCTCACTTGCCCAAAGGACCTGGAAGGGAAACCAGGTGGAAAGGTGAGCGCGGCAATGGAGAAAGGGAGCGGGGGGGGTCCACGTACCTGTTACCCCTTTACCTGTTACCCCTTTACCTCTTTACCTGTTACCCCTCCCTGGGGGCGGGGGGGGTCCACGCACCACGCTGTGATTCGAAGAGTCAAAAACAGTGGGGTGTTCGATTCCCCCGGGTGCGCTTTCGCATCCTTAGCAGCTCCAGCGGCACATCGCCAGCATCACCTGCATCATCCGCATCAGCGCCTGCCAAGGATGCTGATGATGCAAGTGATGCTGGGGATGTTGCCCATGGTGAAGGAAATGAAGGGGGGAAAGGGGGAAAGGATGGGGGGGAAAGATCTCAGGGAGGAAAGGGAGAAGATCTGGGGAAAAAATGCCTTAAGGGGGAAAGGGGGGAAAAGACCTTTGGGAGGAAAAGGAATTCTTTCTCGGGGGGAACAGGCCCTAAGGGGCAATCGGGGAACAGGATCTCAATCGGGAAAGGGGGAAAAAGACTTTGGGAAGAGAAGGGTGGAGATCTTGGGGGGAAAAGGCCTTAGGGGGGAAACGGGGGAAAGGATCTTAAGCGGAAAAGGGGGGAAAAGATCTTAGGGAGGCAAAGGGAGACGAACTCAGGGAAAAGGACTTAGGGAGGAAAGGGGGGGAAAGATCTTTGGGAGGAAAAGGGAGAAGAACTGAGGGTGGGAAAAGGCCTTAGAAGGAAAAGGGGGGAAATAAATGATCTCAACAAGGAACTGGGGGGGGAAAGATCTTAGGGAGGAAAGGCAGAAGATCTGGGGCAAAAAGGCCTTAGGGGGGAAAGGGGAGAAATGATCTCAACAGGGAAAGGGGTGGAAAAGATCTTAGGGAGAAAGGGAGAAGATCTGGGGAAAAAAGGCCAACAGGGAAAGGGGGGAAAAGATCTTAGGAAGGAAAAGCGAGAAGCTCTCAGGGGGGGAAAGGCCTTGGGAGGGAAAGGGGGGAAAGGATCTCAACAGGGAAAGGGTGGGAAAGATCTTAGGGAGGAAAGGGGGGGGGGGAAGATCTTAGGGAGGAAAGGGAGAAGATCTGGGAGAAAAGGACTTAGGGGGGAAAGCCCAACAGGGAAAGGGGGGAAAAGATTTAGGAAGGAAAAGGGAGAAGCTCTCAGGGGGGGGAAAGGCCTTAGGGGGGAAAGGGGGAAAAGGATCTCAGCAGGGAAAGGGGGGGGGGGGGAAGATCTTAGGGAGGAAAGGGAGAAGATCTGGGGACAAAGGCCTTAGGGGGGAAAGGGGAGAAATGATCTCAACAGGGAAAGGGGTGGAAAAGATCTTAGGGCGGAAAGGGAGAAGATCTGGGAGAAAAAAGGCCAACAGGGAAAGGGGGGAAAGATCTAAGGAAGGAAAAGGGAGAAGCTCTCAGGGGGGGAAAGGCCTGAGGGGGGAAAGGGTGGGAAGGATCTCAACAGGGAAAGGGGGGAAACAATCTTAGGAAGGAAAGGGAGAAGATCTGGAAAGGCCTTAAAGGGAAGAAGGGAAAGGATCTCAACGGGGAAAGGGGCAAAGGATCTTAAGGAGGAATAGGAAGAAGATCTCAGCGGGGGGAAAGGCCGTAGGGGGGAAAGAGGGAAAGGATCTCAACAGGGAAAGGGGGGGAAAGATCTCAGTGAGGAAAGGGAGAAGGTCCCAGGCAGGGAAAAGGCCTTAGGGGGGAAAGGGGGAAAGGATCTCAACAGGGAAAGGGGGCAAAGGATCTTAGGGAGGAAAAGGGAGAAGATCTGAAAAGGCCTTAGGGGGAAAAGGGGGAAAGGAGCTCACAGGGAAAGGTGGGAGAAGATCCTAGAGAAGATCTTATCTCAGGGAAGGAAAAGGGGGAAAGGAAAGATCTCTCTTAGGGAGGAAAAGGGAGAAGATCTCTTGGAAAAGGGGGCCTCTTAGCGGGAAAGGGAGGACAAGGGAGAAGATCTCAACTTAGGAAAGGGGGGAAAGGATCTCAACAGGAAAGGGGGCAAAGGATCTTAGGGAGGAAAAGGGAGAAGATCTTGGGGGGGAAAACGCCTTAGGGGGGAAAGGGCGGGAAAGGATCTCAACAAGGAAAGGGGGGAAAAGATCTTAGGAAGGAAAAGGGGGAAGATCGCGGGGGGAAAAAAGGCCTTAGGGGGGAAAGGAGGGAAAGGATCTCAACAGGGAGAGGGGGGAAAAGATCTTAGGAAGGAAAAGGGGGAAGATAGCAGGGGGAAAAAGGCCTTAGGGGGGAAAGGGGGAATGGATCTCAACAGGGAAAAATGGCAAAAGATCTTAGGGAGGAAAAGGGAGAAGATCTCAGGGGGGGAAAGGCCTTAGGGGGGAAAGGGGGGAAAGGATCTGAGCAGGGAAAGGGGGGGAAAGATCGTAGGGAGGAAAGGGAGAAGATCTGGGGGCAAAGGCCTTAGGGGGGAAAGGGGAGAAATGATCTCAGCAGGGAAAGGGGTGGAAAAGATCTTAGGGGGGACAAAAGAGGGGGGAAAGACCTAAGGAAGGAGAAGCTCTCAGGGGGGGAAAGGCCTCAGGGGGAAAGGGTGGGAAGGATCTCAACAGGGAAAGGGGGGAAACAATCTTAGGAAGGAAAGGGGGGGGGAAGATCTTAGGGAGGAAAGGGAGAAGATCTGGGAGAAAAGGACTTAGGGGGGGAAGCCCAACAGGGAAAGGGGGGAAAAGATCTTAGGAAGGAACAGGGAGAAGCTCTCAGGGGGGGGGAAAGGCCTTGGGAGGGAAAGGGGGGAAAGGATCTCAACAGGGAAAGGGTGGGAAAGATCTTAAGGAGGAAAGGGGGGGGAAGATCTTAGGGAGGAAAGGGAGACGATCTGGGAGAAAAGGACTTAGGGGGGGAAGCCTAACAGGGAAAGGGGGGACAAGATCTTCGGAAGGAAAATGGAGAAGCTCTCAGGGGGGGGAAAGGCCTTAGGGGGGAAAGGGGAAAAGGGATCTCAGCAGGGAAAGGGGGGGGGGAAAGATCTTAGGGAGGAAAGGGAGAAGATCTGGGGACAAAGGCCTTAGAGGGGAAAGGGGAGAAATGATCTCAACAGGGAAGGGGTGGAAAAGATCTTAGGGAGGAAAGGGGGGAAAGGATCTCAACAAGGAAAGGGGGGAAAGGATCTTAGGAAGGAAAAGGGAGAAGATCTGGGGGGGAAAAGGCCTTGGGGGGAAAGGAGGGAAAGGATCTCAACAGGGAGAGGGGGGAAAACATCGTAGGAGGAAAAGGGAAAAGATCTGGAAAGGCCTTAGGGGGGAAAGGATCTCAACAGGGAAAGGTGGCAAAAGATCTTAGGGAGGAAAAGGGAGAAGATCTCAGGGGGGGAAAAGGGGGGAAAGGGGGAAAGGATCTGAACAGGGAAAGGGGGGGAAAGATCTCAGTGAGGAAAGGGAGAAGATCCCAGGCAGGGAAAAGGCCTTAGGGGGGAAAGGGGGAAAGGATCTCAACAGGGAAAGGGGGCAAAGGATCTTCGGGAGGAAAAGGGAGAAGATCTGAAAAGGCCTTAGGGGGAAAAGGGGGAAAGGAGCTCAACAGGGAAAGGTGGGAGAGGATCCTAGGGAGGAAAAGGGAGAAGATCTTGGGGGGAAAGGGGGAAAGGATCTCAACCAAGAGAAAAGATCTTGGGGAGGACAAGGGAGAAGATCTCAGGGGTGGAAGGCCTTAGGGGGGAAAGAGGGGAAAGGACCTCAACAGGGAAAGGGGGCAAAGGATCAAGGAAAAGGGAGAAGATCTTGGGGGGGAAAACGCCTTAGGGGGGAAAGGGCGGGAAAGGATCTCAACAAGGAAAGGGGGGAAAAGATCTTAGGAAGGAAAAGGGGGACGATCACGGGGGGGAAAAAAGGCCTTAGGGGGGAAAGGAGGGAAAGGATCTCAACAGGGAGAGGGGGGAAAACATCGTAGGGAGGAAAAGGGAAAAACTCAGAGGGAGAAAGGGCCTTAGGGGGGAAGGTGGCAAAAGATCTTAGGGAGGAAAAGGGAGAAGATCTCAGGGGGGGAAAGGCCTTAGGGGGGAAAGGGGGGAAAGGATCTGAGCAGGGAAAGGGGGGGAAAGATCTTAGGGAGGAGAAGATCTGGGGGCAAAGGCCGTAGGGGGGAAAGGGGAGAAATGATCTCAACAGGGAAAGGGGGCAAAGGATCTTAGGGAGGAAAAGGGAGAAGATCTGAAAAGGCCTTAGGGGGAAAAGGGGGAAAGGAGCTCAACAGGGAAAGGTGGGAGAAGATCCTAGGGAGGAAAAGGGAGAAGATCTGGGGAAAGGATCTCAACCAAGGGAAAAGATCTTGGGGAGGACAAGGGAGAAGATCTCAGGGGGGGAAAGGCCTTAGGGGGGAAAGGGGGGAAAGGATCTCAACAGGGAAAGGGGGCAAAGGATCTTAGGGAGGAAAAGGGAGAAGATCTTGGGGGGGAAAACGCCTTAGGGGGGAAAGGGCGGGAAAGGATCTCAACAAGGAAAGGGGGAAAAGATCTTAGGAAGGAAAAGGGGGAAGATCGCGGGGGGAAAAAAGGCCTTAGGGGGGAAAGGAGGGAAAGGATCTCAACAGGGAGAGGGGGGAAAACATCGTAGGGAGGAAAAGGGAAAAACTCAGAGGGAGAAAGGGCCTTAGGGGGGAAAGGGGGAATGGACCTCAACAGGGAAAGGTGGCAAAAGATCTTAGGGAGGAAAAGGGAGAAGATCTCAGGGGGGGAAAGGCCTTAGGGGGGAAAGGGGGGAAAGGATCTGAGCAGGGAAAGGGGGGGAAAGATCTTAGGGAGGAAAGGGAGAAGATCTGGGGGCAAAGGCCTTAGGGGGGAAAGGGGAGAAATGATCTCAACAGGGAAAGGGGTGGAAAAGATCTTAGGGAGGAAAGGGAGAAGATCTGGGGGAAAAAAGGCCAACAGGGACAGGGGGGAAAGATCTAAGGAAGGAGAAGCTCTCAGGGGGGAAAGGCCTCAGGGGGAAAGGGTGGGAAGGATCTCAACAGGGAAAGGGGGAAACAATCTTAGGAAGGAAAGGGGGGGGGAAGATCTTAGGGAGGAAAGGGAGAAGATCTGGGAGAAAAGGACTTAGGGGGGAAAGCCCAACAGGGAAAGGGGGGAAAAGATCTTAGGAAGGAAAAGGGAGAAGCTCTCAGGGGGGGGGAAAGGCCTTGGGAGGGAAAGGGGGGAAAGGATCTCAACAGGGAAAGGGTGGGAAAGATCTTAAGGAGGAAAGGGGGGGGAAGATCTTAGGGAGGATAGGGAGACGATCTGGGAGAAAAGGACTTAGGGGGGAAAGCCTAACAGGGAAAGGGGCGAAAAGATCTTCGGAAGGAAAAGGGAGAAGCTCTCAGGGGGGGGGAAAGGCCTTAGGGGGGAAAGGGGGAAAGGGATCTCAGCAGGGAAAGGGGGGGGAAAGATCTTAGGGAGGAAAGGGAGAAGATCCCAGGCAGGGAAAAGGCCTTAGGGGGGAAAGGGGGAAAGGATCTCAACAGGGAAAGGGGGCAAAGGATCTTCGGGAGGAAAAGGGAGAAGATCTGAAACCGCCTTAGGGGGAAAAGGGGGAAAGGAGCTCAACAGGGAAAGGTGGGAGAGGATCCTAGGGAGGAAAAGGGAGAAGATCTTGGGGGGAAAGGGGGAAAGGATCTCAACCAAGGGAAAAGATCTTGGGGAGGACAAGGGAGAAGATCTCAGGGGGGAAAGGCCTTAGGGGGGAAAGAGGGGAAAGGACCTCAACAGGGAAAGGGGGCAAAGGATCTTAGAAAGGAAAAGGGAGAAGATCTTGGGGGGGAAAACGCCTTAGGGGGGAAAGGGCGGGAAAGGATCTCAACAAGGAAAGGGGGGAAAAGATCTTAGGAAGGAAAAGGGGGAAGATCGCGGGGGGAAAAAAGGCCTTAGGGGGGAAAGGAGGGAAAGGATCTCAACAGGGAGAGGGGGGAAAACATCGTAGGGAGGAAAAGGGAAAAACTCAGAGGGAGAAAGGGCCTTAGGGGGGAAAGGGGGAATGGATCTCAACAGGGAAAGGTGGCAAAAGATCTTAGGGAGGAAAAGGGAGAAGATCTCAGGGGGGGAAAGGCCTTAGGGGGGAAAGGGGGGAAAGGATCTGAGCAGGGAAAGGGGGGGAAAGATCTTAGGGAGGAAAGGGAGAAGATCTGGGGGCAAAGGCCGTAGGGGGGAAAGGGGAGAAATGATCTCAACAGGGAAAGGGGTGGAAAAGATCTTAGGGAGGAAAGGGAGAAGATCTGGGGGAAAAAAGGCCAACAGGGAAAGGGGGGAGATCTAGGAAGGAAAAGGGAGAAGCTCTCAGGGGGGGGAAAGGCCTGAGGGGGGAAAGGGTGGGAAGGATCTCAACAGGGAAAGGGGGGAAACAATCTTAGGAAGGAAAAGGGAGAAGATCTGGAAAGGCCTTAAAGGGAAGGGGGGAAAGGATCTCAACAGGGAAAGGGGGCAAAGGATCTTAAGGAGGAATAGGGAGAAGATCTCAGCGGGGGGAAAGGCCGTAGGGGGGAAAGGGGGGAAAGGATCTCAACAGGGAAAGGGGGGGAAAGATCTCAGGGAGGAAAGGAAAAAGATCCCAGGGAGGAAAAGGCCGTAGGGGGGAAAGTGGGGGAAAGGGAGGAAAAGGGAGAAGATCTCAGGGGGGAAAAGGCCTTAGGGGGGAAAGGGGGGAAAGGATCTCAACAGGGAGAGGGGGGAAAACATCTTAGGGAGGAAAAGGGAAAAAAACAGAGGGAGAAAAGGCCTTAGGGCGGAAAGGGGGAATGGATCTCAACAAAGAAAGGGGGGCAAAAATCTCAGAGGGGAAGGGGGCAAGGGGACAATTCCAAAGGGACGCAAATAAGAAAGCAGGCCTGTAATGTCGGCGGCCTGAGCCGGAGGCGTTAAAATATGTGGGGAAACGTCAAAATAGGTACCCAAAATAGAACCCTGGCAAATGGAAACAGACTAAAACCTGCGGTCCCCTGGTGGTTTAATTTTGACCCACAGCAATTTCAAAACACAGAGCTGGTGCATCCAGGTCGCATAATGGTCTGTGCCCGAAGGGTTTCCATGTGGAACATCAGCCCTGGCTCGTCCAGCTCGCCCAGGTACTGCTCCACCTCGATATGCAAGGCGACCACGTGGTGCTAGCTGCATGGAACAATATCCCTTAACTCGGTTGCAAACTCTGCTCCCCTGCTGAAAGCTTAACTTTAGTGGTTGAGTGGACAACCCATTAGTTGGCAAACAGTTAAAGTCCTAACATCCAAGCCAAATGCACCAAAGTTAAGTAGCGCGGATTTGTATCTAAGAAGAACGCCAAGCCAAGATACTACCCTGTCCGTGATCCAAATTGTGGCATTCAGACGGGCCAACCTGCATCCAGAGCCCGCTTGGCTTTAAGTGGCGCCCACTGCTCAATGAGCCACCTTGGTTTTGTTTTACTGCATTGCCTCAAGACAAGAAAACTGCTCACGCAATCACAGTAAGCGCACAATCTCCTGTCCAAACCAGCCAATGCTGTGGATGGCTGTAATCCTGCACCATCTAAGAAACCATGGGATGATTATTCCCCTGAACATATCAACAAACAACGCCTTCCCATAGTTTCAAAGTTGAGGTTTTCGTCCATCCACAGTACGTCGCTCGTGGAGAGTGCAAGCGCACAAGCTTGCCACACTTCAGCCGGGACGCGGCGTCAGCTGTGCCCTTGTCCCGATGGGACTTGCCCTCCACCATCCGTACCACCCTGACGCGATCACCCGTAAACCCAGCGACGTCAGCTTTCTCCTTTTGAGTGCGGTATTTCCGTGTGAGGGTGCCGTTTTGAGGTAGTTAACACGGGGGTTCAATGGAAAACCACCGATTTTGGAGGATCACCTCATTTAGCCCCGCGCGCAGATGGCGAAACAATCTTTGAAGGAGCGCTACCCTGTTTAGGCCAGATTTCAACCAAGTGCCGCGGTGCCCTTGAACCCATGTTCAGTTGAACCAACAAGGGTAAACCTCAAAGCGACACACACACACACACACCTGCAGGCAATTTCCTATGGAAATTCCACCACTCACTCAGTAGCCCAAAGCAGCTGGAAATACCTTGGTTGACGTTGAAGGGGAGCCAAGGCAATCACCTTCTGGAACCTTGACTCAAAATAGACCGAGGAAAGCCATCAGGTTAAAAGCTTGGCTTTGGACAAAAATCGGCAAACGAGATAAGAAAGCTCGAGTAAAAGAATTGGACCTTCATGGTGGGTGAGCTCATTTAGCCGATTCTGGAATCGGCAAGCTCAATCAAGTCATCCGGAATCTTCAGCAACCGGCTCTAGACAAGTCACCTAGGGAATAGACACCCCGGATCAACAAGCCCTGGCTGATTAATCGGGGTTGTGTAGCGGCACAACACAAACCACACTGTCCCGCCTGCCCCAGGAGTCCCGCCCAAAAAACGCGACAACTGCACGCGACCCGCAGTAGCCCCAGCCTCCCAAATCCCAGTGGGGTGCAAACGCAATCTTGCCACCACTTTCAGGCCCAACAAGTCAGCCACAGCAAGTGCATAGAAATACAAGGATCATTGGAGCGTCTCTAGTCTCTGCAGCGGAATGCGGGAGTAAAGCATGAACAGTTGCGCATAAGCCACTTTTCATGGAAACACCCCCCCCCCTTTTTCCTGGCAAGTAACTTAAACTTCGCCCAACTTAGGTCACACATATGTCGCCTTAAGCGGGAAACAAGGTGGTCATCATCGCATACTCCTTTCAAGTAGTCACAAGTCGCATAGTCGTTGCTGTGCCTTTTCTGGCGATATTGGTTTCCCGCCCTAACGTGTTGGATGGGAAAAAAAACATATTTCGCAGCTCGAACATCGCAAAAACGAGCCGCTGAAACATAAAGTCTAAAGATCCAACCCAATAGCAGTCAAGTTGAAAAGGGCACACCCATTTCAGCTCATAGGTCGAACGCAATGCTTGCCTGAGGTTTCGTGTTCAGTTTTCAAGCCTGGAACCTCAGAAACCCCAGGAACCCCACCCACCCACCCCACCCCACCCCACCCCACCCCACCCCACCCCACCCCACCCCACCCGCATTCCATTCTCCACCCGCATCCACCGCCAGCCCCACCCTACCCGCATCCCCCGCATCGCCAGCCACCGCCAGCCACCGCCAGCCACCGCCAGCCACCCCAGCCCTGATGCAACCCCCTTGGTCCGAAGGGCGCTTTCTCGTCTTCCAACTTGAGGACCACCCGCCCAGCCACCAGCACTGAGATGTGCGCCACCGCAGCAGCCACCAAGCGCTTCGTGAGCATGTCCCCCTGTGCCCAAAAAACGCCCCGACCCAAATTTGAGTTGTTGCAACCAAATGGCAACCTCAAAAGAAGAGGGGGGGGGAGTCCGATCAAACGGAGATTGTGATATGAGTTGCTTTTATACTCAGTCGAATTTATGTTTGGAGCTTGGGCTAGCCTATGAACATAGGCTGGCAGGAGACCTCGATTAAATGGGCTCTAACAAGATTGGGCTCCAGGATACGCATCAGCCCCACAAGGCCAAACAGCGTAGCGTGAAATAGAGTCGCCAAGCGGCCAACCACAACTGCCCAACCACAAACTGAATGGCAATCTGCAGTTCGGATGATCTGCCCACTCAACTCCAGCGATCCCACTGTCCACGCATTCGCCCTGAGTCTTGCCTTCTTCGAGTAGACACCTCTTGAAGCAGCAGTGCTGCTAACCACTGGAACTGGTTTTGAAAAATTCGGGGCGCACCTCCGGCAAAGCTACTTAGCTAAGCAAAGCAGCAACAACTCAAAGTATTTTGGTTTGTCTCAAAATGGCCGCCCCTCAAAATGGCCGGTTGTGTCCTTCTGTTCCTCTTCAAAAACACCCCAACAAAAACTAAGACGAGCCACCCATTCGAATTTTGATACACCATTTCAACCGTTTCCCTTTGATGGGCAGGCCAGCAGTCGGAGTCGGGCTGTGGTGTACTGCATTCCCAAGCATTAATCTGACTCTGCACTCCAAGGGAACAACTAAAGCAAATGTGCAGCAGCGATAGAACTTCGTTAAAACCAAGAGGGGAACAAAACATGTTCTTAAGCAAATGGAAGATTACCCTCCCTCCCACTAACATGGCTCCTTACAGGGGGTCCCTTCAAGAGAAACTTAATCTTCCGGGTACCTCCCCACAAGCGCCATGTTAGCGGGAGGAAGATTATGTACTTATGTTTAGGTCCTTGTGGCCCTTGGGATGCTCTTGGGATCCCTTGCGCAGTGATTGTCAATCACCACACGCCCAAGAACTTGGTTGCCCGAATTTTTCCGCGATGTGTTTCCCTGCTCGTCAAACATACGGGGCCCCGAAGCGGATCGTCACTGGCTTTCCTTCTTGCTCTGGAATGCTTTGAAGAAGTAAGCTCATGGTGGATTTGGAGCCCGGTTGCTTTGAAACAAACTCACTTTAACGGAGCAGTTGTTTGCGTCAAATTGCGACATCCAGAGATCCTCAAGACATGTGATGTTCCCCTTCTGGAACCTTCAAACACGCCCAAACCAGCCCAACACATGCTGCCTTCCTGTGGGACGGTTTATCCCTCCAGTCCCTCCCTGGCGCTAGCCAACGGCTTGGTTCGAGAGGGGAATGAGAAATGGAATGACCCCAAGACAAACCATCCATCCCATGGTTCCCGCTGTCGGGAATCCCCCGAGCCGGTTCATTCCCAAAACCCGGACTCACAGTCGTTCATTCGCACCAAGAACAGGGCTGTGGGGAATGACCACTTCTGTGATACAACAGAAAGGGCTTCCCAAAGACTATCTTTGTGAATAGAAAGGGGGATTCCCGCAGGTATCACAGAAGTGGGGAGAAAGCCTTGATCCCACAACCCTCAGCAAGAAGGAACGAAACGCCGAAACCGCGAGCCTCCAGTTTCAAGGCGTCCTTGGCGTTGCGCAAATTCATCAACCTCACGACGAGATCTCTGCCGTTGTCCTGGCGAACGGCTATTGGACTCCGGCAAGGCCCAGACCATTGCTGGACTTTCCTTTGCTTTCCTTGAAGAAAAAGGTGCTTCTCGACATGGCGTCACCATTGTTGGTGTTCAGTGGCTTCTCTGCACCTTTTCTAACCCAGGGACCCCGGCTTGTTTAGCATTTTTAGGGGAATCGTCAGAAACCAGGGCTTCTCAGGTGGTGCGGTTCTGGATTTCGTCTATCCATCCACCGTATGGTGGGTGTTTTGTTGCCTGCCGGTTCTCTTAAACAAAAAGGACAATCACGCCCATAAACCAAGTGGGTTGCTTTTTTGTATTGGGGGATACTGGGAAGGCCTTGCCTAGAACACAGAGCACAGAATTTGCTGGCTTGAAGCTTGTCCAAAGGAAACATTACTCGGTTGCTTTCTGCTCCCCTGCTAAATACAAGTTTAACTTGTGGTGGTTTAATGGAAAAGCCATTAGTTGGCAAAAGGTTAAAGTCCTAACATCCAAGCAAAATGCACCAAAGAATAGACCCCTTCAAGTGCATGGCAGGGCTTCTGGACTTCCATCTTTCCGATTGTGAGCTGGCAAAACAACTGGAACTTGTTGTCCACGAAAATGGAGTCACTTTCTGAGATGGGCCAAACGGTCCAGACTTGTTATTTACCTTAAGATGGTCTTAACAAATTGAACGTCTAGGAACTGAGGAAGTGAGTACAGTGACTACAAACGGGAGTGAGCATCTCATGTCCACATTTGGGGGTGCATGGGATCCTTGGGGGGGAATCCTGAGACGAAAATGCCGTGGAACAAACAACACCTGCAGAGTCGCATGGAACTGAAGCAAACTCGGTTGCTTTCTGCTCCCCTGCTAAAAGTGAATACTTTTTGGCGGTCGAATACGGAAAAGCCATTAATTGGCAACAAGTTAAAGTCCGAACATCCCTTGGCAAAATGCACCAAAAAGAAAAATACACAACAAAACAACACGTCATTTCTGGAGGAAACTGGGTTCCATGAATTTGGAGAGGATCAATAGCGTAACCCGCTGCTCACCGCCATAGGAAACTTGGCCAGATTTAGACCCCCCCCAAAAGCAGTGAACTGTTTGTCGGTCAAAAAGGGAAAACTATAAACCCCAAAGGGCGTAAGGGCAAAATGGAGAGTTAAGTCTTCACTAAAAGGCAGCGATTCTTGACCTGATAAACCCCTCATTCCCACAGTCGCCTTTGAATCACCACCCCGCCGCCTCTCGAGACCCTCTCCAAACAACGAAGCCTCGCTGGTGGCAGCGCAGGACTTGCCGGATCTGAGCGCGTAGTGCCTGAAGGCCCGGACATGCCAAAAAACCATCAATGCTCCAGTTCTTCGGCGCCTCGCCTGCGGAGTGGATCGGTCAGAACAAGTCCAAAATATTGGTTGATGTTGGAAGGGGAGCAAAAACTGAAATTTTAGCAGTTAAGTGGTTGGATTTCAACCACTAAACCACAATAAGCAAAAATGCAAAAATGTTTCCCAACAACAACCATGAACTCGTTGTTTACCACTGAAATGGTCCAAACTCCAAAAGTGGCGAAAATCCGAAACGGACCTCGGGAAATGAGGAGTGAGGAAAGAGAGGAAGCCTCAAGGGTTGAGAAGGTTGCCACAAGTACACTCTCGCCGACAAATATGGAACAAACCTGCGCCATGACTCGGAAAGTGGCCGCCAGGACCAAACAAAGAAGCACACGCACAGTGGCTCTTGTCCAACAGCTGTAGCTGTTCGTTGAGTGGGGAACAACTTGCATTTTCCTACTTGAGCAGGCTGAAGATCCAACCCAATAGCGTCCAAAGAAGGCCAAAAGGTGAAAAAGGCCGGGCTTGGACCCAAAAGAAGGCGCACAGGAGCAGCAGCTCCAAGCGCCCGGACCGAAGAAACACCGTCAAGGCAAAACGTCAAATGAGTTGGCTGGACTCAAAGACACCGATCGAGTGGACCTGTCAAAAGGAACACAATTGGTTTACCACAAAAAACGTGGACTTCCCATGAGGGGAAGTCAAGAGTCCAGGAACTCAGGGAGTGAGTTGAACAAGTGTGAAGCTTTCACCCTCTTGGCCCAGCCCTGGTTCCGGTCTGGGCGTCAAACGGGGCACCTTCCAGCCGCCTTAAAAAACTGAAAGCCGAGAGGCTGCTTCGAGAAGATCCGCAGGAGAAAGAGGGGGATGAAAATGGCGTAGGACAGCGCGGCGGTCCATCCCACTGCGTCCACCTAGAGCGCCGGGGCACCGAGAGCAAACTTAGGATCTGGGCGGGGCCCTTCCAGCCGACATGACTTGGTTGCTGCAACGACCCCCCGGCAAAAAGTGGACAACTTTTTGGGGGGGGTTTAGTGGGAAAACCCTGGGCTTCCCAAAAAGTTGAAGTCTAAAGATCCAAGCCAATAGCAGTTAAGATGAGGGACTCTCAAAGATACTCTGAGGTTCCGGTGGGCTCCTGCTCAGCCGAAAACAATGCTGAGGATGTCGCGTCTGCGCGCCAGGGAGCAAGCTATTGCTGCTTACTGAGGCAGAACAACAGCCCTAGAGATCTGCAAGGGAACACGTCAAGCGGTCCATCGAATGGCGCAAGGCGATTGACAGGGTTGCCCCCTTCCTTGAGCAATGACCCTGGGCACACGACTCACTTGCCCACTACTGGGCCTGGACGTGTGCAATTTGGGGGTTCAACCCGGTCCATCCGGGCCAGCCCCTAGCCCGAAACTACTGCACCAACCTGGCGAATGACCATTTCCACCACCCGTGAAATATTTAATCAGGCACCACGCGGCATCGCGTGCTCCCAAAAAAGGGGTGATCAAAAAAATGTTTTGGGGAAGGACAAAACACCTACTTGATGATTAGGGGTGCCGGTGTCGTTCCCCCTGTTGTGAATCGGAAACGTCGAAATTTGAATTGGTGGTCTATAAGCAAATGAAAGAAACATGCGCCCGGGCAAGGTGTAACGGCAGCAGCTGGGAAACGATCCAGTTTCGGACAAGGGAAAGGAACCGCCAGCCGACACAATCTTGGCAACCCTCCGCCCAAGCCTTTCGGCTTTTGGACGTGTTGACCGAAACTGTGACTCCCTGACCGACAAACCTTTGCCTCCATCCATTTCCGTTTGTGCCACCTCCAGTGGCCGAAGTTCTCTACCAACGTGTTCAGTACTGACAGGTGCCCTTTATGGCGCCAATCACGGAAAACAACATGTTCCAAAAAGCAAATGGGTTACTACGATTTGCAGCCCCATGGCGCAAAACAACAATTCCAGTGACATTTCAGCAAATCAACGCCATTTTCCCAAAGAATTCTGAGGCCTCCCCCCCCTCCCCCTGCCCCCGCCATCTGTTTTCCCTCCGAAGGATTCCAAGCCGACGCGGTCAAAGCCAGGCCGCGTACCGCACCAAGGTGTTGGACTCGTTGCAGAGCAGCGTGGGGAAGATTTTCCGGAACGCGCCCTCGCCCAGATCCTCACCACCTGGTGGCTTAAGAAAGGGGGAATGAGAAACGGAATGCGAAGAAACCATCCAACTGGTGGCTTCTTCTAAGGAAATCCCCAAACGGTTCATTCCCAACACCAGGTCATTCCCTACCTAGTGCACCAGCAAGCATTGCAAGCTGCTTGAAGCTTGAAACTGTTGCTCAGGGTCTGGGCCCGCGACATTGTCGTGTGTCCATGGCTAAAGGGCTAAACAAAGGAGGGAAGCCCGAAGCAGGATCGCTTGAAGAAATTGAAGATGAGGTCAGCATGTTTGCAGTTGTCTCCGGCATGGCAGGAACCCTCAAAAGCGGTCAGCCCAACAAGTGCTGATCCCTGTACGAATGCCTGATTTTGTGGTTCTGCTGGATAGCTTCCCCGAAATCATAGGCGGCACTCAACACCGAACCAAGTCATTTTCATGAGGTAACATTTCGGCAGCCCCCATTCCCCATCTCACAGCGCGAGCACCTCCGTCGGCATGGTGGCAGCTCAAAATGAAGGCGCAGGAGGAAGCCCCACCCACGAAAGTGACCGTCAACGTCTGCAGGCACAGCACGATGCCTGAGTGAATCTGAATGGGGTTTGGGGTTTGGGGTTGGGGGTTGGGGGTTGGGGCCTTTTGCGTTTTTTTGGTTGTTCTATTGATTCATTTAGGGGGAGGCTGTAGACTGTGGATTGAACCGGCTGTGGAATTTAGTTGAAATGCAGCCAGATTGGAAACGAAACATCTGTGCCGGTCACTGACTTTGATGTAGTGCGTCTTTTTTGATAGTGCGTCTTTTTTGAAGGTTCCCTTTGTGCGGTTGGTTTGAAGATGGATTGAAGTGGAACCAAAAAGGAACTCACCTTCTTCTTTTAATTTGCTTTCTAGGGGTTCTTTTGCAAAAAGGCACACCCATATATCCCACGCGCTTGATCTTGCCATGCAGCTTGGCTGGTGGAAATCGGGGAATTGCCTCCACCAGTTCTCGAAACAAAGTGAGCAGGTACTCCATTGCCACGTCCAAGGCACCAACCGGAGGGTACCTGGAAGATCAAAACTCCCTGTCGGGTGAGTTCCACGCAAGGAGAGAGGGTAGCCAACTGCCCACCACCCCACCCCCCCCCCCCCCCGGTTTTCCTTTTCCAGGGCGCCATAGGACCGCGCGAAGAGCTCCAGCACCGCGCAGAGCGCCAGCAGCAGCAGCGGCACCAGCGGCGACGCCAGCGCGGAGCCCAACCGCACCAAGGCGCCGTCGAAGAGACACCTCGCCATGCGCGCCGCGCGCGCGCGCGTCCGAGGTAGCATGCTTAAGGTTTGGGGGATTAAAGGGTTTGCCGAAAACAAACAGAAAGAACCCCTGTATTGCAAAGTGTCCAGTTGTTTGGGGGTTTGGTAGGTGTGGAAAGGGAGGGGCTACACACAAAAAACAACAGGAATCGCACATGCCTGTTCGGCCTCTTTGCGCGAACGCCTAAACCAACAAAAATAAACAGCCAAACAAGCCTAAAAAGCTGGCAACGGTTCTTCACTTGCAACAGGACCTGGATGCTCAGCTGCACAACTCAGCAACACGAAAACACAGAGAAAAGAACCGAACACGAGCAAGGCCCAACTGCAAAACGGCACAAAAGTCTGAGTTTGCCGTCGAAACCTGAGTGGAACAATGAGCAACATCCAAACGGGCTTAGAGACTAGCCATGGGCATCCGAATCCCCAACTTGACATGGCCCTGCTCATGCAGTGTTCCATACACCACGCCCGACGCATATATATATATATATACATAATATATATATATAACCCATCTAAATGAATATATATATATATATGTGTATATGTATTAACACACAGGATGTATATATATATATATATATATGTGTGTATACACGTGTGAATTGGGTGGGGGCCAGTGGGGATTGGGGGTCTTTAAAGTCTTTGGGGTCGGTTTGCCAATCAAAATGACGCCAAGGCGCTGCAAATTCAGGCTGTCCTGGATGGCGACAACACCTCGGGTCTACTTGCCCTTGAGAGCTTCTCTCAAAACTCGGCTGCTTCCTGCTCCCGTGCTATTTTTTTTTAAAGTTTAACGTTTAGTGGTTTAATGGAACACCCAACAGTTGGCAAAAAGTTAAATTCATCCAAGCAAAATGCAAAGAACATAGAAACCAGCCATTTTTTTGTGTGGCTTCGGTTTCCAGTAAAAACACCTAGAACACGCCTACATGAGCGATCGAGGAGCGTTTTACCCTGTCCCGTCCTGGGCTCAGCCCGGACCTCTTTTCTCCTGGAGGGACCTAGGAACGGTCTGCAAACACATAGGACAAATACCAAACAGCAAACGCACACACACACAGATACGCACATGGTAAGCAATTGAACATTAAGTTCGATGCAGTGCTTGATGATCTTCAACGTCAATGTCGGACCCGCCTTTGTAGTTGGGGATTGCTTTTATACAAAGTGTCATGGAAAGCAGTCTTTCCGGAAAACAAATCCGGGCAGGCAGAACGGGCCAAACAAAACGTGCAAAAACATACAACATCGGGCGAAAAACACTCCGGGCAACGGAATTCCGTTTTGGTGAAGTGGTCCGCTTGGCAACATTAAGTTTATAGGACTACTAAAGAAACTCTGCGGTTCTGAAAGCAAGGCTTCGCACATAGAATTGGCAATGCTACAAGGGGTAACCTTAAAGCAGACCCAATACTATTGCGTGTATACCTCGTTGATTCTCAACAACATTCGAATCGGCACCATGGCAAAAATGAAAGAAGGCATCACAGGGATCCTTACAGTATACACCTGAACATTGCCTTGTAAATGGTGGTTTCCAACTTTATTTTGGTGTTTTGAATGGCCAACGTGTATCTTTTAAGGAGCCCTGCATCACCTTCTGCGCCATGTCTATGGCCCGGAAAGCCACGCCGAAAGTAAGAAACACTGGAGGCACCTGACATGCCAACAGGGGGGGACCGAATCCTGCACGCAGCTGGGTAAAACCAGTGGCTTTTCTCCAGACCAGCTGGTGCAACTTCAGGGATCCGATTTCGTCCATTCAAGTCAAAAACGCGCCGTTTGCGAGTGGCTCAGTTGGAGCGTCTCCACATATTGCACCTCCCAGCCGTCAGCGTCGTCGGCGTGCCCAGCCTCCTGCGCGGCGCCGACGGTGCCCCGGGACTGAACCGACAGCCCAACGTTTCAACCAAGGAACCCGACCCCATTTTTCCAAACGCAGATATGTTGTTCGATCTCCATGTGAAGTTCCGTCAACATTTGCTGTTCATAGTAAGTACGTTCGAATTTAGAGGGTCCCCTATCGTGTTCCAGCCTTTGGTCTATAACACAAAGGTATTGTTTTTTTGAGAGTCCCCTATCGTTTTCCATGGTTTCAAGCACCTTGAGCTATATGGATGTCCAAGTGTAAACTAAATTTCCTTTTCTGTGACTTTTTGGCCTATGGGTCAAACAAACAGGTTGGGGGGTCAAACACACAGAGTCTTTCTTGTAGGAAAAACACCCAAACCAACGTGCCGTTTTGAGCAGGAAGATGGAAAGTCTGCGTCTTGTCGATCTGTTTCACTCTTGCAGGTTGGGACGAAGGGAAAACACCACGCTTCTTCCGGGGGGGGGGGGGCTGGGAAGGCAGCTTCGAGCCTGTCTCGGTCTCGAAAAAGATGTTAACGCCAAGAGTTCGCACCAACCAAAACACCGATGTCCAAACTCTGGTTAACACGTTTAAGTACTAGGATGGCCCGGGAAAGCCGCCCATGCAAGTTCTCGCGTGCCGAACTCGGTCCAAACCCGAAAAGTCTGAAACAACTCGTTGGGAACATGGTCGGAACCCATGTCGCGCTTTTGGGACCTCAAGCATCGCGGCATCGCTAAAGCGTGGGCTTGGTTCGGCCGGTTCCCAACTCCCAAGGTCCCAGGCCGAAGCCCATCCATTCGGTTGCACCGGCAGCAGCCCAGGGACGCAGGGTCAGGGGCATCTGCAAAAGGGGTTGAGTCCATCTGTGGGCCCTTAGGACTCTTCTTTGGTTATTCTTGGGATGGCTTCTTTAAGAGAATCTCCCGCAAAGGGCAAAGAACTGGGTGCCACTCTGCTACCCTCTCCCCCCTCTCTCCCCCCTCCCCCCCCCCACCACCCCTCTCCCCCCCTCCCCAACCCAGGAGTTCGGGGTGGATATGACCCGTCCGGCTCGCTGGTCTCAAAGTGCTGGGTCCGCGCAAGGCCCGCCACCACGGCCCATAGCTGGCACATCACCTCTCGGCTCGGTCGATCGGTCCAGCAGATCCCGTTCGTTCAATCGGAAAAAAAAAGGAAAATATACAGGAAATTAACCAGCTACAGGAAAAATATACAGGAAACTAGCCACAATCCCACCAAAATCAGGCATTTGGGTTTCCTTTAGAACTTCCTGTAGTTGGTTTCTTAGATTCAAGGAAAGAACACGAAACGATATGACAAGGTTTCGAAGACCATCTTCAAGCTGGCAAAGCATCTTCTCAAAAAGGGCCAGGGGCTTTGCAAAGGCTGCACCTTGTCCACCATTCGAAGAAGGAGATCAATGTTCCGATCCCTTGCTCCAGTCTCCTCTTAGACCAGGGCGTGCTTACCAGCTTGCTTCAACAAACGACTTGTTTCAGGTTTGGGATATGTAACCTCCCATCCACTCACATGGAACCTCGCGTTTTGGGGTCCTGGAAGATGGTTTTCCTGTTCAAGGGAATTTCTGGGGTGCTCTATGAGCAGGAGGGTAGTGATTCTTGAGGTGAAAGGTAGGTCAACATGTTCCAAACCGCTGGCCACTCCGACTCCGGATTCCAGCCCTTTTTCCCATGGCAAAGGCTCGGGGCGTGGAGCTCACTTCCGTGGATGGGCGAAAAAAAGGTCGTCCAGACTCGTCTTCTGAGGTCGCTTTCCGGGTTCCAGGAAGTGAAGCCATTGACACCAAACAAACTCCTGGGCTGTCCTCAGGTCCCTGCTAAAAGTGTCACTTCCAGCGGTGAGAATACGGGAAAAGCAAAAACCCGCTGACTACTAAAAAAACACCTAAAAAAGCAAAGGAACCGGATGGCTGGGAAGCAAGAAAACACGAGGCAAGGCACGCTTGCAGAAATTCAACCCATGCAAACCAACCAACCAACCAACCAACCAACCAACCAACCAACCAACCAACCAACCAACCAACCAACCAACCAACCAACCAACCAACCAACCAACTCTGAGCCCCGACTTCCGCCGCCCCCCCCCCTTCCCCCCCCTTCCCCCCCCCCCCCTCCCCCTTTTCTCGGCTGCCGCGTGGCCAGCAGCACGGGCAGCGTGGTGGAGAAGTGCTGCGTCAGCACCCCCACGGTGCCCTCCGCGTGGGGCTGCGCGACCAGGGACTCGGCGATCTGCCTGGAGCAAAGAGGCGGCTTGAGGTGGGGGTGGGCGGGGGGTTTGAGGTGGGGGTGGGGGGGGGGGCGGTGGAAGGGAGGGGGGGTTTTGGGGGTGGGTGGGGCGGTGGAGGAGAGGTTATTGTTGTTTTTTTTGGGGGTGGCAAAGGTCTATTTGTGTTTGGGTGAAGCAAGGAAAACTCACTTCTGATGGCAAAAGAAAGTTTGAACTGTTTATCTACCACCAACATGATCTTCCTTGGAACTAGAGTGCAGGAACTCAGGTAGTGAGGAGATTAAAAGCACCACCCGCCAGCTTGAGGGGTCCCGAGACACATCTATGGTGCTTCTCAAATCAAAGGCACCCTAGGCTGGTTCATTTGTTCCGAACCGTCCAACATGGGGATGGACCAAACCCGGCACCAGTTTGCAATTTACGGGGGGGGGGGACTCAGCCACTTAGGAGTTGCAGGATTTTGTCCATCTACGGTAAGTGAACCAAGCACATCCAGCCACCCAAACCTGGCATTTCTCACTAAACGAACTTCCCCTTCCCCGACGTGCCATATTTTCTCTGAGTTGACTGGTCAGAAACAGTTCAAACTGTTTCGGGCAGAAGGCCTTGACAAAGAAGACAGCCGACTAAAGCAGGGTTGTGCGAAATGACCACTTCTGTGCTACAACAAAAAAAAGCTTCCCAACGACTACCACCCCATATAAAGAGAATATTTCCTTGTATCACAGAAGTGGGGAGAAACCCCTTGATGTCCACAGCCCTGAACTAAAGAAACTGAACGTTTCCCAACTCGGGGGCGTCCCCTGGAACAGGAAGGGCGCCTGGAAGAAGAAACCATCTTTCATGCTATACTCCCCCACAAACTAACTCGGAACGCCGAAAAAGGTCCCCCAAAAGGCCGATTCCGATTTTTGTTTAGGTGGACCCTTTCTGGGTTCCATCTTAATTTGTGGGTGAGCACTGAGCGACTTCCAGCCGCCTCTGCCCACAAGTGAGCCCGTTTGAGCCCGGCAAGGGCACCCTTCTCAAGAGAAAAGCAGCAGAAAGGGCAACTGGTGCAACCACCAAAAAGTGACACCCTCAAAAGATGAAACCAAGCGGAGCGACTTTCACCATTCCGAACGAAGTCACCCAGGTTGTATTTGCAATCGTTTTTTGGAGTTGGCACCCCCCTGTTTGTGGCCTCAAAGGGATACCACAAGGAAAATCAAAGTCATTGTGTTTTTCGGGCACCCGCCTCCGGAAGTACATGGCACCCGCCAGAATGCCCACGACGATGGCAAAGCCGCTTGCCCAAACCAGAAGGATCTCCTGCGGCCCGGGCTTACAATTCCAGGCTGAAAGAAGCTCAATGCCCACCCCATTCATTCGCTTTATCAATTAAGCCATCTATTTTCAGGGCAAAACTGGCTCCCCCCCGCCCGCCGCCCCCGCCCCAACACGTTTCCTTCACAGAGACTCGCTGTGAATATTTTTCCTCAGCGCCATTCAAGGCCAACGGTTGGGCCAGCACCGCGGCACCAAGCAACAAGTCAATGATGTTGGTGCCATCCACATGCACCCCACATATCTCTTCCGCTCCCCTCATCACAACAGCCTGTTCACGTATGTTGTACATGCCGATTGCTTTGGGCAATGACCAACCATTGCTTACCCCTTAAAACTCCCTGCGCCCTGGGGAAGTGTTCATCTTTTACAAACAAAGTTGCCCATGTCACCCCCGAAAAGTTACGAAAAGCTAGAAAAGTTACTCCAAAAAGTTTCGTGTTTTTAAGAGGTAAGATGGTAAAAGGGTCAGAAGGAGACGCCAGGTGGCGGTGTAGCGCAGCGCGCTTCCGCTTCCCCCGGGCGGCCAACGACGAACCTTTTCTGAGTGGGCTAAGAGCTCAGAGCTCCGAGTGGCTGGGCCAAGAAAAGGCCAAACTTGTGTACCACTACAGTGGTCTTCCCGAAAAGCTGCACAAATCCAGGAACTCAGGGTGTGAGAGAAGGGAAAACTACCAAAGATCGATCCAGGAAGAAACTCCTTTCCGGATCATGTCCTCCCGACTTTGGTTGCGGAGGTTGGGTCCTGCCACGTGCGCTCGCTGTTGCACTTCAAGCAGATCTCCCGATCCATGTGCCACCCATCTTCGCAATCCACGCAGAGCGGACCGCGATAGCCTGGGAGGCTCGTCAAGGGGAAAAGGGAGCTGAACCCTCAGAAGTCCAACTGAAACATGGGCTTGACCCCGCCGAAATGATGCTTGGCAATACATCGTGATATCGTGATATCCAGTTTTTTTTTTTTTTTTTTTTTTTTTTTTAATGGGTAGTTCGAGGGTCCAAACAAGCGTGTTCGATGGCAGTTGCGCGGAGCTTGTTGTTTAAGTCATCCATGTTGACCACATATAAATCAGCCAACAAGCTGATTCATAGGGTGTTCAACTGGATTTAGTGGTTAATCAGACCGGGAACACCCCCAAATTAACAAACAGAGGTTCCATCATCCGGGGTCAACATTAATTGCAACATTTGGGGACGTACACTGATTCGACACCCCATGTCTAGGGCTCCTTGACGTCTAAGCCTGTCCACATTTTCCAGGCTGCCAGCCAACCGATTCAACCTAACACTTCCAGGGTTGAAACGTTCCCTTCCTTGACTTCTCGGGACCTCAAACATCTCCAGAGAGTCCATCCAATAAGGTGACCCCAAAGCGTTTGCAAACCCTTGATGCCCGTGAGTGACTCGGAATCTTGGGCATTCCAGTGCCATAAGGCGCAGAACCGAGGTCCATGTGGATTTGGGACCCAGCAGGATACTCTAGAAATCGATTTGGGGGTCCATGAGCGCGCAAAGTTTTATTCCTCCCGACTCATGAAGTGATCGCCAAGCCTGAAGACCGGGGCATGTTTGAAATGGGGCGCGCCTCAAAGGACTGCAACTTATCAAGGCACGGCATTCGCCTGGGTTTGCATTTGGTGCATGAAACTTCAGTAACATGCTTTTAACCCCAAGGGTCACGACCCCTCCAATGCAGACCCCTGCACCCTCCAATGGAGAACCCCGACCGCTCATGGGCCCTCAGGCCCAAAAACAGTCGAATCGGACCCTTAGGGAAAGCTATTTGAGTTGCATATGCTTCCCTCTCACTCATCGAACCGTTTCAAGTGCAGACAGAGGTCCCTTGGCTTTCTTCCCGTGAGGGGAGGGGAGCAGGTCTGAAGGGAAATGGAACCAAGAAGCCAAGAGGCCACTCAAACCCGCTGCAATAATTTCGACTCATTGGTTGCGACCCTGGTATGAATTCCTAGCTTCTTGGCTAGAAACTGTGGCTTACTTTTGAAAAGCCAGCCTCCACAAGAAGTCCAGCATAGCCGTGACTTCAGGTTATGGATATATATATATATATATACAAGCAGCCTTCTGATCAGCAGGACGCTCGCCAAACAACCCCAAACTATACATGGGTTTTGCCGGTTTTGCTTTTTTGTTTCCCATCAGGTCTCCTCCTCACCTACTGTCTTGGTCAGTCCACGCAGGTCCATTTTCAAGGGGGAGGGCACGCCTCAACCCATTCGCAAGTCATTGGACCAAAGGCAGCCCCCAAGGCCCAAAGTACCTGGACCGAAATTTGTCGGACATCTTGGTTGGTTCGGCTGCAACGACCCCCTGCAAAAAGTTGATCACTTTTTGTGGGGTTAGTGGAAAGAAAATCCCCTTGGTTTCAACCCAAAAGTTAGAGTCTAAAGATCCGTTACCCAATACAGGGATCCTTACATTATACACCTGAACATTGCCTTGCAAATGGTGGTTTCCCTTTATTTTGGTGGAAAAAGCCATGTTTCAAATGGGCAAAATGCATCTTTTAAGCAGCCCTGCAATAGCAGTCAAGAAAAATACCAGGGAGTGAGTCGCAGGATGCTTGGCCAAGCGGCCTTCGGCGCAGCCGAGCCCACCTGCATGTTGGACCCACTTGGCAGGTTATACGTACAGTGGATGGACGGAAAATCTGTTCGCACCACCTAAGAAACCAAGGGGAGCCAAGGATTGTTGGTATTTACAGGGGAACCATCAGAAACAAGGGTGCCTTAGGCGGTGCGAAACATCCACAGCAGCAGTGGTTCTACAAGGAAACTGCCCTCAGCCCAAGTAATCATGCATATCATCTGGGCCTAGCGTCCAAACCTAGCTCACTCAACCCTTCAAGCCACCCGTAAACCCAAAGAACCGAATGATCCCCCAAGTGGTTTGTGCTTGATAGGTCATCAATGCCAAAGGCCAAGTATCGTGCCTTAAGGGTTGCCGTCAGGTCTTCGGGGAGAGTTGTAGGGTGCCTGAGAAACATCAAAAAATGCTTGCGAAATCCCAAGCCATCGATGGGAGGCAGGCCTGTAAATAGCGTGCGGCGACAAGCACACAAACACGCAACCAAGCGAACACCTGTTATGTGCACATGCACAAACACACACACAAAAAGATAAAACACACAAAAACACAAACACAAACACAAATGCACAACACACAACACACAACACCACAACACACAACACACAACACACACACACACACACACCACACACACCACACCACACCACACCACACACACCACACCACACACACACCACACCACACACAACACACACCACACCACACCACACCACACACACACACCACACACCACACACACACACACACACACACACACACACACACACACACACACACAACACACACACACACACACACACACACACACACACACACACACACACACACACACACACACACACACACACACACACACACAACACACACACAAACACACACACAACACACACACACACACACACACACACACACACACACACACACACACACACACACACACACACACACACACACACACACACACACACACACACACACACACACACACACACACACACACACACACACACACACACACACACACACACACACACACACACACACACACACACACACACACACACACACACACACACACACACACACACACACACACACACACACACACACACACACACACACACACACACACACACACACACACACACACACACACACACACACACACACACACACACACACACACACACACACACACACACACACACACACACACACACACACACACACACACACACACACACACACACACACACACACACACACACACACACACACACACACACACACACACACACACACACAAACACAAACACACACAAACACACACAAACACACACAAACACACACAAACACACACAAACACACACCACACGCCTAGGAGCATGCCTACACAGACTTCCCTTAAACAAAAAGAACAAACACTTGGGGTATTTATTCACTACAAAACAATTGAGGATAATCTTCACCCGATTGAATAGTATTAAACTTGTATTTGTCGATTGTGATATTGTTTGCAGGGTTAGCTCACACTGTATAAATATATATACATGGACTAGGTATTGATGGTCGAATCTAGCGTTCGGCCGGCAGAACACGATTTGCGTTCCTTGCCTTTCGGTATATGGAGGCCTGACTGGTTGGCAAGGTTGCAGCGCTGCTCCTCGCAGATCTGAGGGGGTTAGATTGTTAGAGGGAGGTGCACGGGCTTTCCAAGAGAACCCAAGGGGGGTTTGGAAAAAAATCAATGGATCCCCTTGGAAAGATCAAGATTTGCTTGCTGTTGACCCCCCTGCCAAAAGTTGAAAACTTTTTGGGGGTTTAGTGGAAAACGCATTGATTTCAACCAAAAAGTTAAAGTCTGAAGATCCAAGCCAATAGCAGTCAAGAAGAGATGGAATTGATGCTCCCAGCGCCAGGCGGGAAGCATGCACCCCTCAGCTGAAGAAGCGCTTGATGTAGGCCTGTTTCTAATTTGGATGGCAGTTTGCTTCTTGGTCTCCCAGGGACACCAAAAGGAATCCAGCCATTTTTGAGGCCCCCCCCCCAGAACTTGTTCATTGGGTAAACCCGTCCTTGGGCGGCATGCACTCGTAGGTGGCGGTCTGACCCTTCCGCAGGCGCGCAAAGCCGGGCCGCGGCAGAGCAACTTCCGCGTCCAGGCCAAAGGCGGAGCAGTCCAAATGCAGATCCCCGCAGTCCACGCAGTTGCCTCAGATCTCTCATGCCAGAAAAGGAAACAATACATCTCTACTCTTGGCATTGTAGCGCAAAACTTTGTTGTTTGCAGACCCCAGTAAAAATGAACAGAACCAAAAAACTAAAAAACCAACAAATATGCCAAGAACAGTGAAGAATAGGTACCGTCGACACGGAAACTCGGTTGCTAACTCTGCTCCCCTGCTAAAAGTGAATAACTTTTTGTGGTTTGTTGGAAAACCCATTAGTTGCCAGAAAAGGAACAAGTGAGTCATAACCAAAACCTCGTATTCAAATGGTCGTAATCCCGGAACCATGCAAAGAATTCAGAAGGCGGATATCCGCAGCTATTTATGGTTGGGATTGTCCCTTACAAACCTTCATCTAGCCGGGTGTTGATTGTGGCTGAAGTAGGTACTGTCGATACCGAAAAAACACACATGCATCACTGTTCAAATGCAAACCAGGGTACCCCCTCCCAAAACATCACAAGCATAATAATATAAATAATAAAGTAAATATCAGTCCCCAAACAGAATAGGTATCCAAGCATGGTACCTTTCTGCTTCACCTGGGCGTGCATTGGTTTGGGCTTGGTTTCAAGGGGAATCAAAAGGATCACCACGTGATCTTAAGAAAGGGGTACCCTCAAGGTACTCCAACAATAAGCGCTAATCAGGTACTGCTTCATAAGCCTCCCCAAGCATATGAAATCGCTTTAGTTTGGAGACCCCAGACTTGGTTTGTCAAGCTTAGGGCACATGCCGGCATCCCCAAAAGGCAGCACCGCTGGCAGCACCTCAATCTAAGGGGCCACACTTTTGACCTCTGTTTGGCTGTCAACTTTTATTTTCTCAATTGGAAGGACCCTACGAAAATCAGGTTTGCTGCTTTCTGAATAGCCAGCCCAGCTGATGTTTAAGCGATCGGTCGGGAATGTGCGCATGTCCAACGAAATGGCGCAAGGTCCAACAGAATAGCAGCCGAGCTAGCGATAGCCTGTAAAACATCCCAGTGCCCACTTCAAACAGGGATTCATGCCCCCCCTGTGCTGTAACTAAGTCAGCCATTCTTCGTAGGGGAAATGAACAACACAAAGCAACTCTTGGGAGAGACCCGTTGTCACATAGAATTGCAAAAAGCCAAGATTAACTTTGGACTAGCCCGGGAGACTGGAATAGTTTGAGATGCGAATGATCCGGGGCTCCTCTGACTAGCATCGGCCGGGGGAGAGGGAGGGGTGGGGAGGGAGCCCAATTAAGGCCTTCTCCCCAGCCCCCATAAGTCCCTCCCGCCCTCAGATAAGGCCTTAATAAGGATCAAGGTCATTCCAAATTCCGAAGTTAACAAAGCCCCAGCAAAAGGCTCCCGCCAAAGACGGAAAGACGGGTCTGCCGCGGGCCGCGGGGCCATCTTTCTGCGCGTAGCCGGTTTGGCAGCCACAGGCCCACCTCCTCGGCAAGCGGTCCAGCCGTCTTCAGCCCAGGGCGCCCCCAAACAAAATGCGGCAGACCCTCCCACAGCGATTCCATGGGTTTGTGCACAGACCCCTGTGCCAGGACTACTTTCCTCTTGGAAAGGGCCTTTTTGCAAACCCTGTTGGCTGGTGGGAGGGTACGCTCTCACCAACTAACACGGCCGCACCAATTTTTCCTTACTTCCTGGGTGGCTGGGCCACTAAAAGTCCAAACTGTTTGGTTGCCACTACCCAGGGTCTCCTTCTGACCCTTTAAAAATGGGACCCCAATCTTTTGGGTAATGACCAACCATTTTTAAGGGTCAGAAGGAGACTCCAGGTATACCCTCCCACCAAGTACCACAGTCGGAACCATTCGACGTGACACGGAACCGGTTCCTTTAAAAGGAAAATGGTCCAAACCAACACTCCCTTGTCAGGTTCCGAGTTATTTGCTGGGAGTGTATTTGATTTGTTTATGGCCCATGTCTTCCCTTGTTTGACGTTGGAAAGGGAGCAAACAAAATAAATCTTAGCAGTTAAGTGGTTCCGACCAAACCACAACAAGCAAAAATGCAAAATGTTTCCCACTCCCACCAAACCACCATAAGCAAAAATGCAACATATTTTTCCCCAACAACAACCATTTCAAGACCTTAGCATGCAACATGATCTCTAGATCTCCCCCAGAACTGCGGCCTCACGCCTGCGAGGGAGGGTCGGGGAGGAAACAAAAACCCAAACCGATGTAGGCGCAAACTCGGAAAGCCCCGGTCACACGTTGAAGGCTACGCAGGACCGAGGCGTTGAAGACATCAGACCCAGTTCAAGCCCCTGGATGGGACAATGGCAGTACAGGCAGTTCAATGCGCTCCAGAAGCTTTGTTTGCGGCTGATTTGCCGCATGCTCCCAGGAAATAGTGGGTTCTGATTGCAAAACCCCGATTCAAGCGTTCCCAAACCAATGTAAAGAACTAAAAGGGCGGGGCGTCGGACCATCTCTCCACCTATTTCTACCCAGCTTTGGAGGACCTAATTGTGGCTGGGATTGTCCCTCAACCAATTTATACCCGGGTTGGGAGGACCTTTTTTGTTCAGAGGCATCCATTTCTGGCAGGCTGGTGTCCCGTTTCCCCCCCTTTGTGGGCACATCCGAAGCTTGTTGGGTGAGGTGAGTCGGAGCGGGAGACAGTGAACCAAACCCTGGCCCGATTCAAAGTGAAACCATGGGAAGTTGAGGCTGTGGATGGACGAAATCCGTTCGCACCACCTGAATGATGATTCCCCTGAAGGCACCAAGCAATGGCCTCCCATGGTTTCAGAGTGCTGCGAGAAGCGGATTTCGCAACCATCCACAGGTCTTCTCAGTTGCCCCATCTGGGACACGGAACTAAAAGGTGATTACCACTGATTACCCTTTGCATCGCCAAAAGGGGGAACCCAAAATGTCATTTCAGGTCGATTCGCTTTGGTTGCCAGCGCGGGCAGTGAGTGCTTAAATCGAGCGATTTGCTCTGCCAGTAGGTGTTTCAATCATTCAAGCAACTTGCTTGTGTTGCAAGTCAGTGATTCAACGAGCCAACCAGCCCTACTATTGAGGGCCCGGAGGAAAAAAAAAGATTAAAATCAGGCCCCAAGGCCAGCGTCTCGCGTTCGGAGGTGGCGTTCGTCTTCCGGTAGATGCTGCCGTAGTGACACTCGCAGTGCTTTGCTGATGTGGTACCCTCGGGGGATGTGCTGTTGTCCTTGGATCCGAGTGCAGTTAAAATTTCTCAGGGATTCCATGTCTTGGTTGCTGCAACGACCCCGCTGCAAAAAGTGCTTGCTTTTCTGTTTCGAACTTTTTTTTGGGGGGGTTAATGGAAAACACCTTTATTTCCCAAAAAGTTAACGTCTAAAGATCCAACCCAATAGCAGTCAAGATTTACCCACATGGGCATGTGTTTTTTTTTGAGGGGACATCTGGTGGTATCATTTAGGTGGGGATTTATGTCCACCAACCATTTGGGAGGGGGTTCCCCATTACAATTCATAGCCAAAAAGCAGTTCTTGCGCTTTTTCCGCAAGAAAGTCGAAGTCTGCCAATGAACATGGGACCCAAGGGGTTCGGACTCTGGAACCCTTGAAAAAGAAAAAAGAGAGAGGGAGAGGGAGAGAGAGAGTGTGACAGGTGACAGGCGACAGGTCTATTTGTATCGCATTTCCCGAGCTTGGACACCAGCCGGCCGCTCAAAAAAGCCTCAGGTGCTGCTTCTTTCACAGCCGAGGTAGGGGCACGGACCTAAGGCCCAAGGACTCCGAAGCTTGCACAGCGCAACTTTTGACATCAATTTGGGCGTGTCATGAGTGTACCTCTGTTGTTTTTGTGTTTAGGCAACAAAACCACCAGCTTAGGCCCAGCGGTCACTTGAGCTAAAACGGAACTGGTAAGCTTGCCTCGCAGAGGCGCTGGCCCGGCCGACTTGCTTTTCAACTAGGTCCAGTACAACCTTCGAATCAGGGTACCGACTTCTTTTTCTGTACCTGGAGTCTCCATGACCCTTTAAAAATGGGTCAGTGACCCCATTATTTTGGGTAATGACCCCTTTTTTTAAGGGTCATGGAGACTCCAGGTAGTCTATTTTAGTAGGGGCTTGCTCTCCCCCAAAAAAGAAACGGTAAAAGTTGGCACTACTGGGGTACCGAGTTTCTTTGACACATGTCCAGTGTGCGGTCTCTACTCGAGCCTCTTTTTTTTGGCGGTCGTGGGGGCCACTTTTGGCCACTTCTCCGAGTCACAAGAGAAGGCGAGGGAAGCCGTCAGCTTTGTATAGAAGTCTGGAATATCATCCACTCACTTGCTGAGTGGATGGCCCAAAAAAAGTTCAAACTTTATATTTACCACTAAAATGGTCTTCCCAAAAAGTTTAAAGTTCATGAACTCAGGAAGTGAGTCCATTTGCTCAAGACCCCTGGAACAAAATATGTTTTTTCTTAAAACAGAAGAAGAATAAAAAAAAACAGGTCCAGTACGTGGAGTCTCCATAACCCTCAAAAATGGGTCAATGACCAACCATTATTTTGGGTAATGACCAACCACTTTAATGACGGGGCATGGAGACTCCAGGTCGTGATAGATGCCCTTGAAGCCACCAGGGGAAGCTAACACAACAACTTTGGCAAACGAAAGTCAGGGTCCTGCCCTGGGAACTGCTCTCCAAAAACATTATGCAGCCCTATAGACTTGCAGCCGTTTCGGGGTGTGAAAAGGGCATTCTTAGTTGCACGAAGGACCCAAACATGGCAAGGTTGATTTGTTGGGGGCCACCACAAATTGCCAAACTGGGGAAACGATCAAGTCATCAAACTGGGCTGTGCTAACTCACCCCCTGCAAAAGGCTTAAAGTTTAGTGGGTTAAATACGGAAAACAAGCTACGAAAATGGCTGGGAACCACCGAGAACAACTTTCGACAGGTGATTTGACTTTGGTGCTTTAGATCCCCCAGCAAAAAGTTTAGCTTTTTAATGGTTAAAAGGAAATATGAGGGGAATCCAAAAATTTAAAGTCTAAAGATCCAACCCAGCAATAGAGTTGACAGTTCAGTCCAGCAGCTGGGCAAGGCATGCACTCCGTCGCATTGCCGCCGTGGGAGTAGGTGTTGGGAGGGCAAAGCCGGCAATCGACGCCTCTCCCATACCACCCCGCCGCACAGGCACAGAGCACGTCGGGGGCAAACCTGCCGGGTGTGCAGGTTGTGGCTCATGGCGCGCGCTCTCCCACGTAGTTCAAAGGCTTGACGCCCTCTTTTACCAGATTTGGGGAAAGCACCCGGCTTTCCAAAGGGGCTTCAAGCATCCAAAAGTTTGGTGTCCCTTTTGGGGATGACAATCACCAAATGTCCGCTTGCTTTCACACAACATCTGCACGCTTGGCACCCCCTTGCACTTGGAAGCCCCATGCGAAGGTCACACCAAAGCTGCGGGTGGCAAATCGTGTGGGGCCTCAACAAGTTGATCATTAAGCACATCAGAGTCCGTTTGGTTTAAGGGATTGTCTTCTCAACAATGGGCGGTTTTCATCCAAGTGAAACCTTACATACGCTGAAAATGGATCTGCGGTGGGTGGTTTAGAATAAAAAGCACCTAGCGAAGAGGCGAGTAGATCACGGTGGAAACTAGTTTAGTTCCTAGCGAGCTGTCGCTCCGGAAGCTGCATGTTCAGCTCCCTAAATGGTGGTTTGGAGCCGAATCGGTTTGGTGGTGTTCCAGGGTGGCAAACCCCTTTTGCCCTCTGCAAACCAGGGGTTCAAATGCCACCACTAATCCAAACCACCAAATAAACTTTACCTGATCGAGCGATTGGACAAACAAAAGGCTCAAACTTCCATGTCCCACCAACGCTTAAAAACCCACGACAAGGCCCAAGACCATGCGGAGGCCTTTGGCCTTTAAGGCCGCTAGCCAGTGAGCTTCCAGTTGTGAATACCCCCTTCTGAACACCCCACAATGAGTATGGAACCGGTCGACATTCCAGGGGGTCCGGGTTTGGGCCTTTTTGCTTTCGAAACGACCCGGGTGTCCGCATTCCCTCATTCCATGTTCCTTGCAACATCGGAAATCGCTGTTTCCGTTCCACCCCGGGGCTGTGAAAAATCGGAAAATCGGAATGCGAAATCGGGCCTGGAGCTGGTGACCTGTAGGGCGGTGTTGGCCAAACCGTAGCAGCTGAAGCTCTTACTCGCCTGGAACGCAAGTCCACCGGACAGGTTGGACGAAGTGCATCGGTTCATTGCCACTTGCCAAGGACTTTTCTTGCACCCTGGGACTGCTCCCTAGGCAAATTACCCGAATGACAAATGAAAAAACAATAACCGGACATAGGCTAGACTTGGGTGCTGCTCAGGGCAAACTCCGAGGGAAGGAACACCTTTCAAAAGCAAATCGAACACAAAGCACGCCCCCCAACTTGCAACTGCAAGCGCTTTTTGGACACTTTCCGCCAAGCATTTCTTTGGGGGGGGGGGCCTTGCAACATCTGCTCGGCATCCAACCTCAGCATGCATCTGGAAAACTTCCCGAGCCGCCCAAAGAGACAGCTATCGAGCCGTCCACAGGAAAGAAGGGACCCTTACACGAACCTGGAAGCCACCATTTGTTAAAAAGCTGGGATGGGTCATACCAATTTACCCACCAAGTCAGTGGGTCACAAAAATTGGCCCAAACATGTCATGATGCAACCTTGCCATGGTAGACTCCAACTCATTATTCCCAACAAGCCATGCAAAAACACACAACATCGATGCATCTAAACCACAGTAATTTACGGACAATTGGAGAATCGGGTTCCTTGCTCCCTTGCTCGCAATCTTGGAAGGGGGGTTGGGCATTCACCGTGCCGCCAGAAAACTGCTGCCCGGAAGAAACATCAAGCGAAATCTCAGGAGCAGGGGACATGTAGGGAGAATCGCGATTGAAATCTGGGGAGCACTGACAGCTAGCTGCAAATATTATTCTAATTCCTGGGTGGGTTCGCCAAAACAAGTCCCAACTTGGCCAACAAGAAGGGCTTTCTCAAAAACTGACTAAAGTCCATGAACTCAGGGAGTGAGTAAGTGGCTAAATGGTCTCATGTGCGATCCAACCAAAAGCCGAACACCTGGTATCCCCCAGTAAAGGACCTTTGTCATGCTGAGCTCGTTCTACCCCCGAATCGGTGGCTCGCAATAAAATAGGCAGGAATCGCCTCACCCGCTCGAATCGCTCGCACTCGCCTCACCCATAGACCTGTGCCGTGAGATCTCCAGCACCCCTTCGCTCAGCAGCCAGGACGCCTCCCTGCGGTCTGCCAGCTTGGTACCTCCTCGGTGGCCAAGCCAACATCTCCGGAGCTCGTTGGAAGGAACCTTTAAGCACCTCCCATTGATGTAAGGGCTTCCTCAAGATACCAGGGCTTGGTTTGCTTTCTTTTATTTTTCATTCCTCAAGCACCCAACGTGCCTTCTTTTGGAGCGAGACAAAAAGCTCGAATCACTGATTTCTGCTCGACCCCACAGAAAAACTTGCCCTCCCGAAACAAACATGCTGGATCAAATCCAATTCTTCCATCCGGAGGAAGGCGAGCAAGTGTTACGTTTTTGAAGTTTGCGCTTGATGTGCGCGCGTTTTCCGGATATTTGCGCTTGTTTTGCACTTTATTATTTTCTCGCTTCTTTCGGCGACCGATCCTCTTGGAGGACCGATCGGCCCGGTTTTGGGGGAAAAAAGCTCGGAGCAGAAAAAGTGTTTACATTTACCAAACTTGGTGACCACCCTTGGTTTTGCACTATCTCACTTGCCCAAAGGACCTGGAAATAAAAGGTGATCTGCTTTTGGGACCTCTACTAAAAGTAGACCAAAATTGGAAAACCAAAAGGTCATTTCAGGTCGTCTTTGAACAACTGAGTTATCGGTAACGAAGAGAGCTCCAGGTTGTTGTGATGTTCCTTACCCCTTAAAACTCCAAGCCCTGGAGAAGTTAATCTTTTACAGACATATAGCCCATGTTACCCAAAAAGTTGAAAAGTTGTGTTTTTAAGAGGTAAGAGTATGATTGTGATGCTCACGTTTTGTTGCTTTTGTTTGGGTAGTGCTTTGAGTCGGCAGCTGACCTGACCGGCCAGAGAATTCTGGGCCCCCGCAATGGTTGCCTCTTGAGCCGAACCCGGAACGGTCCGAAGCCCCGTCTGCCGAAAAGCTCGGCTCTGAGCTTTCGGGGATCCCATCCAGCACGAAGCCCAGTTTGGGTCTCTCTCTCGGTTTTTTGTGGTTGGGGGGGGGGGGAGAATTTTTCCTGGAGTCTCCTTCTGACGCTTTAAAAAATGGGTCTATGACCCCATTGTTTTGGGTAATGATCAACCATTTTTCAGGGTCATGGAAACTCCAAGTGCCCTTGTTGGACTTTTTGTTGTTGTTGTTGCTTTTTTTCTCCAGGGAAAGCCGAAAGGAACCCACCCACTGTTGGGGGGTCTTTCTGGCCACCTTCGATTCTTTTCGAGCTGCGCAGGTCCACGTAGAGGTCCCGCAGCACCGCCCGCTTCAGCCCGCCCGGCTGGATCTTCAGGGAGGGCTGGTTCATGAGGATGACCGCCTGACGCGCCATGTGCAACGCGTTTCGCCACGTGCAACCCTGACGCTTCGCCCATTTTCAACGCCGCCGCAAACTGCATTCATGAACCCCTGGCTTCGAAATTTACTTTTGCGCCCCCCTGAAGAAGATAAGAATATGTCCAGAAGTGATGAACTTCCTTTCAAAGCAACAGGGGAACAATAAAACAATGTTCTTATAAGCAAATGGAAGCTGGGTAATTCTTGGGCGATAATTTTTCGGGGATTGCCAGGTCACTCCAACCAACCTAGCGGCCCACGGAAAAGCTTGCAAACGAAATGTTTCGCCGGGCAATTTCGGGCGATGTTGTTCTTTGGTTGGCGCACACCTCTCAGCACATTCGGTTTATCGGGGGTGTGTGTTCTGCCTGAAATCCAAACCCGTTACGGCGTCCCCAACTCATTGCTCTCGAAACAAGGCCAACGCAAAACCACAAGCTCAAACTTACCATAACATGCTATGAACAGCCAGTTGTGACTTGTCGCACAGGTACTAGGTAAGTTTGCACTTGTTTGTGTTGTTTCCAAGTTGACCGTGTTGAGAAAGAAAGCCACAACAAGTCCAAACAAGAGAAAACGGGCGTCACTGGCAAATCGGTCAACCGAAGTTGGAAGTTCAACGAAGGAAAAATTTGGCTTGAGTAGATTTGCTTCACCAAAGCACAAGTATATCCTTTTTTTGTTGTTTTTCCCGACCTGCAAAAAATGTCTTCCCGGAAACGATCCCAATGCACGAATCGCAGAAACAAAGGGATCGCTCCCATCTTCGCCTGGCTGGAGTCTGGGAATCGCTCCACAAAGCTGATGTTGTTGTTCGAGAGATCCTCGACGGAATTTCAGGCAGGGCGGCCACTTTTTTGTGTAGTTCAAAGAAAACCCCCTTTGAATGGTCGGCCACCCCTTCTTTTGTGTAGTTGAATAGGCTGTGGAACGGGGCACTTGGTCAGCAAAAAGAACACTTGAAGCCAGCGGCCAGGCACTGAAGCCCACCAGGCATCTATTCCGATAGAAAACCACAGGTGCTTGAATCCGTCCCAACGGGAATTTTGGGGGCGAATCCTGCTGGGTCATGTGTTGGCGTGTGTTGGCGGGTGCCAAGTCCTGAGTCATCTCTACCATTGAGAAACATGTCCGTTCCTTGCTCGTTCCAAGACGAGGGCGCATGCGAAACGGCGAAACGGTGGGCTGGGCCAACCACTTCCTTCCCCCGAAAAAATAAGATATTTCCCAGTACAAATCGATTACCTTCAAAACTAAAAAGGGAATATAAAACATATTCTCAAGCAAATGGAAGTGTTTGGTTCCGCTTTTCCCGAACCCAACCTTGCTGTCTTTCAGCAGTGAATGATGCCAATGACGCCAAACAAACATCCCTTAGTTCATTCCCTAGGCTCAATGGGCCATTCCCTACTTCTCGCACCAGGAAGGTATGCCAACGGTCAACCCAATCCTAAGGAACTTGGATTTGTGTTCTTTCTCCGGGCATGGCTGTAAGCCGAATCGCGCAGTGCTGCCTAGTCGTCTGGCTTTGTTTGGCCGCTTTTGGTTTCGTTTCTGAGCACACTTCCCTGGAGTGGCCTACCACGCACAGGAGAACATCGAGGCCTGGCACAGGCAAGCCTCGTCCTAATGCCGCAGACAAATGTTACAATCTGTTACAACAATGTCCCAAAGAGAGCCACCATGTTGGCCAGGCAACACAGACACACATGCTACAACCTTACTTCCTGAGCGGATTGCCCACAAGTCAACTTTTTGCTTACCTGTTAGAATCATCTTTCCAAAAAGTGACGGACCCCTTTTTTTGAGTTTAAGGGAGAACCCCCCAAAAAAACAGAGAAAACAGAAACTGCAACCCACTGGGCAACAGAGTCACTGACTCACTTGACCTGAGCGGCTCAAATGCATCCACATTTTGGCCGGTGCAAAGAGTCAAGGCTCCAAGGTCTGCAAGGAGGTGGTCAACGGGCTCCGCCAAAGCACCGAGGGCTTGCCATTCACCGTGACCTGCTGCACTAAGCTGCACTAAGAAGCTTGCAGTCTGAAACAAAATGCCCGCAGATCATAGTTGGGTGCATTTTTTGGAGGGTATTCTTTTTGGGGTGATTTTAAAGGAATACCTAAAGGAACACCACCGTCCCATCTCTCTCTCTCTCTCTCTTCCCCTCTGTGTTTCTCTCTCTCTCTCTCTTTCTCTCTCTCTCTCTCTCTCTCTCTCTCTTTTTCATTGGCATTTTTTAATCAATGCCCGATCTCTGAGCCACATCCGAGCTGACTTAACGGGCATTGGGCTCACCAGCTTTTAAATCCGAGGGTGACAGCTGCTTGCACGCGCAACCAGCCAATCGTGGTCAGACACGTTTTCAGCCCAAGAACCAACAAGTAGAATCCTTGCCCTCCCAACATGAAACCCGACTGGGGGTCCTGGAAACAAGTGGACATTTCTCTGATGGGTTTCATGATGGAAGGTCAACATGGCGGAAGAAAAGCAACCAAAATCTTTGAAACTTTGGCCCCAAACTTGATGTTATGCGAACTTTCCTGGATATCCCGCAGATGGCTGTTCCTCTTACCAGAAAAAAGGCAAAAAGGGTACCTGCAAACTTGAACCGCGCAAGGCCCCTCCAAGGGTTGTCAATTGGTACCCAAAATTGGCAACCACACAAGGGCACTTCAGCTACGGACAACCCTTGGCTTGGTTGCTGCAACGACCCCCCTGCCAAAAAGTGGACCACTTTTTGGGGGTGAGGAAAACACCATTATGTCCTAAAAAGTTGAGGTTCAAAGATCCAACCCAATGGCAGTCCAGCTGGAGGGTGGCGCCCCATTTTTGGTTTCTGCCTCCATGGTGGCGAGGTTGGGGATCGTGCCCCGCAAGCCAGCGTCCGGCGCGATGATGGAGGCCAAGTGCACGCAGCTGGCCTTGAATCATCGACCCCCGAAGAAAGAAAAAAAAAAACGGGAAACATATGTCACTTCCTGAGTGGACAGGTCAGAAAAAGTCTCCAAACTTGTTGTCAAACATGTGGAAACCAGTAAAGTGGTCCTTGGACAACCCAAAAAGAGACCAAAGGGTTCCATTTGGGGTACCTAGTCTCGACCCACACCCTTCTGGAACCTTGACTGCAAATAGAGAAAAAATGGTGAACACACTAAAGGTGAAAAGGTCGGCTGTGGACAAGTGAGTTTGAATTAGGGACCCTTTGGTCGACATCAACATGTGTTGGAAATGTTCATGTCCACCAAGCACTTTTGCGGAATCCAGCGTAGCTCATGGATGAATAGGGGAATGTCCAGGGAACCACCCCAATTAATCCATTCAAGTGATCTTCCAAACAAGCATGGAAGCTGACAAATTATTGCTACCCGACCCTCCAACAATCATGGAAGCCGACGATCGGAGAGCTCGGGAAGACTACATTCCTTTTGTGGAAGCCCCGCGTCCACTTCTATGATTCTTGGAAAGAGGCCCCCCTGTCTACCTTTTCGTATTAACATAGCCATAGCATCTGCAAATTACACAAAAGTTGCAAACCCTCTACAAACGGATCTCCAAAGGGCAGGGCCTTCCGTGTTCCCCCTATGTGTCGCCAAACAAAATAGGCAGATAGTATCTGGACCGGAAGGGAGCCACCTGACATGGTGCCATGGCCTATGTTCGCGGGCTAGCCTGGATAACAACGCCGCTGAGAACAACACTGGGCCTTAGTCGGGCGCTTCCCTCCCCTTCCCTCCCCCTCGCCATACCCCAAAGGGGTTTGGGACACCTGGAAAAAAACAAAACAAACACGCAAAAAAGCAGGTGAACTCTGCTGCATCCTGTCAGCTGTCCACTGGATCTGCCGGAAAAAAACGCAACATCGTTCACCTTTCAAGCCTTGACTAACAAGCCAATATGTGGAACCGCCTGCAAAAGCAACTCAGCCACTTCCATGGAGAAAGGGCACATGTTCTTGGCTGATTTAAGGGAAGCCCCAAACCAACAACAGTTGAAACAAGAGGTGCCTGGCAGGCCTGGCGACTCTCGAAGATTTCAGGGAGATGGGACATGTGTCACACCTATTTCCGTGCGCAAGACGGGCCCCTTCTTTGAGGTTCACCATTTTGACCCGGGTTCCCACATTTTGGAGAAAGCCCAACATGGCTCCAGAATCCCCCCATTTTCCAGCACGTTCCCAAACTAGGGTGCTGTGGATCCCCCATCAAAATGTTTAACTTCTTACTGGTTAAAAGGAAATATGAGGGGAATCCAAAAAGTTAAAGTCTAAAGATCCAAGCCAACAGCAATAGGGGGAAGAAACAAAAAACTAAAAACAAGGAGAGAGGATTGGTGGTGAGTCCACGGAGCTGCGGCCGAAATGCCAAGATGGTGATCAGGTCTTCGAAGGTGCCGTTCACCGGGCATCGGGAAATCTCGGGAACACATTCATCTAGGGGAGCTTGCTGCCCACACCGTCTTTTGTTGGGGTCCCCCGGATTTTGGGCCAGAACTGTTTCAAACGGGCCCCTTCGAATTGCCAAACAAGTCTTCTGGATGCAACTGTTGTGTAAGAACTGTTAAAGGGAAATAATCAGTGAATTCTTTTTAATATCAAACAACCTAATAACAAAGACCGCTCGGACCGGGCAACCCTTCGGCTTGAAAGAAAAACACTGAGAACACCCTAGCAATTAAGCCGAGAGATTAGTATTGGTTTAGTATTGGGTAATGCAAATGTTTTACTTTCTTGGGGTTAGCAGGATTCTTGATTGTTGGGGTCCGTTTATAAATGCGAAGGAATTACAGTCGACACCTGGGTCTATAAACACTAGCTCAAACATAGAAAGCTCTGAAGGCAAATCCCGAATAATTACCGAATAGGGTTTGGCCAGGAAGCTGAACAACCTCACTCTGAACGATAAACTTGCAAATGGGGTCATGTGTCTGGATGTGTCCGCAACCGAAAACTCAACTACAAAGAGTTAGTACTCTGTTTGGTCCTCACTGCTAATCATGGAACCTCGTTCCCTCAAAAAGAAGGATCTTGCCCAATGACAGGCTTGGTTCCCCTAAACATGCTGCAAACTTTGTTCATGCTTTCGCTGATCCACGAATATTAGCTTTTTGTTGGGGTCCCTGGATCAGTGCCATCCACGCATGAGAACCTTTTGTGCACATTTCCTCTGCATACCGCTAGGTCGTCCCCTTTCACGCAAAAAAAAACCGCTCAATTAGGAGAAACACACTCCATTGGAAACTTGTTCTGGTGTGTCTCCACCGGTTTCCGCTCACTTCCCGCTGATTGCCGCTCATGTCCCGCCGATGTCCGCTCATTTTCCGGGAGAAAAACTGGCCAATCAAGGTTCCGCTCATTTCACCTTTTCTTCGAAACGAGCAAACAAAATGCCAATGAAAGGCCTTGGTATCCACCTCCTGGCTTGGCATGACACCAACGCAAAAAAACAAAATCAATGACCGCAAAGGTTGCCGCCAACCCAACGTTTTTTGCGTTCTGGTCCATACTCAGTGAGCCTTCAATAAAGAGCATGTCGGAAGAGATCGAACCATCCCCATCTTTGAAAAGGAAGGCGGAACCGTACCCATTCCTTCTTCCCCCACAAATGGCAAGGGGTTGCCACACATGCCCCAAGCCCCGTGTTCATGCGGAAGAATGGAGTCAGCAAAGAAAAAACCAGCAAACCTGGCTTCACCCTGAATCTTAGCAGTTGGAAGCTACTGTGATTGGGCCCCATTCGGCCCCACGTTCGCGCCAGAAGAGAGCCCCTTTTTCGCTTCAACTGCGGCCAAGGTACATCCAGCACTGACAGCGAAGGGAACCTGACTTGCGCGCCCACAGAGAAGCACCAACCCTGTTGGTTGAGGTTAATGGAAATCCACCAAACGAAAACACACAACGAACAAACCACATGTGGGTATGCGTCCTGCTTTTGGTTTCCCTGTAATTAAACGGACCCACACCAAAAAAGGACCCGTCCCGCCGCCCCTGCCCGGGGGAAAAAAAGAAGACGCGCCGCCCATGGCCGGGGCACAGCTCCCTGGCCATTAATCTATTCTCCTCCGCCCTCTTGCCGCTTTTCTTGGACTTCCTCAAGTGCCGCGACCACAACTCCTGGCGGGAGCGATCGGTGCCGTTGGGTGTCATCTGCGATAATTACCAAAGTAGGCCGGTCATACACATGACATCTGCATCGCTTCAGGTGGAACTCCCTTGGCACTCCTCACGATGCTTTCCTCTTGGTTGGCGCCATCATGAAAAAACAATAGAAGGAACAAACAAATCCTCCATGACGCCCTCTTACTCAACCGTCGTTCTCGCGAAAACGAGCCAATGTTCCCACTTGAGGAGGTGGTGAACGAAAGCAAGCAGCTGTTGTATGAGACGGGTCGGAAACAGAGTGGATTCCACAGGTATCTTGCGCGCCATAACAGACGTCGTGAAGATTTCCAGGATGCTACACCTAAACTGGCATGGTGGCCCTTGCGCACGGATTTCTGCGAGGTGCTTTCCCGAGAAGACTGAGGAAGACCACGAAAGTGGTTTCGGATGTGCAGATCGGATGCCTGGGTGCAAGTGAACGCCTTTTGACACAAAGGAAACAATCAGCAGTCAAGCTTGCGCAGAAACCTGCATTGCAGGGCCCAAGCACACGAAACAACTCATGTCGACTTAGACTGGAATTGGTCAAACGAATCTGACGTCTCAACGTAGGGAATGCTTAGGCAAGTAGGCAGCAGCAGCAAGGCACCACACACGCTGCAGCCCATCTAGTTGCCCACTCTCCTGTTCAAACACCCCCGCGCAGCCACCAAGAGCTGTCAGGGCAGCAGGCAAGGATTGCGGAGGAGATCTTGGAGGCGAGCGAGGCAGGACTGCAGCAGCGGCGGGCGAGAGAAGATGCTTGGACAGGAGAGGATGAGGTCGAGGTCGATGGTGACCCGTTCCAGAAGCCCGCCGCCTGACGGCCCGCTTTTGCTTTCCTCGGGCCCGGCAGCGGCAAGTCGACGGGCGTCGAGGCTGTCCAGGCCGCCGAACGCGGGGCGCGCGTGCCGCTCACTGCTCCAACCGGGCGGCCAGTAGCCACACTGCGCGAGCTCCCACTGGAGGTGGACACTGCGCACGGCGCGCCGGTGCACAAGGCGCTGGAGGTGCGGCCGAAGTGGGCCAGCTAGCCGCGAGCTCGAGCAGCTCATTCAACGCACAGAGGACCGGACAGCGCCATCTACCCGCCTGGCGAGAAGCGCCTCGAGATGATCCACTGCAAGTGCCCGATCCTCCGGAAGCTCGAGCTGCGCGCCGGGAAGCCCTTGTGGCGTTGAATGCCATCACCAAGCACAAGGCGCCTTCGTGGGGCCCTGAAAGAGAGTGACCCGACCAATGCAAGCCCATTCCACCGCGGGGGGGGGGACCAGGGCGGATTGGAGCCCGGAAAGCGGGGGCTCTTGATTCTTGCAATCTGTTTGGCTCAAATAAATAACGATAAAATCGATCTTTCGGCATTTCAGCCCCTTACCTTGTTTACGCAAGAAGAAACTTCAGCTAGCTTAAGCGAGCTTTCGGCTGACTGGGCCCCGCCAAAGAGTCAAGGGAACCAAAACAAAACATGCGACACCGGGTGCTAGCAAGCTCAAACTCCGGAAGGTGATATGTTCAATAAAAACATATAATCATGTATGCCCCATGTTATCCCCCCCCAATAAACAGGTGGCACTAGAAGGAAAAATACCTATGGCTGTGGGTCAAAATTACACCACCAGGAATTGGACAAAATTCGCAGGTTTTTTCGTCCACATTTCCATTTACCTGGTTTCCATGTTGGGTACATATTTTTGCCCCAGGGCTCCGAACGCACCAGATCCCGATGGATCCCGCATCACGCCCAGTCCTTCAACCCCAGCAGCTCCGTTTTGTTCGGCAGGAAGGTGACCTTGCTCGCCTCCAGCGTTTTGCTTTCCCTTCTCTTTTGTTTTCCGTGTGGCCGTGAACAAGGACCCTCAAACTACCCGTAAGCATGAGATATCACCTCCTAATCCATAATTTGGGGGGGGGAACCAATTTTTGAAGTGGGACTTGGATCCAAACTTCTTGGGGTGCCCCCATCCCCTGGCCCATCCCCTCAATCAAGTTCTTATCTTCCACGCCATGTTCTCTGCTGCCTTTTTGGTGCCGGCCGGGGACCCCGGCGGAGAGCTTCAGAGTCCTGAGCTCGCGGAGCTTGCCGCGCCAGGCCTGGCTGATGGAGCCGTAGATCTCCTCAGCCGGCGCCCTTGCAGCCGCATTTTCTTGGTTGACGTTGGAAGGGGGGAGTTTTAGCAATTACTCGGTTGTTCAGTTGCTCAGTGACATTGGAAAAAAAGGGAACCCTTTCTGGGGAAGACCGAATTTTTAGTGGGGGAGCCACCCAAAAAAAATGAAGAAGAAAAAAGGTGCCACTGAACAACTGAGGTTAAGAAAACAGTTTGGCAATTCAAGCTTTAGCAGTTTAGCAGTTAACATTTAAGTTGTCTAGGGGTTGATTCCCCGTTCTTTTCAACCATCGTTCTTTTCAACAACCAGCCATTTTCCCTGCGTGTACCCAGGTCTTCTAGAAAGACATATCCCTGGAAAGAATGGGGATAGTACCCCTAGAAGCTTTAGCTGTCAGTGGTTGGAATTCAGCCACTCAACCACAGCAAGCAAAAATGTAAGATGCTTCCCAACACCAACCATGATTTTCCACCCTCACACTCCGGGACAGAGTTGACTCGACGGATTCTAGATCTTGTCCTACCCGGAAGTGGACACAAACGCAGGAGGGAGGGTGCAGATTTATGTTGGCCGGGAGCGAAACGGGCCCATCCTGCCTGCTGATTGAGTGAATGGGCCAGCAAAAGCAACCAAACTGTTTGTTTGTTCACTCGAATAGTCCAAACCCAAAAAGTGGTTGATTGATTGCTTGATTGATTGATTGACTGACTGATTGACTGACTGACTGACTGATTGATTTGTTGGTTGACTAAAGCCATGAAACGAACTCGAGTGAGCATCTCTATGAGGTCGGGAGTGACCATCGTGCACTGGGGCCTTTCACTTTGGATGAAGGGCTTGCGCAAGTTCATTCCATTGTTTGCCTTGAACACACCAAACCTGGTTTCTTGTTCCCTTCTGGCTTCTTGAAGCAAACAAAACCCAACAAAGAATACCGCCGCAAGCAAAACACGGTTCTGGAGTAGGTTTGTGAAGGTTGGTGTGGTTGAGTATGGAATGGCATGGTTTAGCAAGAATTGAAAGGCGCAAATCGCTTCAGGGGCAAGTCATGACTTGCTTTCGGGCCAGCTGCGGTGCCCATGAATTCCACATCCAAGATCTTCGGCCAGTGGATCTGGGCGTGGCGATTGAATCGGCGATCTTTAAGACATCCTACCTTGGTTGCTGTTGACCCCACTGCAAAAAGTTTTTTTGGGGGGTTTAGTGGAAAACACATTTGTTGCCTAGAAAGTTGAAGTCTTAAGCTCCAACCCAATAGCAGTCAAGCTACAAGCGCCATTGAAAGTTCCCTTACAAATTCACTGGGGACCCAAAAGGGGGGGGTGCCCAGCAAGGAGTTTCCTCTACACGTAGCGGCTTTTGTTGGTTCCGTGTTAGTCCGCTGCAAAAAACGGAGTCAAAGGTTGGTGTCGGGTAGCTGGGGATTCGTGTTCATAAGCTCATTCCAGGACTTGCACCACATTGCCTAAATCAAAAGCTTGAGCAAAAGCAAACCAAACTGGAAACCCAAATTGGCATGTCCATTCCAGCTTGCAAATTTGACAACAGCTTGAACCACTGGTTGCCTGAGGTCTGCTGGTCGCCTGAGCCCGGCGCAATGTTTTGCAGATCCCCCGTGACCTTCGTCCGGGGCAAGTAGAGCTTGCGAAGGGAAGGCTTCATCTTCTGGGCGTTGAAGACCATGATGTCGCCTTCCAAAGGTTTCACATCAACCCTTCGCCGAGCTTTTCTCTGGGTGCTTTTCTTTTTGCGCGAGCGCGAGGCAAACGAAAAGCAAATCCACCCCGCTGTTGAGTAACAAGCATTTGGCGATGCTCACAGTTGCGAGCAAGGCTTGTCTGCGCAAACTTTCTGGGGAACGCCTCTAGCATTTGCATCGGACTCAATCCCCAAACCGCGTTCACATTACACACATGCTACACATAATGGCCATAGGACACCCAAGTCCCGTTGACCTACGAAGGGGTGTCAACAACCTGCATTCGCCTTGGATGTTACCTCGCCAAAGTTACAATCCTCAAAGTCAGTCCCTATGTGATGGCAAGTTGGGTGAGACCACGAACCTGACTTTGATAGCCATGGAGAACCTCCATTTCCTTAAGTCCCCAGAAGAAGAACATATTTCCAGTAGTGATAGATTCCCTTTAAAGGCAACTGCGGGAAAGAAAGCAAATGGAAGCTGATAACCATCGAGAAGCAGGGCAATTTGATGAGTAAAGTAAGGCCCCGTGTGCCAAATTTACGGCTTGGTCCCCTAAATGGCCAAAACGACAAACAAACAAAACAACTGGCTTTGCTTCAATTGTGGTCTATGTTCAGTTGACCTTAATCTTGGTGCTAAATGGAGGGATCTGGAACATCAATTGTACCCATCCATTTGTGGTTGCCTTTGCGGTCCGGGCATCTCGATTGCCTCTGCGCTCTCGAATTGCTGGTCTGCTCACTGGAAACCTCAACCGTTGGGCCCCTTATTTGGTTTGGAGCCCGGCGGTTCGGTGTTTCCGGGGTGGTTCCCATTTCCCTAGAAGAACCAGAGCTTCAAATCCAAGTCCAAACCACCAACCAAGGACTACCCGGGGGAAAAAAAAAAAACATAAAACATGTTCTTTTCCCGGCGCAAGCCCGGAAACGGCGCCACAACCCATGGCACCCGCGACAGGCGCATCCGTGAGATCCAACTCCTCGAGGATGGGACATTTCGCGAAGGCCTTGATGTCCCCGTAGACCTGGCAGGGCATTGGTTCATTGGTTCTTGCGAGTGCGAGAGATAGGGGCCACGGGCCCTGAGAAACGGACTGAACCTGAAGATTCCCGAAAGGAAACAGGAAACCACCAGTTGGAGGGTTAGGTTTATAGGGAGTGCAGAATGACCCCTAAGCATCCAACTGGTTTCCTCTAAGGGGGCCAAGGCCTGGGTTCCTTCAAGCACATTCCCTATTTATCGCACCAAGGGAATTTGGTCTAGGATGAACATCCTCTTCAAATGTAGCCATGTCCCCCACCAGAACTCCGATCGGCTCCAAGTCCGGCTCCCTTTCAAACCACCTGCTAGCTATGAAAACGAACAAATGGCTCCCCACTTGTCTCATCTAAAAACGTCTTTGAACTTGCAAACGTCGCAACATGCAGTATACACCATTGGCTCAGCGACAAAAGGTTCAGAGTCATAAGTATAGGGGGCTTGGACAGTTCAAAAAACTATCAATCGCTCCAAATGGTTGCAACATGAATTTCCTTTAAGGAGCCCAGTATAGCCTCCCTCCAACTATGGCTCCTGACCCGGGGTCCATTCACCAGAACATTTTTATCTTCCAGGCTCTCGCTGCTCTAGTAGCAAAAGGAAGGTTAGCTCTACAGTGGTAGGAGTATGTCAAGGAACATGTGCTTTTATAGTCCCCCAATTAGATCTTAGAGTTGGCGTACAGGAGAATCTTTGCTTGGTCCATGACAAACGTGGCAAATACAAAAACAACCTAGCTTCTCAAGGATTCTCCTGTGAGCCAACTTGGTGAGTTGCATACTTTCCCGAGCGCCAAAAATGCTTTGGAAGGCCCGATGGGAAACATGGCACTGCTTTTGAGCAAACGTCTGGGAGTCTGTGTCCATTTGCCGCAAGGGAGCACTGTATGCAAGAACGAGCAAACAGGGTGACCTGTGCACCAAAATTCGCTCTGGATGCACAAGTGGAAGGCCAACGAAGGGGGGCTATCATCGATCATGCCGTTGTCTTAAGGCCCTATAGAGCCCTATTGCTTGGCTGCAGCCCTCCAGCCCCTTCGCGTCCAAGACAAGAGGGGGACTTGAATCCCACCTTATTCCTTGGCTGCAGCCCTCCAGCCCCTTCGCCCAGTCAGACAAAAGGCGGAGTTGAACCCCAGCCTTGGGCGACATGAGCACCAGCTTTTCCAGTCTCCGCAGCGTTTGAAAGACCTGCCGCTACGGAAAACCCTGCAGGACCCTGGCCCCCTTGATCTCAATGGGGCCAAGCTACGGGTCTTCAAGGTTCCGCAAGGAAGCCAACTTTCTAGGGGTGGAGTCCTTGTCCATTCGTTTTCAACCATCCTTCTTTCCGAAAGCCGGACCCGTTTTTTTCCTGGGTTTCAAAGGAGGTGTTCTAGAAAGATTTGGACCCCTGGAATGTATGGAAATGGAAGGTACCCCTAGAAACTTGCACTATTTGCAAGTCACTGTGGGATGTTTCCGATGCGGCGTCGGAGAGCGAACCCCACAAAGAGGTTTCACGAATGCAGGCCAACGGACCCATTTCCGACCGCGCTGATTCATTGAACCCCAGTTCAGTGACCCGGAAGGAAACAGCTAAGCCTTTTTTGGCTTGACGCTGTTTTACTTGGGAAGCCATCAAACAAAAAGGGGTGCCAGGGGTGCCACTTGCTCATTTTGCAGGGGACCTGTCAACATTGTGTTTGTCCTCTTGGTTTCGCTTTAAAACGACAAAACACGGGGTACCCTCAACAAAAAACATCTGAATATGTCGCTGAAACTCTTCCGTGCTATCGTTTTATCATAGTTTGTTGAAAGGACCTTTGGGCTGACTGTGCGAGATTTGTCCGGGCCGGTAATCCGTAGCCCGAAACAGTGCCTTGCATGTCCCCCGAGGCCCTCGAAAAACATCGCCCCAAATTGAAACTCGAAAAAGGCAAGGTCAAGGCCAAGTGGTGTGAAGCAAAGCATGGTCAAAAGAAGCAAAGTCTTCGAAGCGCACAGGGCCCAACTTCAACGAGGCCCGGATAAAAAGACCTGGCGGTAGTGCCATGCCTGAATGTCCCCCGAGCATCTGTCGGTGAGATCTGCGTTGTTCAACATGCTGGTCGCCTGGCCATCCGAAGGACCGCAAGGACTCTCGTTGGGCGCCTGATTCTACGCCGTTGAACCAGAACTTGCTGGTGCGATGGGCAGGGAGTGAGAAAGGGAATGACCCCTATAAACCATCCAACTGGTGGTTCCCTTTATTCGAGAATCCCCAGGTCCATTGCATTTCTCATTCCCTGCCTATCGCATCATTTTACCTCATGGTAACGCAGGCCCGCCAGCGCCTGCAAGTAAACCTGGTTGGAACCTGGAGGTGCCCCAAAAAGCCGATATGGAGAACTTGTCCATCTATTGAAAGTTCCCAGTTACCACAATGGATCCCCAGCCGTTTCTTCTTTTGGCTTAAGGGCTGGCTGTTCCCCACTCTTTGGGTAAATGGAGGCCAAAGAAAGGTCTCACTTGACTTGAATTCTCAAGGGCCGACGGAGTTGGCCTCGAAGACCTTGATATCCCCGAAGACCCGGGTGTTCCGCACATGTAGCTTGTCCAAGAGCGAAGTGTGCCTTGAATGGCCGGAGAAAACTGGAAGGACCAACTTGCTTGGATTGGTGTGACTTGTTTGGATGTTTGGGCATGTTGTTTTGGTTGGGTGATTGAATCAACAATAACCACTTGCCTGGTTGGCTGGTTGGCCGTGTTTGTTTGCTTGGACGACTAAACGGAACCTCACAAAAGAAAGAAACAAGAAGAACAAGAAACATAAAATGGCGCCACTTGGCAGACTGGGGTGCCGAAAGACCTTGATGTCTCCGGTGACGTTCGTGAGCCTGAGGCAGAAAAAACAGAGAGACCCTCTTCCAAGCCTAATGGTTGCAAAAACCGCTTCTCGCACCCCCATCCAGAAAATGAACGGAATCATGCGATTTCCCTCCAAGCACAAACAAACCATGGTTTCAACCATGGTTTCTTAGGTGGTGCGAAAGGATGTCGTGCATGCACAGTACTGAGACTGGTTCGTAGCTAGCTCCAACGACTGAAAAGTACCCCCAGAACTGGTGAACGGAATCCAGCCACAAAAAGTGGCAGGCAAAAGTGGAAGCGTCGCCGACGGGACCCCCCCCGTTTTGCAATGAGCGAGGGTGAGGATGTGTGTCAAAACAAGGGGCCTCAAAATGGTTTCCTTTTGTCTTGGCTGGAATTAGGACCCCAGCAAAAAAGATATTTTTTGCCTGGTTAGTGGAAAACAAAGGGAACCCCAAAAAAGCAAAAAAGCAAAAAGGGCCACTTCTGGGGAAGTTTGGTGGTTTCCCTTACAGAAATCCTCCCTCTCGGCGCCTGGTGGTTTGGAGTGAGAGCTCAAATCCCAAAACTCCAATCCACACCAAGGGTGAAAGAAGAAAACGGACTTTCATGGAGGCCCCACCACTCTGCATCCATAGCTCCGAGACAAATCGCCTCTGGAAATGCCGCCTGGAATTCCTCAAAAAAAAACAGAGGTGCCTGAGCCCCAGCTTCTTCAAGCGCGGGGTGTTCTCAAAGACTCGGATGTCCCCCGAGACCATCTCGTCCCGGAAGAGAAGAAGATACTCTAAACCCTGAGGCAGACATGAGGAAATTCTTGGGCCACATGTGGGGAACACAACAAATATGTCTAGGGATTGATTCACCAGTCTTTTCAACCATCATTCTCTTCAATACCAGCCGTTTTTCCCTGGGTTTCCGGAGGTTTTCTAGAAAGAAGGATCCCTGGAAAGAATGGGGAAGGCACCCCTAGAATAATGTCCTGAGTCTGTTTCGTACTTCGTGTACCCCCAAAATATTAAATCGTTTTGGAGGAGTCAAGGAATCCAAAGCCAGTGCCAACCTTTGGACTAACGGCGCTGGTGATGTTCCTGATGTTTTGCCAGGAGGGTTCTCTTGAAAAGCGGGGGAGGGGGGGGGAGGAGGGACGAGGATTGATTTTTAAGAGGGCCAAGCATCTTTCCCCTGAGCCATGCTGAACGAAAATGGGGGGGGGGGCGGGTTTTTCACAAATGGCTCTGGACTCTTTTAGTGGACCTTCGTTGGCACAGGGGTCTCAACAATGTGCCGCCTTGCCAATATAACTTCTGCAACGCCAGTTGGTTTGGGACCGCAGCTTCATGCGCCAACCAGGTCCGGAATGAAGCGTACAGAAGCGGGCAGCAAACTGCCAAAGTAGCTTGACAACACGAGGCTTGCAAGGGCCTACAAAAGTAGAATGGCGTTGTTGCGGGGTATATACTTGAAAACAAGAGTAAATACATCATGACCTTGAATCGCAAGAGAATGCTGCTCAAACCCCCCCCCCCCGCCCCGCCCCTAAGTCTCGCTAGTCCGAACGTGGGCGAATACGTACCAACCGCAATTCACGAACCTGTGGTCACAAGGTCCTCAATTGCCCATTCCGTGCCTCATGGACCAGAACGGGGAAACCAACAGGGGGGTCTTTTTGCCACTTTTTTTGCGAGAACATTGGCGACCCCCTCAAAAAAGAATCCTTCACTACGAGGGGGTCCATCATTTTTCTGGCAAAAGACCCTCTTGGAAACCAAAAGGTGAAAACACAACTCTGCTTTGGGCAGAAAGATCGGGTCTGGATGCATTGAGGTGACATCCTCACAAAACTCCTAGCTCGTACACGTCATGCTGAGCCCTCGCATTTCTCTTCAGACCTCTCCAGGTACGAAAAAGGAGCCCTTGTCAGGCTAAATAGGAAGCCTCCAAAACCGAACAAGTAACATGTTCTAGGTCCTTCAGTAGAGAGGTTAGAATAAGGGTACCCTTTCTTTCTGTAGTCTATTTCAGTAGGAGAACCCTCCCCGAAAAAAGGGGTAAAAGGGGGGACTTGGCATTTGTAGTGTTAGGCTTCCTTCAAAACCCGCCCAACTGGGAAGAAATACCCAAGCAAACGGAATCCACAGAACCCATCAGAGGGTCCCTTTAAAAGGAACATAACTCGCCTTCGTTTCGGACCCGAGGTTCCGGGAGGGTAGATGTCCTTTAAACCAGCGGACAATTACTCCTAAACAAGTGAAAGTTGCCCTCCCACCAAGTAGCATGAAACCTGACGTTCGGGGGACCCCTTCCAATTGCTTTAGCGCCTGGAAAACAAGAGAACATATTCCCAGTAGTGAAATCAATTCCTTTAAAATCAACAGGGGGAAGAAAAAAAAGAGCTTATTTCAGCAGATGGAAGGCCCAGTTGCCTTCATATCTTTAAAGACCGCGATGTCACCACTGACGCTCGTCGAGGTAAGGTCCACATACCTCAAGCCTGGCGCTGCCTTCAGGTGCCGGAGGTCCCCTGTCCGGAGAATCGGAGACGTTGCCCTCAAGGACTCAAAAAGGGCCTAAACCTTGGGGTGCTTTTTAAGGTGGGTGAGAAAAACGAGCAAAGGAAACCATGGCCATCTTGTTTTTTTTTTGGGGTGCTTTCAATCCATATTTACGAGTAAACTGCTGGCAACTTTTTGGCCCTTGCATGGCAGAATGCTCATAATTGAAACGTGACGCAAAGCTAGGAACCAATCAGCAGACCCATACAATGTGTAAATCTCCAAATGCGCGTGCTCTTGCCAAGCAATGAAAAGAGTTCTTGACCATAGGTCTCTCGTAGGAACCCCTGCAAAAAGTACACGCACAACCACATCTGCATGTGGATACGCACGCAATATACGCATGCACGCAAGCATGTTAAGCCTGGTATACATCGATATGCTTATCAAAGGAAGTTTAGAAGAAACTTCCGTGGTACGGAAACGAATTGAAGGATAGCTGATGATTAGAAGAACCTTGTCTGAGCGCGCGAAAGATAGAGAATGCGCAAAAGCGTGGCAGGGTGCAGGAAATCGCTGCTGCTGATGTGCGAAAGGTACCTCTGCCGCGACGCCTATTCGGGACGGTCTCGGAACGGTCTCGGACGGGGGGCCATTGGCACGGCCGCGCGGAGGTTTCGCAAGGTTACAATTTCATGCCAGGCGCAGCACTTTGGCAAGCCGAGGTATAAATTTCTTGGCAGGCGCAGCACTTTCGCAAGGCCAAGTGTAGATTTCGTGGCAGGCGCGGCATTTCCGCAGCGCACGGACGCATCGCAAATCCCATTGGCACGGGCGCGCAAGGTGGCGCATGCAGATGTCGTGGCAGGCGCAGCACTTTCGCAACTGCTGTAGATGTGCGAAAGGCACCAATGCTAGCTAACTCTGGCAGCTTCGGCTCGAAAATCGCAACTTTCAAGTACGAAGTATACTCTGGCAGCTTGGGCTCGAAAATCGCAATTTTTGAGTACGAAAGTAGTATACGCGAAGTGTGCTCTGGCAGCTCGGGCTCGAAAATCGCAACTTTTAAGTACGAAAGTAGTACGCGAAGTGTACTCTGGTAGCTCGGGCTCGCAACTTTTAAGTACGAACGTAGCACGCAGCTCCGGCTGGAAAATCGCAACTTTTGAGTACGAAAGAAGTACGCGAAATGCACTCTGGCAGCTCCGGATCGAAAATCGCAATTTTTGAGTACGAAAGTAGCACGCGAAGTGTACTCTGTCAGCTCGGGCTCGAAAATCGCAACTTTTAAGTGCGAACTTCGTGCGCGAAGTGTACTCTGGCAACTCCGGCTCGAAAATCGCAACTTTTACGTACGAAAGTAGGTTTCGCAAGCATCGAATGTTTGGATGTGTGAAAAGACAGAGAATGCACAAAAGCGAGCATCAGATGCGAGAAGCTGCCTTCAGGCCGAGCGCGTGCCATTTCAGGCCGCGAGGTTCTGCAGCATTTGCTTGAAAAGAAGTGCGGCTGGGAGGTTGCGGGGCCGAATGTTTTGGACATGGCATGTTCAAGGAGCAAGGCACCCCCGCTGAAACCAGCAGCAATGCAAATGCTATAAGTCCCATTTGTTTCAGAAACTTCCGCCTCCCGGCTTTGCCGGCTATACTGGTATGGATATTAGATGTGCTTTGACAGGTGTCGAGATATGCTGTGATATGTTACTTCCGCCCATTGTGCTCTTGCTTCAGCAATTTCACAGGTGGGAGCACCAGGCGCTGCGAACAAATGGACAAATGCAATGCTGACGACGGGGATAGAAGTTGCCCTGTGTGGACTGCAAACTTTTCCTTCGGTTCCTCATGCATGGGGGGCGCATCAGTTTCTCAGCGGAGCTTGACCAAACAGTTCAGCAGATGTGGCAATCAACTGATGTAGATGACGGAAGCAAAGGCGCGAGTGGTACGTTTCGACGTCTTGACCACCACTCATGGAGGCGCTTGTTTCTTGCTTTGTGCTTTTCTCGCGCATGGGCACGTAATGTTAACCCCGGATTTTTTTAACCCCTGGTTGATTTTGATCGAGCGTGTCCAATTCCTTTTGGTGGGGATTCAGACCACTTTGGAGGGAACACCCCCCGAATAGTGGGACGGGTTCTACTTAGATCCTGGGTCAACATTACAATTGTCTGCCTTCCACAGCTTCGCAGATTGCCCTGCGCGTCTGTACGCCTGGAGAGGCTGGGTCTCGACCATGTTGCACAGCTAGTCAAACCAAAAAAACGCAGAAAAACATGTCCCGTACGTAGGTGGAAGTCCACAAGCATTGCCAAGCGGTGTGTTCCATTTGGCCTTGCTTCCGGCGGTGTTTGCTTGATTAAATGTTCATCGACTCCGTACTTAGATCTGTTTGCCTCGCCCAAGATTCAGGTGGCTGCATCAGTCTCGACAGAGATGACACCATGGAAAAGGAAGGAGGCCATAGCAAATGTGTGCAGAAGGAGGCCAATTTAAAGCCAAATGCTGTCAGCCTTGCAGCAGTCATCCTTTGCATGTATGTGCATGCAAGTCAACCAGCCTGCCAACAGTCAGTGGCGTCCTTCACTACATGTCGGTGACATTTCGTATGCGTTCGATGATTTCTTCCTCTCTCTCTCTCTGCCATTTTTCTTGGTAGGGATTCTTTTCTTGGCATGGCGGTGACTGCTGACGCATGCTGCACAGAATGTTCCCTTGCGCGTGGGCAATGACTCAACTCGAGCACCAGGCAACCGAATTTGAAGCGCTGCTCCCTGGGTTTTTACTGCATCCATCCTGGCCGCCAAGCTCTCAAACGCAGGCGACCTGGAGTCTTAGCGCGTGCCCGCACGGGGCCAACTTGCAATCCGGCAGAGTCTGGGGATGGACGAGTTCTTTCCTTGATGTTCCTGCGAATCTTGACCAACCATACCCGGCTCACTTTGGACGTCTGTGGCCAACTACTTTGGACCATGAGGTGGCACGACCAAGCATGGCCCAAATTCAAGAAGCTCCTAATGCATTCTAAGGACCCAGAAACCAAGGGAAAAACCTTCTGGGCCAACAAAAGGAAACTAAAAGGTCAAAAGAACGTTTCGCTTTGGGCGAGTGAGACAATCTCAAGGTAAAAGAGTCAGCTCTGGAAACCGAGCAAGCAACGTCGGCCGGCCTTCACAATGGGTCAGGCACACGTCGAAGTGTGTCAAGCCGGGCAGGCTGTCTACGATCTCAATGTTCCCATGGACAAAGGCTGACCTCAGCGAGACCCCTTTGGTCGGATCGTTTCGTAGGTCTGGGCAACCAAGCATCACCTACTAAGCAGTCACTGTTGCAACCAGGACTTCCCACAAAAGCTATCATGGAATCCAGGCGTGTCTTTTTGTTGAAGGTAATTAGATGTGTTCTGTGTGTCTCAAACCCAGAAAGCCAAAAGGTCAAAAGGTCGGCTTTGGGCGAGTAAGGTTTTGAAAAGGGCTTTCAAAGGGACACCAGCGTTCAGGGCTGCCCCACCAAGACACACCCAAATCTCCTTTTGGGCCCCAACCCCAAAGTCTTCCCTTGCCCGTGCACCTCGTGCCCGCAGGGGTGCTCAACTGGCAATGAATGCCAACCAAAGGTTAACTTTGGATCAATCCGCAGAATCGCTCATCAAGGGTGATTCCCCTTTTTCGTAAAATAATGAACTACTTGAAGAGATTCCTTTGACTAGTTTAATAAACCTCTGGTGTAAAGGGTAGGGCAGATAGCAGGGGCCCTTACAGTCAGTGGATCGATGGGCGTGTAACTCTGGATGCACAAAGTCAAAACGCGCTGTACACCCAACGGTTTCACCCAATATGTCAGGCATCCATAGCCGACGGCTAACATCTTAGCTCAAGTTCAACGATTTCGCCCAAGAACTATAGAAGGCTCATGCCTTTCTCCTGCAGGGTCAGAGAATACAATCTGCACAACAATCATTACAGTCGAACGGGTGCCGCAGTTGATGAACTCATGCCTGATTGGGTTCTCAAACTGTTCGTTGGAACAGTCAACCACCGCTGCCTTCAAGCTTGCCTTCAAGCTTGCCTGCAAGCTTGCCTTCAAGCTTGCTTGATTGTAATCTCCAAGTGGGTCTTTTGAACAGGAGTCTCTGGTGATTTCCCGTTTTCGTCCATGTTGCTTTTCAGTGATGTGCACTCGCCTTCCTTGTTCCACCCAAAGCCAAAGTCACCGATTGCTGATTGGCGCACCCCCCTGCTCCAGCGAGCGCCCCGGGATTCGTTCGCGCCTGAAGTTGATAAAGTTAATCTTAGGCTTTCCCTTGAACACACCGATATCTCCCACGACATCGGTGAAGGCGAGGTCGATCCTCGGCGACAAATAGACCCGCAAAGGACGCCATTCAGCAAACTGGGCTTACTTGGGACCAGGATTTGTGTTGTTGTCGCCTTTGCGTGCAAGGCGCGCATGTACCCAGCAGCTACTGTTACATGATTGAAACATAACAAACACATGACAAACAAACACAAATTAGTTAGAGTCAATCTTGCAGAACCAGTGGCAAACAAATCAGAGTGCATGTGCGGCGTCTTCGATGCGCAGGAAACCCTGAGAATCAAGCTGAATTTCAGCTAAACGGTCTTTGGCAAACATGCAAGCACTTTGGGATAAAAAAAGGGTTGTCAGAAGGAGCTTGACATGTAACTAATGTGAGAACACGTGTCTGCTGACTGAAACACGGAGAGCCTCTAGGGGCAGAACCTGTCGTTGAACCAACGCCTGCCTCCTTCAAATCCACAAAGGTCACTAAAATCGGGCGCGCAGAAAAGACCAGCCTGTGCCAAAGGACCCTCTACCCAAAGTGGACGGCAAAACGAGGCCTGGTCAACATGCATGGGAAACAACGCGCATTTATCAGCATCTTCCCAGACATGGATCTGTCTTTTTTGAGGGTACCCCTTTCTTGTGGTTACCAAATCACACCGACCCAATTTTGAGGGGATCCCCTAAACAACACAACCCACATTTGTTGAGGCTGCGAGGGACTCTGCCTTTCGATCTCTCTGCGCAATCATGGCTGATTGGGGCCAGTTTGACTTGGTCCAATAGCCCGTTTCCGCAGCATGCAGAAAAAAACTGTTGGCAAGTCGTCTCAAGGTGGACCAATGAGCCTTCGCAAAAGAAACATGGGAAATCTGAACCAGGGTCTTGGAGAGGTCTGGCATGTTCTTCGTCACCTTGATATCTCCTGCCACAGCTCCCAAAAAAGGACGGAAGCCAACAAGCACGTACAGACTGAAAGATGGCACAATGCCCTTTATGCGGGTACAGTCAATTGCTGGGTGGACTGGCCAAAACAAGTCCAAAGCCGTTGTTTGTCATGCTCCCACAAGACTAAACAGGGGGACTAAGCCGTCATTGGGGAATTGTGTTGCGCTGTAGATGGGGAGCTACGGTAGACATGACATGCCCCTTAAAGGGGGAATCTGGTAAGCGAGTTCAGAGCCTGATGTTGCTCCCCAGCTTCAAAGGTCTTGTTTGGCTCTCCCAAAAGCACACCCATAAACACATCCAAACCCGAACAAACCATCCTCCTCCTGTGATCCAGCAATCGTCCAGGGTCAAGCAAATGACTTCTCCAACGCCCCGTTGGAGTAACTTGGACTGTTTTTGGCCCAAACAGGGTGACTCGTCAAAGGTCGAAGACGCGCCCAACCCGGCAAAATGATTTTTGGTTGTTTGGTGTTGTGAGTTGCGCGCTTGCTTCCTTCCGAAGTCATCCCCAAGAAGCTGTTGACAACCCACGGAATCTCACTGGCTGAGTGGATGGCCCAAATGGTCTTCCATGGTCTTCCCAACAAGTTTTAAGTCCATGAACTCAGGAAGTGAGGAATAGACTCACATCTGCTGCTGCTGGCTCAGCTCAATTTCTCCGCCGGCCATGCTGTGAAGCTGTGAAGCTGCTGGCTGTGAAGCCCATTGCCGGAAGCAAGGCGTGCCATGGAAAGGCTGCTGGACATCCACTTGCCATCGGGACGTGCAAACCTCAGGCCTTTGATCAAGTGACCCAAGTGACACCACTCACACCACATTTTCCAAATAGCTCGGCGTTCTCTGGTTGCCACGCCCCGAACCTTGCAAGAAACAGGAAACCTTCAGATTTAGTGTACTTTGCACTTTGCACCTGTTGTTGCTCTGTGCGGTTGGATTATTTGCAATACCTAGAGACCTCAGTGACCGGTTTTGACGCCACAGGACCGAACCAAGCACCATCAGCCAGCTGAAACACCACCCGATCATTTGCATGGGCTCTTCGAGGGTCACGGCGTTGTCTTCTTCTTTTTTCCCCCCTAGGGCTGGGATTTTTTCGGCAGGGCTGGTTTTCCACATCCCCAGCAGCACCAGCATCACTTGGCCCGTTGCCTATTGGCTCTGATTTAATGGCAGGTGGGAGTTGCTGGGGTCTGGTTTAAGTCACTGGGGCTTTGGCTGGCTTAGATCTTCATGAGGGCGGGTCTTGCAGTGGTTTGGGGTTGATTTAGGCGAAGCGAAGGGCTGACATCCAGGCTGCTGTTGGGCGGGTTTAGGGCTGACTTTGAGTGGGTTTGGGTTGGTTTGGAGCTGATTTGTGTTAGGTGTGCTGCTGGTTTAGCAGCGGCTTTAGGGTTGCTTTCGGGTGTGGTTCAGTGAGTTGCGGGTGAGTTTTGGTGGTTTGGGGCAACGCCCCAAAACCGATCCGAAACCAACCAACCAACCGACCGACCGACCAACCAACCAAACCAGGGGACCAGCCCTAGTAAAAATACAAAACAGACCTAGGAAGAAAAACAAAACGGATCCAGCTCGCGAGAGGTTCTCAAAAAAAAATATCCAAAAGGAAAGCTTACGAGCATAGGTGTCCTTTGAAGGGAAATAGATGGCTCTGGTAGACGAGAAAAAAAAGAAAAAACCACCGGGTAAACCAGGAATCGAAACCCATCTATTGTTCCACCAGGGCAACCGAAAAGGGCACCTATGCGTATACGAGGCTAACCTCAAAACCCACACGACTTCACCGGAATTTCTCCGATCTCTCCTGAGAGCTGGGTGTGGCACAGCACCAGCTCCTGCAGCTTGGAGAGTCCCCGGAAGTGATCCAAGGACCCCTCCACCTGCGCAAAGCCGCCCGCCGAGTCTCGAAAGCCCCGAGAAAAAGCCCCCATTGGTTGCTGCTGCTGTTGACCCCCCTGCGAAAAGCCGCCCACTTCACGGTTTTGGGGGGGTTAGGTTGAAGAAAACACAACTTGATTTCAAGCGAAACCTTGAAGTCTAAAGATCCGTTGCCCAATGGCAGTCAAGATGTCTTGTGGCCGGAGCTTGGCTTTACAAATCGCTAGGTGGTGTATCCGAGCACTAGGGTTGGATGGTTGCGAAATCCGCGAGTCTCGGACCACGAAATGAGTTGCCATGGTTGAAGCCATTGCTTGTTGGTATTTACGTTGGGGAATCGAATCATTCCGTTGGGTTTCTTAGGTGCGAAATGGATGGGTTCATCCCTATCAACTGATGTCCACAGTTTGGGGAAACAGAAGGAACATATCCCATCGGGGTGCTGCCTTCTCCCCCTCCCTGGTTTTGCCCAACGACTTAGCAGGCATCGCCAGACCTGAACAAGGCTGTCTTGCCAGGGCCCCCCTTGTAACATTGGTGTGGCTGCTCGTCATGTCATGTTAGACAGAGTTTACCCACTCCTTAAGACGCGTCGGGCAAGGTAACAAGGGCGAACAAATACACATTGTTTCTTGGTTGCAGCTGTCTTTTCCCCCTCTGCAAGAAGCCTAACTTGTTGTGGGTCCGAAAAATCCGACCTGTTTGCCAAACAAAAACAAAAAGTCACAAAGTCCAAGCAGATAGCCATCATAAAGAAGGGGTACCTGAAAGCTTGGTCGGACAGTTTCCACAATGGGCCCAGTGACGTCCCATACCTTAAAAGGATCACCCCCCGAGAGCAAATCGTTCTCTCTATTGGGTTGCCAGGTGACTTGGCGAGCCGTTCCTTACCGGAGAACCCGACAGTTCTCAGTACCCAGAGGAGGCGTCGGCAACACAAAAAACGGCTTGTCCAAACTAGGAATCACCTTGCATTTGACGAGTTTCCCTTTGGTGTCTATTTCATTTCCTGAAAAGAGGACCCTCAAAAAGAGACACTGGAAAAACGGCAATGACTGAAGATGGTTGCCAAATGTTGCCAAAAAACAAGAAGAGAAACTGTCACAGGGCATTTCAGGTCTGTTTGATTCACTCACCCTAAGGGTCATGACCCCTCCAATGCAGACCCCCCGGACCCTCCAATGGAGAACCCCGAACAATTCTTCACGGGCCCTCAAAACCAACAGATTTGGGCCCAAAAGCGGTCGGGACCCTTAAAAACAACTCCCTAAGTGGTTTGGATTGGTTTGGGGATTTGAACTTGTTCCTTGTAGAGGGTCGATGGCAACCCCCTCCTAAACCACCAAACATTTTTTTGGATTGAAAAGCTGGACGGCTCGGCGCCCGCCTGCTTGGCCTTCCGAAAGTACACATCTCTGAGCTGCGTCATCTTGACCAAGGCCTGCATGCTACCGCTGACCTGGCGCTTGCGCGCCGGCAAAGCCCCCGGCAAGGCCCCGGACGCCTCTCTTGCTGCATGGGAAAAGCAAAAACCCGGCTGCGTGGTCGCCTCTAAGGTTGGTGGAAGGGGAATTCTAAAAATGAAAATGGCCATGGGTCAAAATCCCGCACCCCCAGTGAATATCCCAATCCCCACAAAAATAAACTACAATGGGTGGTGCACCAACCCCCAAATGGCACCAAAACGGTTTTGACAACCACAGCCAAATCACAGACTCCCGAAACGGGGGACCCGTGCTGTTTGAACACAACTGAGGGAAACAAGGTGCTTTTGCAAATTAACGGGCAGGCTAGGGGCCCTCTGAGCCTCGGTTGCATTGTTTTTTCCAAGGGGCTCGAACAAAAACACACACACAAGGGCGTCTCTCTTTTTTGAGGACACGTGTTTGTGTTTTAAAGGACTGCACAGGAAAACGTGAAAGGAAATCATCATTTTGGGGGACTCCTATTTAATCCAACACCCACAAGACGTGTGTGTGTTTCGCGCCTGGGTCTCAGTCACGTCCAAGAGCTCCATCCGGGTCATGTTGCTCAGTGCCGAAATGTCGCCTCGCGCAGGTGCACAAGCGGAACGGGTCCATCCAACACAAAAAAAACACCACGGAGCTTGTTCCTTCATTTTTTTGAAAGGACCACTGCCATTTTGTGGGTCCTAAGAAAAGACGCCCCAATCGACGGTAGCCGCATCAATCAACTCGGAGCGCCCCTGGCTGCCGAGATGTACTATAGTCATATTAGTCAAGCCTGCTTGCGCGTCATGGTCATGGCACTCTTGAAACGGACTCTTGCCATGGTCATGGTAGCCTTAAATAGGGCCCCACCCCCTCCTCCCCCAGTGGGCCCGCTGGTTTTGCAGGTTATGGTCATCTTGCAAAAGGCCTCTCCCCCCCCCTGTGCCCGCTGGTTTTGCAGGTTATGGTCATCTTGCAAAAGGCCTCCCCCCCCCTGTGGGCCCGCTGGTGGCTCAGCTTAGGGCCAAGGCTTCGAGAGTCAGACCCCGGTTGGCGAGCGGCCACCACCCCCCAAGTGGGGGTGGGGGGGTACCATTCGGGGGGGGTCCGCTCGCCGACCGGAACCATATATATATATATAATGTATGACACTCAAGCCTTCTTCAAGGCATATCTACCCTGAGTGTACCCTCCAAAACCCCAGTTTGCGGACATGTTCCTGGAGAACATAAGAAGAACATGTTTCCAGTAGTGATAGATCCTCTTGGAAAACGGAGGTTAGAATAGGGTACCCTTTGTTCTGCAGTCTATTTTAGTAGGGGCTTGCCCCCCCCAAAGAAAAATGTCACAGGGCACTGGGGGACCTAGAACTCCTTTGACATGGCCCGGGTCCCTGAACCAAAAAAAAAGCTTCAAGAAAAAATGTAAAAGGGCACTGGGGGACCTAGAACTCCAAATGGAAATGGAAGGTCCTCTGAACCCCCCCCCCCCAAAAAAAAAAAAACGCCCTGACGCCCCTGCCGCGCCAAGGCTCCAGTCAGCCAAGACTTCTGAATGTCCAGCTTTCGGAGCCTCACCAGCGGCGCCAGCACGGAGATGTCTCCTCTGACCTTGTACCACCTGCGAGAAAACAAAAAGCAGGCTTCAAGTGGACTTTTATTTTTGGGGTTTAGTGAAAAACAACTTTATTTCCTGAGAAAGTTAAAGTCTAAAGATCCGTTGCCCAATAGCAGTCAAGGCGTTCTGTGCAACCACGAAACCCTGAAATTGCGTGGTTTCCCTTTACTTCCCTTCAAACAACCCCAAAAAGGGCACCCTCAAGAATGGCCACACCACAGCTACTCGAGAAACTGGGGAATCACTGGGAGTGGGAGTGGTACGACGCACATTTATCAAACAACAAAAGTGTTGAATATTCTTCCCAACAAGCAAGCGTGGGACCGAACGCCAATGTGGTCGTTTGCTCAGGGCTCGAAGCATCTGGTGGACAATCTGAGGGCGTGATCTGTTCTGGTGTTCTACAGTCCTGAAGTCGTCAACCCTGCTAGGGTCAAAACAAAGCGGGTTTGTGGGGCCATCGAGACTCTGAGAAATTTACTTGTCTGCCAAGCGAGAGTCTCACTTCTTGCTTGTTTAATATGATTCTTCACACACTGAACGACCGTTGTCAAACTCAGCCTGGCATGTTTGAGCTGTTCACCCGCGCTTCCTTCACCAAGTCCGAGCTCGGGTTGCGCCGCTCTGTTTGCAAAGACGAGCAAAGAACAGAAGCAAACTGGACCTGCCCGATCGTCCACTGACCTGGGAACAAGCCAGTCTCTTTGTCAGGATCTTCACTTGCTGCGTACTGTTGCCTGCGCAGCAAGTGTTTACCACCTTTTTGTGTTGGTTAGTGGTTGAACATGCACATATTCAACCAACACGTGCTACGTTGAGTTGATTTGGCACAACAACAGCACACCCCAAACACATACTTTTTCGAGCATCTCACCAATTACATCAGCCTCCCTTCAACTTTGTTTGGTGGTGTGGGGCAGGGGTGGTTTGGAGGCGGTCCACGGCATGGTTTCCCATGTACCTGCAACAACCAGCGGTTCAAAGTACCAAACCACCAGTTCAAACCATTGAGGAAGACCTGCACAACTTCACCAAGGACTTTGATCATGAGCTTGTTTTACCACCAACTTGCTGGTGCTCAGCGGGGAATGAAGAATGACCATTATAAACCATCCAACTGGTGGTTTCCTTTCAGGGGACCAAAGCCTGGGTTCATTCAACCACATTCCCTATCGCACCAGCACGCCAATGGATTTACCAAATTGCAGGTAACTCCGAGCAACACCCCGCGCCTTAGCTTCAGCTCCTGCAAGCCTTTCAGCTGACCGATCATCGGCGGCAGCACCGGCTTCAGCAGCTTCCTGCGCCGCTTTGGCCACCCCTGCCTTGGTCGCGCCGCGCACAGGCACCAGCGTGAATGTGTGTCCGCCGGAAAACGTGCAAAAACACGCACGACTCTCTGGAGTTCTATCAACCCCCACACCCCGCCCCAACCCCCACAAAACCCCCAAAATAGCTTTGAATCCCGGTAAAAACAAACAAAGAGGGGGTACCCTCAAAACAAGACAGACCCAACCATCTCCCACAAAACTAATACGCTTTCAGCGAGTCACGGATCCGTGCCGGGTCGGGCCACGTCTTTTCAAATTTTCCTAACGAGGTCACAACCTCCACAAACCCACCCGCTCTTGCTGCCGGCGCGTCCTCAGGAATCTGATGGCAACGGGAATCATCTCGAGTGAAATCACCTCCGTGCCGGGAGCAAAAAAAAAGAACCCAGTGGTTCCTCTTAGAACGTCGTCCCACGATGTGCTCCAAACGGTCCACAGCAAACTACCTTTGAACTCTCGGTGAGTTGCACTCCTTCGCCGGGGAATAGTGAAGCTCCCAGAAAGGCCACGGCTCCCGTCAGAAACGGCCTTCGCCTTTCTGCCGCGCTTCGACATCTCAACTTCTGGTCGCACTGTTTGCAATGTAGAAACGCCCATTCTCACTTGCCCAAGGGATCAAACAATAAAAGGCTAACCTTTTGGAACCTCCAAAAATGGACAAACAGGAGAAAACCACAAGGTCAAAAGATCGAATTTGAGCAACGGAGCATTCGAAAGGGCAGCTCTGCCTTCAGCCATTGGGGGGGAGAAACGGGGCCATGTGAAATGCGGGAAGTAATTCTCAGAAAGAGAGTTCTAGGCGAACTGCGCTACGCGGTCAAGGTGCTGTCCCAAAAGTCAATGCCGACTTTTCGCGGTGCTCCAAGCAGTCTGTTTCAGGCCCAAGGGTAATTTCTAGGTGAGCTTGAAAGAGTATGGTTGGTGAGGTCACCTTGTGCCTTTCATCATGACGAAACCCGAATTTCCCAGCCCCGGGGCCCCCAGGATCGCCGTGACGTCCGCGCGCGCCTCACAGCCCTGGCACGTGAGATTGAAGTCGTCGCCCTTCCATGTGCAGTGATCTTCCGCCAAGTTCTCGCCTCAGGCGGCGGAATTTTTCGGAATTGGTCCATGTGAAGCGGGCCCAAAGAATCGCAACTTGCTCTCATTTAGCCCTCACGTTTTCTCTTTGCGCGACAGGCATTCGGATGTCTGTTGTGGAAGAGCTTTAACAACATGTGCACAACTCAAATCGCGAAAAGCACTCGTAACCCAGCGTTTATGTTAATACTGTGGATGGACGTAATCCTGCACCACCTGACAAACCCTGGAACGATGATTCCCCTGTAAACACCAACCAACCATGGCTTCCCATGGTTTCCAAGTGGTGCGAGAAGCGGATTTCGCAACCATCCACAGTAGCACTCCCATCCATGTGCAATGGTCGACAAATGAGCCACTCGCTTTGCACCCCCTGAGCCACAAGGGCTTCCTGGGGCTTAAGTTGGTCAAGCAGTCTGCGTACGAATTCGGCCTGGTCCCCTCATTGAGCAGCTTGCCCCTAGGAACAACATCTCACACACAACAAAACCCATCCAAATCCGGAGCACAAAAGATTGAGCCTCAGTTGGTCTCCAACCGTCAAACACAACACATACACAACACATAACACATAACAGCTGAAACAGTTTACGGCTTGCCGGTTTGCTGTTGCACGAGCCAAATTAAGTGATCGATAGTCTGACCTTCAACTTCCCCAATCGAAACCAACACCTTACTAAGCGGCTTGGCCCACAACTCCCAACTTGCTGCTTGCCAATTTGGTCGAGGAGAGGACCTGTCCGTCTTTGCCTCAGATGCCTAGTCGGCATGAAAGGGCACCCTTTTAGTTGCTTGAGTTTAAAGGGGAACGCTTCCCCTGAAAAAGGAAAAACAAGGGCACCACTGGGCAACAGAGTTCTCCCGGCTGGAGTTCTTTCTCCAGGGTCCCCGTGCCGTTGCGGGTTTCATTGATCGTCGCCAGGCTCTGGAGGACCTGTTTCAGTACCTCCTTCTCGTGGCTGCCTTAGGTGCCAGGAGTGTGGGAAGGGGCATGGAGCCACTCACTTACCTTCCATTTGATTAAGCCCCCTGGAAAAAATATATATTTCCAGTAGTGATATAGTCCCTCTAAAAGCCAACAGAAAAACATTAAAAAAAAAAAACTTAAGCAAATGGATATTACTGAGTGGATGGGTCAGAAAAGTCCAAGCTGTTGGTCCACTTAGCTGGTCTACAAAAAGTGTCAAGTCCGTGAACTCAGGAAGTGAAAAAAAGCCAGGGATCGGAAGCGCGAAAAATTGAACTGGGAGGGGTTGCCAGGTCAATTGGACTCCAGGATCACTCGGATTTCTCTAGGTATGACGGCTCCAGGACTCCCCCCCAACAAAAAGCTCCACAGGGACCTGAGCACTTGGAAACGAGTCTGACCTGGGGAATGCGACTTGTTCCCTCGCGCCTAAGAACAAAGGGCCCATGACCCAAGCACTCAGTTGCCCAAAGGACCCAGAAAGAAAAGGTGACCACCTTCTCGACCTTCTTGGGCATGACTAAAAATAGACTTTCTGGGGGGAACTCAAAGGTAAAATGGTTGGCCGGGGCAAACTCCATTTGCTTTTTCGCTCCCTGGAAACAACATCCGGTCATGAAATCGATTCGCTTCAAAACCAACAGTGGGAGAAAACCAACGAGTCAGCACCTGGAAGGCAGGTGAGGACCCCTTGACCGAGCGGCAGTTCACCTCCCTGCGTTGGCCCAGGGTGAAGCCGCTACGAAAGCTCACCGCCTGCCAAAAAAAAGAATGGCGGAAGGCCGGAAGGCCGAAGGTTGCCCTTCCTCAAGCCGAGTCGTGAGAGGGCACCTGGACTCAAATGCCCAGTGGCCACGGGACAAAAAGGCACCCTTTTTGGCTGGCTGAGCTTGAAAGGGGAACCCTTACCCAAAAAAGGAAAAACAAGGGCACCACCGGGCAACAGAGTGGAACATCAAACCCCCTCAAAGCACCCTTGTGAGAGGGTACCTGGAACATCAAGACCCCCTAGGTGCCATGTTCGAGGGAGGCGCCAGCACGTTTTGCAGCTGAAGGGCATCGCCCGTCCACTGACCGCCCAATCCCTGAAGATAGTCGACCAGCATCCTAGAAATTTGGGTCTTGGCAAGCGAGCAGTCAGTTTTTTCCTGGACTGGGTGCTGCATAGGGGGTCAGGAAAAATCCCGTTTCCCAGTGGGTAAGCTAACAAACAATGGGCGACGCAGCTCCAGGGATGAAGCTGACCGCCGCGCTGCCCAGAACCATGGCAGAGTCAGAAGCAAAAGGTCGGCGGTGCATTTTTTTTCAGGTTGGGGCTGCTGCATATAATCTTCATCAGCCTGGGTCTTGATTGACTTTGGCTCACACTGCTCGACACATAAGCGCGCCTTTTCTTTCTTCCGACGATTCACTGGCCCACGGAAGGAAGGTTTCCACAATGGTCACCCCATGTTTATCGGACCTTTGGATCAAACCCCCGCACCAAATTCAATCTGACACCATCCATAAACTCAGTTGCCCAAAGGACCCAAAAAGACAAAGGTGTACAAAGGTTCACCTTCTGGAACCTTTACAACAAATGGACCAAAAAGAGAAAACCAAAGGTCAAAAGGTTGGTATGAGTAAAGGGGAACAGGCACTAGGTCTCTGGACACCTGAATTGTTGGGGTATGGTGCCCCCAATCCCAGATAGGACTAGGCGAAGCGGTGGCAAAGAAGCAGCATGTGGGTGTCTTTTATTGAGGGTCCCCCTTTTTGGTGGGGTTGAAAGGGAAACTAAAACGACAACCACTCTTTTTGGGGGCTCCCCAAACAGTACCACGCCAAGTAGTTGCAAGCGCGCGAAGTTCCAAGATCACACCATTTCAAGTTTGATTCTTCCTCGCGATGCACGAGTCCCCCCCACCTTCAAAACGAGCTACTGTGGATGGACGAAATCCGTGCGCACCACCTGTAAATACCAACAAACCATGGCTTTATTATCTAAGCCCCCATCCCCAAAAGAAAACGGAAAGACACAAAAAACAACAAAAACGAACAACAAAAAGAGGAAATAAATACAACACAACAACCATATATATATATATATTTAAAAAAAAAAAAAAAAAAAAAAAAAAAAAAACGAATTGAAGGCGGCCTGCCCCTTGTCACGCGCAAAGGGCTCCTGGCCAAACGCGCCAAACGCGCCAAAAGGCAGTTTTTTTCGGCGCTTCCAAAGGATACCGTTGGGAGATGTCATACCTCAAACCTAGGGGTCCCCATGTGACTCTTGTGCCTATAATAATATCAAATTAAACATATACATATAACCATATATATATATATATAATTTCTATATAGCTATATCAAGGGGCAACCACAAAGGGTTGAGCTATTTTCAAGGAGAAGCTAACAGGAAACCGACCTCAAGCGTCCCAACGACACCTATATGCCCCCCCCCCAAATGTAGCACACCTATGCCGAAAGTAAAGGTCATCCACCGGATCGATCGGAGCCAAAGGTGCTCGACAAGTTTTCTCGGCGGTTCCCCAACAGAGATCCGGATGCATTATACACCTGAACATTGCAACTTGTAAATGGTGGTGTCGCTTTGTTTTGGTGCTGAAAAAGCAACATGTTTCAAACGGGCGAAATGTATCTTTTAAGGAGCCCTGCCCAAGAAAGTCAGAAAAATGTACCTGGCGGGTCACGGGCCCAGGCCGGTTTTTTTTTGGGGGGCGCCGAGCTGGAATATTGAGCAACTGAGACTCTCACTTCCTGAGATGGGCCAACAAAAAGTCCAAGCATTCTTATCGAAAATGGTCTACCCAACAATTGACCAAAGTCCGAAACGGAACTCAGGAAGTGAGGATCTTTGATCGAGGGTGCGGTCAAGGAACCCTGACAGCACCATGCTGGAACCATGATACAACCCTAATCACGCTCAGGTTTCGCTTGCCCTTGCCTTTTCATAGCCTGTCGCGTCAAACCTTTTGCCCTATGAGGTGGCCAGGTTGGGGCCCAACAAATCGGCTGCAACCCCTATCGCTACCCTGGTTGAAGCCTCTGTCACTATCAAACAAGTACCCTGGTTGAGACGCTGTTCCTACATCCCTGTCGAAGTTCCAAGTTCTCTGGAAAGACCATCTTCTTGCGCAAGCTCAGCCACCCTTTCGAAGACAAGCCAGGGGCCAGGAGTATTTCTGGTCGGGATGCTCCTATACCACCACCATAAGCTTGTAAGGCAGCCTGGACCTTCCATTGTTACGTAAATTTGTGTCACGAAAGAAAAGTGCTCGGGGTATCTATTTTCGCCCACTGATCCAAAAAGTGCTCGTTCCCCAAAAAGCGCTCGTTTCATGAACACGGGCTTCTTGCAAAATACCAAGTGCTACATGTGTTGGATTTGCGCTCGTTTTGCGGGTATTTGCGCTCGTTTTGCGGGTATTTGCGCCCGTTTTGCGGGTATGCTTCACATGTTTCCACGCAACAGGCTATATGAGATGAGAGAAGCCGCCGCAGTAGCCAAAAATGCTCGAATCCAAAATTGTGCCCGTTCCCCCGAAAAACGCCCGACTAGCAAATTTCTGCTACGAAACACCCAAGGGACACAAATTTATGTAACGAATGAAGGTCCAGGAGTATATGCCCCTTACCAGAAAGCTTTTTGTTACCTCCAAACCTCCAAAATCGTTGCCTGAAAATACCCCAATTTCGGGGCGTCCCGTTCGTACCCCCGATCCCATTCCTCCTCATGCAGTGAGTGCTGCACCAAGCCCTCGGCCAAAACGGGTTTGGGCGTTCGTGTTTTTGTGCGGGCTTGCCTGTATGCATGGGTTGGCTTTCCAGGTCAATGGTCACTATGCCTCTCTTAGCCATGTGGGAGGAACAACATGTGGAACTTTTCGTTGGCGATGGTACTTATCTACTATAGGTTTAGGGTTTGGGGTCCCAGTTTGACCGAAGGCCAATATGGTCTTTTTGGAACCCTTGGTGTTGATTTGACCCGTGGGAAGCCCAAACACAAATCAAGAAACATGCTTTCCGACAGGACTTGGAAACAAGCGAGCTGGATCCCGCTTGATGGTGCCAACAAATTCACAAGTGAGGAAACATAAAAGGAGCAGCGGCACCGGGATTGCACCGGGATGCCGATAAATCGCGTAAGGCAAAAAGCAAAGCCTCGAATTTGTTGCGTCTTCAAGTGGAAAGTCCAAGTTGGAGAATCAAAGCTTACTTGCCCAAAGGACCTGCAAATAAAAGGTTAACCTTTTGGGACCTCAACTAAAAATGGGATCCCAAAAGGGGAAAACCAAAAGGTCATTTCAGGTCGATTCGCTTTGAACAACTGAGAAAGTCCAATTCTTTGTCCGCCAGCCTGGCGAAGTGGCACGTCCTCGGGCACCTGCAGATCAAAGCAGGCCCATGTGGGGAGACAGGAAAAACATGCGAAACAAATCAGTGATAGATTCCACGCATAAAACCAACGGAGCATGTACCACAAAGGTACCGCACATCCACTTCAGCCAATGGAAGCGCCGCTAGCTCTCCCCCTTCGAGCCGCGAGAGGCGGCCCAGAGCCGGGTTCCCAGCCTCCTCGAAAAGCTGTGAACGTTCCGCGCCTGCCGCATGGCCCATGTACGGCCCATGGCTTCCTCCCTGTTCGTCCGGCGGGGATTGCGCCGGGTTGCCAGGAGGAAAGCGAAAGGGGCGCCTTGCAAGAAACGATGATGATCAGCCCGGATTCATAAACCCCTGGTTGATTAATAGGGGGTTTAGTGGGGATTCATCACTTTTGGAGGGAACACCCCCCCTAATAATGGGACGGGTTTATTAATCCTGGGTCAACATTACCTAAGGCCCCTTGAAGACAACACCGAACTGCCTGTCAGCAGTTAAATGCAGGATCTCCGAAAAAGCGGATGTGGAGGGGCCATTCCAAGCCCAGAAGAAAATGTTCACCTTCTGGGGCCATGACGAAACAAAGTTGCCAAAAGGGGAAACCAAAAGGGCAACGTAAAAAAGGTTGCAAGTGTGCCAACCCTGCCACACCTCGCCACATCTACAGAACTTGTGGGTTCTGCCGTTCTGCCCTGCAAATTCTGGCGCCTCCAAAAAGGGGTCGGTCCCATGCCATGCCGAACGAGAGATTTCCGGCAACACAAAGAAGCCTCGGCAACATTTTGGAAACAAACAAGCCACTCGAGGAACAAGGTCTTCCAAACACCTCCAGCCAGGTTCTTCGATAGTGGGTTGGGGTTGATGGCTCTTCACCGTCCCAACGGACCTAGAAACAGTAGGTTAACCCTTGAAAACCTTGACAGGCTAGTTCTAATGAATATAGCAATCATATGCTAGACGCATGCCAGGCATGTGCGAGACATTTGCTGGAGTCATCCTACGGCTATTTTAGGACTATGATAGATACACTGGTACAAGTGTGCCTGCAACATGCCAACACATGCCATCCATAGAGCCACGGCAGCCAGGCGACTCAGTGGAACTGCCAGAAGCACCCAGCAGAGCCACATGGCATCTCGCGCGCCACCCTGAAAGGACCCAACAATGGCATGGATCGGCATCTGTGTTTGCCTGTCTGCTGAAGGGCCGGGTGATGCCGAGCCGGCCTAGTAAACTTCACTGAAGTTCTATATGCCCTGGCCGGCTTGGAGCAACCCAAGCAACCGCCAACAGTAAGGCTGCGAACTAAAAGGACCAAACAAACCGCTTCGGCAAACTGTTTCAGCCAGCCGAGGACGAACGTTTGATAGACGACGTCGGGCGCCAGTTCGATTGAGCCGGCGCTGCGAGCGGCCGACAGTCGACAGGAACTGTAGGTCCAGCATCTCCCAACGGCCTTTTTGTTGGTTTATTCCCCGACCATAAGGGGGAGGGGGGTAGGTCCAGAATTCCAGTTCTCTAATGTTCCCCTTACAAAGGAAATGGAACTTCCAGGGGTCACTCCCCTCCCCAAATTCCATATTTAATGGGGTGGGGATGCTCCCCGACAGTTTTCCACTTCCTGCTTGCGCTTGCCGCTCTTTTTGTTTCCGCTCATCGGCGCTGCCGCTTCCGAGCCCTGCAGCTGGCGTGAGGGGGTTCCGGTTGGCTTCCCCTATCCACAAAACAAAGCTGAGCTGTCCTCAAATCCCCCGCTCAAAGTTTCACTTTTAGTGGGCTAAATGGACAACCCACTAAAAACCAAAAACTAAAAAGCTAAGGAACCGGATAGCTCGGAGCCACCAAGAATATACACGCAATTTCCGCTACCCTTTTTGAAACTCAAAAATAAGACTAGGGCCATGGGCCAAAAGCCGTATGTGTTGGGGGGGGTCCCCCGTCTAGACTCATCCTTCACCCGGCATCCTGCTGGAAAGTTGGGGGCAGTAATGTTAGCACCCGATTTGTAATGGGATAGTCAAAAATGCAAAGTTTGTTCCCTGATTGTGGTTCACCCCCATCGTTGATGGGGACCAGAATAACTGAAAGGTTTTTTGCCCGTGGGAGGGGGAAATCAAAAAATATACGAACAATATCCACAAATTGTTGATGGTGGCCCACTTGCTTAAGAGCATTCCCCTTTTAATTGGTTGCTCAAACACAAAACCCAAAGCCAGCTGAAACCTCTGAAATTTGAAAACCATCCCCAGCCCTGAAACTGCAAATTCTTTATTGCACCGTGTTTTACAAAATGAAACAAACAATCAGGACAAGGGTACCCCTCACAGACCCCACTGAACCACACAAAGGCATTCTTTAGGGGGACCACATTAGTTGCAAGCCCCTCAGCCCCCTCCAGAAAATAAACTGTCAATTGCTTTGCTAAAAAGCATTCGCCTTTTAATTGGTGGCCTACGTACTTAAAAGCATTCCCCTTTCAATTGGCGGCCCACTTGCTTGAAAGCATTCCCCTTTCAATTGGTGGCCCACTTGCTTAAAAGCATTCCCCTTTCAATTGGTGGCCCACTTGCTTAGAAGCATTCCCCTTTCCATTGGTTTCTTTCTAGCTCAAGCCCTCCCTGGCTGATAGGCACACCCTTTGAATGGCTAGTAGGGTAATTAGTATTCCAAAAAGTATGCTCAGGAAGAAGTGGTTGCAATACTAAAGTAGTATTTAAAAAAGTCTGCTCAGGAAGAAGTGGTTGCAATACTAAAGTAGGATTCCAAAAAGGATGCGGCTGCAGTACTAAAGTAACTAAATATAGCAAATGGAAGAGTCCCGTTCCCTCTACAAGAATCAGCCAAAGTGGGTTCGAAGCCCAAACCAATCCAAACCACCAATGAAGGGGTTACCGGAACAAAGGCAGTATGAGAGGTCTGGATTTCAGCGAGCTCGCGCCTCTTGTGCTTCGCCCCGGCCAGTTCGGCCTTTTGGGCGGAGCTTTCGCCAGCTGCGGGCCTCGGGCAAAGGTCGCAAAGGCAAACATAAATAGTCTCAAATTGTCTGTGGCTTTGAATAAATAGTCTCAAATAGTCTTTGGGATTCTTGTAAATAGTCTCAAATAGTTCCTCCTAGAAAACAGAACTCTGAGATAAACACGACCATAAGTTTGGTGCAAGTAGATGGCAACTTCCCAGAACTATGATTAGACCACCAGGTAAACCAGGAATCGCCATCGATGTTTCTACAAAAAACAAAAAGGACCCCTATGGTCCCAACGACAACCATGGCAGAATTTCGTCCATCCCCATGAATTCTCTCCGCGTCCCGAGCCTCGCGGCATCGGCGCCGAGAGGTTCGTCGCCACGAAGTTCCTGCAGCCGCCGGACTTCCGCCTCCAGCTCTTCCAAAGAAACCTGGGAGAAGCGAATCCACGACTTCAGGGAATTTTGCCCTAATCTAGGAAACGGATTGGATGCGATTTTTGTGGATCCGCCCCTGTAGGATATCAATAGAGTACTAGAGTCTGAAAAAGAATCGACAGGGGAAGAATATGTGAAATCCCCAAACAGCGCATTCAGACCGCTTCCTAGACCTAAGGCTCCTGGATATTGGGGCTACCGAGATAACTTGGCTTGAGACCCCGCAGGCAAGTGGGGGTGTGGTATGGGCACAGGTTCTGCGTACCAAGCCCCAGGAGCCTTAGGGAGGTCAAGAACTGGGTAACCCTCAGCTGATTGGATTTGTGGTTTGCGGACTCACAGCCAATCTAAACCACAGCGAAGAAAAAAAAACTGGGAAAGGGCCCACTGCTCTCCCCGAACAAAACAAGTTCCAGCTAATGTTGACCCCCCCAGACGCTCCCAACTTATATTTCGGGCCCTCGAACCCTCGCAGGGCGCTCGCTATCCGATGGTTATCCGACGGTTATCCGACGCTTATCCGACGGTTATCTGACGGTTATCTGACGGTTGTTTGGGCACTGGCACACCCACAAGGGCCCGTATCCGCCAAACAGGCCGGTCCCTCCCTAGGAGGGCCCACGAGCGTCTGGGCCATATGGATTTCATTCATGCGGTTCCCGACTAAACCCAGTAAAGCCCCTTATTAATAAACTCATGGTTTGGTTTTGCCTTCTTTCAGAGAGTGGTATCCTGGTGTTGTGTCGAGTCCGGGTGTTGGGAATGAACCGTTTGGGATTCCCTTAAAGGAAACCATGGGATGGATGGTTCAAAGGGGTCATTCCAACCCATTCCCTGCTGCCAACCAGCAAGACAAGAAGTGTTGGTGGATCGTACTCAGCTCAAAGGACCCAGAAAATATCAAACAACAAAGGTGAGATCACCAGTTTGGGTTGACTTGCACAAAGGGGACACCAACAAGTCAAAAGGCCGATTCGCCTTGGGCATGCGAGCGAATCCAGCTTCCAGAACAAGAGGAGAAGGGTGTCCATCGAATTCCGATGGAAGTCGCCTAAACTAATCGATGAATCCGGAAGACCTTACTGGCAAGAGGAACACCGCAACATTAGATGCTTTCCTCGCTAAAAGGGGAACCACCCACTGGGTGTTAAATAGGCTGGAAGAAACAATTACGATTGTGGCCCATTCAGGACCCACCCGATTACCGCGACCCGGACTCGCCGGCCAATGCGGCCACCGCCGCATTCTCGATGTCTTGATGCTGACGGCGATGGACCTGCCATACGGTCCGAAAAGGTGCGAACCCTCTTTTAGTGAGCTGAAGCCACAACTCAAAGACTGGAGGGAAAAAACTCATTTTGGGGTCACCATCGTTTGATGGACGTCCACATGCGATATGATTGGGGACTATCCAAAAAGGATACCATGGTAAGACAGTATGTTGTCTGTCCCTCACGACTCACACGACATTTGAAGTTCACATGAAACCCAAAACAAAGCCCGCCCTGCAACCAGCATTCCTCTACACATGGCTGTTCGTGGCTTTCCGGGGAGTAACCGCAGCAAGCCTGCGGCACAACAGGAACCTTATAGTATAGTGCTGCCAGAAGCCGAGCCAAACGATCAAAGGCTAACAGCCAAATAGCTCCCTGCAGCCACTACAACAAGACAACACATAAGGGCTCTTATATTGGGGGCCCTTTCCATACATGAATGCGAATTCAGGCGTGGCAAATTCCTGGTTGATGTTCACAACCGCCCGTCTAGGAGAAATCTTCACTCTTTACATTTGTTTTTTGGGTGGGGACGGGGGAGTTTGCCAAGAAAGACAAGGTCACTCAACCAGCATTGCATCAACAGGGATCCTTACATTATACACCTGAACTGATTTCCCTTTTTTGTTGGTGGAAAAAGCCATGTTTCAAATGGCCAAAATGTATCTTTTAAGGAGCCCTGATCAACTACTACAGTTCACAAAGCGGAAACCAATCAAAAGAGCCCCACGGGGCCCGCAGTCCGTAGGTGCAACCAAAAAATTGCAAGGTTCACCTGGCGTCCGGCCATTGCCTGTGCAAACCAGTTTCCCTCACACTTCTCTGGTGCTTGAATCCGATCAACCATTCTTTTCAACCATCGTTCTTTTCACAAACCAGCCATTCTACCTGGGATTCTGGAGGTTTTCTAGAAAGAACGATCCCTGGAAAGAATGGCCAAGGTACCCCTAGAACTTCTCGAAACAAGCTGAAACTAAGAGTGTCAACCTTCAACCTTTGGGGTTCTTTGGACTCCCAAGAATGCAGGCGCAAGAACGGTGTTCAACAACCGGCAACCCTAATTCAAAAAAAAGAGAGTTGAACCTCAAAGCCTCTTAGCTACTAAAAAAAAGAACCTCAAAGCCTCTAAGCTACTCGTAAAAAAAGAAAACAAACAAAAACACGGAAAACAGTTGAACATCAAACAAAAGCTTAAACCTCAAAGCCGTTTTTTGGTTCCCCCCCGCCGCCGGCGTTTTGTTTTTTGTTTTTCCGCCGCGAGATGGCGCGAGCGCCTCGAGGGCCTTCCGGCGCTTCTCGGCCTTCTTGCCGCTGACCGGGCCAGCGACCACCTGTTTGGTGAGCGCCGCGCACTCTGTGCAGGACTCCAGCTGGGCCACCTGGCGCAAAGGGCTCAAGGGGTGGCTTGGGGTTGGTCTGGTCTGGTCTGGTTTGGTTGCTTGCCTAGTTGGTTTGGTTTGGTTTGGTCTGGTTTGGTTTGGTTGCTTAT